GGAGAAACCAAAGAAAAAATCAAAAAGATATTAAAAATAAAATGAAGAATATATAGCAAATGATATTGAGTCTGACGAAGAATCAAATGATTCATTTTCTTCTGCAGAAGAGGATCCAGTTCCAAAAAAATAAAGATAATCAAGAAAAAAAGAAGAAAAAGATTAAAAAAAAGGAAGATAAAAAAATAAGAAATATAAAGATATATTCAAAAATTTAAAAAGCGTTAGTGGATAATTTGAAGGAACTGAAAATAATTTTATAGATCGTTAAAGCATGAAAACAAACAATAAAGAAGTAATTAGAGCAGCATAAACAGGAAATCGGAAATTAATGGAAAACATATTTTTAACTAAAAATAAATTATCTAATGTTGAAGATAATTGGGGACCAGAATTTGATATAACAGCATTAGAAATATTATTAAAAAGATAAGATAAAGAGTTACTATAATATTATTTATAAAATAAGGATAAAGTAAATATAGGTGGAGAACCTGCTTGTACTTTGAAAGAAATTAATACAGGATATAATAATAAATATGCTTATGGTGTAAAATTAAGAAAAGTTGCTTTAGGAAGAGGAAATAGAGAAGGAAATAATGCTTTTGTATATGATTTAAATGATAATGAGAGATCAGGTTATTATTTTTAAAAATTATTGGAAATTGAAACAAATCCAGAATTATATGAAATAATGATGCTTCATTGTAAAAATGAAGATTATGATTAATTATTGATAGAGAATGTTTCAAAAGCTGTTAGATGTGGAAATTGGAATTCTGCTAAATACTTAATTAATTATTCAATAGTTAATAATTAAGATGGTTATGGATTTAATTATCTTCATAGAGATGCTTTAGGTGATAATTTTAGTACTTATAAACTTGATTAAATAAAGAGAATTTCAATAACAAAAAAAACATCAAATGATTTTTTAATTACTCCTATTCATTGTGCTTGCATTAATCCATCAGAACAATTCTTGAAATATTTTATGTAATAAACTGTGGAATATACATATTAAGATGAAATTGGTAGAAAACCTGTACATTATGCAGCTGCATCATAAACATCAAATTGTTTAGAATTTTTATTGGAAAATGGAGTTGATGCTAGAGAAGGAGATAAATTCTTAACTACTCCAATAATGATAGCTGCAAAATATGGTAGAACACATAATATAAAACTTTTACTTAATACAAATCTTAAGGGTAAAAATAGAGAAGGAAATAGTGCCATACATTTAGCTAGTTAAAATGGTCATCTTGAATGTGTTAAATTACTTATAGAAAATGGAGTATTAGTAAATATTGCAGGTAAAAATAGAATGACACCTTTACATTATGCTTGTGCTTATAATCATTTAGAATTAGTTGAATATTTACTTGATGAAGGAGCCAGAATTAATTCTAAAGATAAGTTTGGTAGAACTCCTTTGATTATGGCTGCAAGAAATGGAAATTTATCTATTTTATCTAAATTAATTTATTATGGAGCAGATTTAAATATTAGTGATTCTTCAAAAAATAATGTTATTCATCATGCTGCTGCATATGGTTTTATAGAATGTGTTGAAATTTTGATTGAAGCAAAAGTCAATTAAAATGAATTTAATTCATGGAAATTGACTCCTCTTAATGTAGCATTAGCTAAAAATCATTTTGGTATAGTTAAAGCTCTACTGAAAAATGAAACTACTGATGTTAATTGTATTGATGATGATGGATTAACCTTAATAGCCAGTTTAATTAAAGAATTCAAATCTACTCATGAATAATTTTCATTTATAGAATAACTTATTATAGAGAAGAAACCTGATATAAATATTTAAGATAAGTATGGAAAAACATGTATCTAACATGCCTTATTATGTTAATAATCAGAATTATAAATTAAATTAGTTTAATTATTATTAGCACATGGAGCTGATATACATATTAAAGATAAAGATGGTAGAACATGTTTATTGCATACTCTTAATGGAAAATAATCTAATATTTAATCTGAACTTGTTAAATTATTATTATTACATGGAGCCAATGTTAATTCTTAAGAAAAAGAAAATGGATAATCAGCCTTTTCTTTTTGTTTGTAATAAAAAAATTATACAATTGTTTAACAATTATTAGCAAGTACAGATATAGATGTTAATCTAATTAATAATGCAGATAAAACTTTATTACATATTATGATAGATAATTAATTTTATTATGATTCAGAAACAATAAGAATTTTTGAAATTATTTTAAATAAAATAGATTCATCATTAATCAATTTTTATGATCAAGATGGATATGTACCAATATTAAGATTAGTACATAATTTTACTTAAACAATATCATAAAAAATTCAATAAGATTTTAATTAAAAAATTGAAAATCTCAAAAAATAAAAATGGGATTTAATTATTGAAGAATATTAATCAAAGTAAGAAGAATTTTAAAATATATTGAAATTGAATCCGTAAGCTAATCCATATTATATATTCTAAAATGAAGTTTCATAAAAATTTAATTAACATAAATTAACATATCATTCATCTAAATATTCATTTGATAAAATTAATATGTAAATTGGATTGACTTTAGATGAAACTTAAGTATTTTAAAACTAAAAAGTTGAAGATGGATATAGATACTAGAATATATTTTTTGAAGTTATGAAATTATTAATTTCTAAAGGAGCTAATACTGCTTTAAAAGTTATAAAGTAAAAATGGTGTAGAGAAAAAGAAAAGGAAACATCTCCATTTTAAAATAGTAATGTTTTTCATATAACATTCTAATAATTACCAAGTGTTTCCTTTGTTTAAGAACTTTATAATATGTTCCCTAAACATTTATTATATGAACACGATTTATTTGGTTAACCAATTCATTATTTCTTTTAAAATTACACATTAAATCAAATTATTTTAGAAAGGAAAAATAAAGAAACTTCTGAAATATTTTTTGATTACTTAATTTCTTTAGGTTTAAATTTTAAAGAAAAGAATTCACAAGGAAATACTCCAACTTTATTGATTGCCTAAAAATATTGTGATAATTACATTCCATTATTAGAAAAATTAGTTAATTTAGGAGGTTTAATAAATGATGTTAATAATTCAAATATTGTTCCTTTATAGAAGTTTGTATCACAATCAGATATAAAATCTGTAAAATCATTACTTTAAAGATTTAAATTGGATCCAAACTATCAAGATAAAAATGGAAGAACAGCCTTGCATTATGCTATTAATTTTAGTAATCCTAATGCAAATGCTAGTTTTTAAATGGAGTAGATTTTAATCAAATCTGGAGCAAAATGTGATATTAAAGATATTTATAATAGAACTCCTCTTTTTTATGCTTTTACTAAATTTGATGATCCAAGAAGTAAAACTGAAATAGATCCTTTTGAATCTGTTTCATCTTTATTAGCTTATAATGAATGCGATATTAATGTTTAAGACAAATATGGAAGATATCCTTTACATTATGCTGCTTTAAGAGGAAGTGCTATTTCAGGTAGATACATGATTAAAATGGGAGCAAAAATTGATGAACCTGATATTTTTAACAATACTCCTTTAGCATATGCATTCTTTCAGCATGCTAATTTTAGTACAATGTTGATTGATAATAAAGCTAATGTTAACAAGGAAATTAATATTATAAGTGAATCGGATTTTAAATAGGAAAAGTATAAATTTTATGAAGGATAAGTTAAAAATGATGCTGAAGTTGATCGAATTATGGTAGAAGAAGATTAAGAAATAAATTTAAAGTTATAAAAGGAAAATGAGGAAGAAAGAAAAAAATAATTAGATAAAATTTAATTAGAAATAGAATAAACAAATAAAAACTAAAATGATGATAAAATTTCAGAAGAATCTAATATTGATGATTCTAAAGATTAGAAAAAATTAATATTTAAACGAAAACGAAAAGATAAAGTTATTTAAAGAAATAGAATAATTTAAAAATTAGTTTAAGATAAAATGAATAATGATCTTGATATACCTTAACATTTACATAATTAATTATAAACTGGGAGATATAGTTATTTTTCATAAGCTATAAAATTTGGTTGGTAAGGGGTTGCATACTTATTAATTAGTGACGGTTATGAATTTGTAAAAGCTATTCAAGATGCCATAAATGCAAATCAATTTTAATTAGTGTTAACTTTGTTGATGAAAGTTAAAAATATTAGTGATGTATAAAGAATAGATGATAAAGGTTAAAATTTATTTCATTTATTTGCCAAATTTTCTAAAAATATTAATCAAGATCTAAAACAAGAAATTATTGAAGAATTTTAATTTAAATAAATTAATCCTTAATTGTAAGATTTACAATTAAAAACTCCTTTTCATTATGCTGCAGAAAATTAAGATACCTTTTTAATAAACTATTTTCTTTAACATATAAAAAGTGATCCTAATATCATGGATTCAACTTAAAACAATCCCTTTACAATTTTACTTTAAAAAAATTATAATTATAATTTCTACCACTTTATTCAGAATGGATTAAACATAGATTTATAATTTAAAATAATTGATACATAAAAACAAATGAAACCATTTATGTTTTTAGTAAATTATCATAAAATATATAATCCTGATGTTTTAAAGTCCTTTATTAAATATGGTGTAGATATAAATGAATAGAATGATTAAGGTTAAACAGTAGTAACAATAGCAATTAAAAATAATAACATTAAACTATTAAAATTTATTTTAGAATAACCCACTTTTAAAAAGGAACTTCATGCTAAAGATAAAGATGGTAAAAGTCCAATTCATCATGTCGTATTACCTTTAGAGTTTGGATCTTATGAAAACTTAGAGATTTTAAAATTATTGACACCCTTATTTGATTATAATTCTTAAGATAATAATGGATTAACACCTTTAGATTATGCTTTAATTTTTGATGCATAAATTATGAAACAAGAACTAATAGATTTAAATGCACATCATACTAGAAGTTTAAGATAGTAAAGAATGCCAACTTCTATTATATCAACTGCTTTATGGCCAGATCAGGAAGTTGATTTTGAAGAAGATGCATAATAATACTAAAACAAAATGAATATGTAATTAGAACCTGAAATTGATAATAAATAAATTGTTGATAAATAAGCTAAAATTGGCAAAGGAGATTTAATTGTTTATGAAGATCCAGAATATGGACTATTTTAATGTCTCATGTCAAAAGTAGATATTGTAAATAACAATTTTCATAAAAATGTATTCTATAAAATGCAAATACTTTTAGATAGAAATAGAAGTAATTATATTTTGTTTACTAAATGGGGTTAGATTGGGGAAGATGGTTAATTTTAAATGACTCCTTTTGAAAATTTGGAAACTACTATTAAAGAATATTGTAAAATTTTTACAACCAAAACTGGAGGGAATAATTGGAAATTAATTAAAAGAGGAGAAGTTGAATTCGAAAAAAAATCAGGAAAATATCAATTAATGTAATTTAGCAACAATGTTAGTTATAAAACATTTTTATAACCATTTGATTTAAGTGATAAATCTACATATCCTAAATGTTAATTACATTAAAGCATTTAATCTGTAATAGAATAATTTTCATAAGTTAAATTATATTAATAAGAATTATAAAATTATTAATTCGACACTAGTTTTGTTCCTTTAGAAAAGTTAAATAAAACTGTAATTTAAAAAGCTAAAGAATATTTGTTAGAATTAAAAGATATTGTTCAAGAATTAACTAATTATATGAAGTAAACAGATAGAGATTTAAAATAATTATAATAATATTATTCAGAAATCAATGAGAAATCTGCTAGATATTATGAACTTATTCCTCAAACTTAAATGAGATAAAATGTTTTACCTTTACTTGAAAATGAAACTAAAATAAATTAATAATTGTAATTAGTTGAAGTTCTTCAAAATGTTGAACTTTCAATTAAAATACTTTTAGGAGCTCATAATAAATCAAATATTATTCATCCATTAACTTATTGTTTCAATTCTTTGAATATAAAAATGCTAACTTTGACAGAAGATGATTTAGAATATAAGATGATATAAACTTATATTGGTAGATCTTAACAAATTAAAGTTTCTAATATATTTGCAATCGAAAGAAAAGGAGAAGCGAAGAAATTTGATCAATTTAAGAGTGCCCCAAGAATATTATTATGGCATGGTTCAAAAATATCAAATTTTGTTAGTTTGATGTCTCTTGGTTTGAAAAGTATAATATTATATTATTTTATTAAGTTGCACCTTCTTGGGCTGTAAATACAGGTGCTTTATATGGAAAAGGAATTTATTTTGCAGATTAATTTGTAAAGAGTTACAATTATACTTCTGATAATACAATTAGATCAAATTATGGATATAATAATAAACCTTCGGAATAATATCAAACTCTTTAAAAATATAGATATTTGCTTTTGTGTGAAGTATGCTGCTTAAATCAAGTAGATCTATATAATATTGAAAAATAAGATATCAGTCAATATTTTAGTATTTAATTTTATCATAATTAGAACCTGAAATAACATTAAAAGTAGTAGGTTCTTAAGGTCCAGATACAATTTCATAAATTAAATTGCCAAATGGTTGTGTTGTCCCTATTGGCAATATTGTTAGTTAGTCTTTGCCAGAAGAAATTAAAGCAAAAGCAGGGCCATCCTCTGGATTCAAAACTTCATAAACTGAATATATAGTTTATGATGAAACCAGAGTGAGAATGAGATATTTAGTCTAAATTGAAAAATGATCAATATTTTTGTATTTTAGATGAAAATTTGTTATAAAATTAATTTTAATTATTGAGTTACTCAATGAACTAAATATTTTTAAAGATTTTTATATTAGTGTTTTTGAAGAATTATAAACAAATAATAAAAAAAATACAATAAAGGATTTGCTCTATCAAATGTTTAAACAAGTAATTTGAATCAAAATTTTCATAAATATATAAATTTATAAGATAGAGGTTGATTAGAACTATTTTTCAAATCTAATCAATTAAATTAAACCTGGCTTTTAGTGCTTAAGTTTGAAATTAGAAAAAAAAGAAATATGAGTTGCGTATATTTTTAATTCAATAATTAACTTAATATTAAAAATTGATCAAAACCTTCACTGAAATTCTTAATAATTATCTTTAAAGAGACTTAAATGGGACAATTAATTTTAATCATATGAATCTCTAAAATAATGATTTGTGTATTTATATATTATAAAATGTATTAAAACACTTTGCAAAATTCAATAAAAAAGCCTGACAAATTAACCACATCAGATACTAAATATTCTCAGTAATCTTAAGATTCATATTATATAAAAAATAAATAACAAATCGCACTAGCAATTCCAAGTTTTAGAACTCTAATTACTTCAAGATGCAAAACATAATAAACTATTGAAATATAATAAGATAAATCACCAACAACAACATAAAGAAGAATTATTAAAAATAAAGAAGAACTTGCAGATAAACTTATACCAAGATCAGATGAAATCCTTGAGATATATAATGAATTCGAAAAAAATTACAATCATGTAAAAATGTTGAACTAATTGACATCTGAATTAAATTATTTGGATCCATAGTTATATGATTCTTTAAATAAATAGTTATAACAAAATCCTATATAAGTACCTAGTAATCATAACAATTACCTTACCTAATATGATCTAAATTATTAAATGAAATTGGATATTTAACGATTTAGATTTCAGTATTATAGAATTAGAATCAGAAATTAAGAATCTCCTATTCAGATTACATTTTTAAGTTAAAATGCATAAATAAATAGTATAAGATCATATTTTTCTTTAAAAATTGAATTTCCAACAAAATTTAATGCCGATTATCAAGTAAACAGTAAAACAATTAGAATTTTCTCAAACAATTCTACTCAATTTTTTACTGAAGACTATTTATTTATGACATTATATTCACAAAATGATTTTATATGTACCGTTGTTGTCACTTTCGGATTTGAGAGAAAATAAAAAATTAATAAATAATATAAAGCTTAATCTTTATTCGAGGATTTTAAACCAAGAAAAAAAAAACACAAAACTTAGCCAAAATATTAACAGCCAGAAATTCGATTATAGAATCTTCTAAATCCTGAAACATTATAATTAATAAAATCAGAACGTTAGATAAGATAATAAAAAGTTCTTAATAATGGAAAAATGATCATTGAAGAAAAACTATTAGATAAAAAGAGTAAATTATTTGTTAAAGATTAAATAATAAAATATAGAGAAATTGAAAAAATGACCAAATAAAAATATTAATATAAAAATGCACTTCAAAAGGCATGGTTAAAATGTATCTTTACAACTGTTTTTATTCATAATATAAATTATTTTTTTATGGTAAGGTTTTTATAAATAATTTAGTGTTAAAAAAAATAAATACGACTTGAAGCCAAAGGTAAATTACTCGTTTGGTAATTATAAACAAAATCATTAATTTCAATTAAAGACTTTGGAGAAACTCCAACTGAAAGAACTCTATTTAAGTCATCACTTTCATTAAATGCTATTTGTAGAATATTAAAGAAATCTACTTATTATAAGGCAAAAAAAGTTGTTACTTCTTATTTATAATCTATTATATTGAATATAAGTGTTTTAAATAAATATTAAAGATGGATGGCAAAGAGTAAATTGATATTTTAATTTAGTAATTTCTATCTAAAGAAATTTTAGGAGCATGAAAAGTAAAAAAAGAAACTTTAAGGAGAAGTTATGGCGATAAATAAAAGAAGAGTTTGATAATATAATATTTGAATTTGCTTAACTTAAAGGTATAACCTCATATTATGATTATGAAGAGAGATCTCATATACATATAGATACGTAGATATTTATTTATTTTATTTTTAGAGTTTTAATGTTTTCATTATTAGATGAATATGCTTAACGAAAAAAAGAGATGTGGTAAAAGTATATCCATGATACTTTTGTTGTAAATAATCCTAAAAATGTATTTCAATTTATTAAAAATAGAAACTAATAAGCTTGGCTATAAATTTTAAAAAACCATCCCTATTCTAGTTACCAAATGAATTCGAGATAAGAGAAATAATTGAAAAGTATGCAGTTATCAAAAAACTTATATGATAAGTAAATTAGTTAATGATTAAAGTAACTTTTAAAATATCATTTAAAAATACAAATTATACTTTTAAATTTATATTAAATTTTTTTCATTTTAATTTTATTGTATTAACAAAAGGTTATTTGATTCGTCTTCTAAGCTTATTTTTCAATTTTAATGCCAGAATATTAATTTAATTTCAAATAAACAAATAATTAACGAAAAAGCTCTTAAAATTATTTATATTTTTTTAATCTCACCATTACAATGTGTGTACTTCTAATGTTGTCTATTAAGTTTACTAGTATACAACATTATTAATACTTAAATAGACATCTGTAATTCATCTCAACAAATTAAATATGTTAAATAACTTATTGTTTACATTAATATTCTTTTTATTCTTGTCTTCTAACTTATTTGTATGGATTTTAAAATACTAAATTAAACATATACTCTTTCTTTTGAATTCTTAATCATAATCTGAAAATCAATTCAAATTCAACTATCTATTAATCATAAATTACTAACTATTATTTAATAACATTTTTAATACAAAATGCAAAGAATAACTTGCAGATGTTTCTAAATGATCATTAAGTATTCTTCATTAATTTAAATGATTTTTATTATTTTTATTATTCTCTTTCTATTAATTTCACTATTAGTAGTATATATCATTAAAAGATATAGAAGGAGAGGGTAAATTCCTTAATCTTCAATACCTATAAAATTGGATAACAATAAGGAGAGTGCATAAGAAAAAACAGAAATAGAATCAATAACTATTACTAAATAAAGTTCTAATAAAACCAATAACAATTGTGAATAAAATTATCATAGAGAACATTTAATTGATGAATAAGCTTTTTCATTTAATGAAGATAGTGATAATGAAAAAGATGAAGAAATGAATTCTTCAGGAAATTAATCATCAGATCATAAATAAAATCATGTATTCCAGTTTCAGGAACATGAATAAAAATTAGATGAATTAATTGAATCAGAAAATTGATTAATTGTACAAAAAGTGGAATTTAGTTTTGATTTCATTTATTTATATATATTGTTTAAATTATAAAGTCTAATTAATTTCAATAATTCAATTTATTTAATTAGTATCACTTTCTTCTTTATCAAAATTTTAGTTCTCTTCATCTTGAATATACAATCTTTTCTAACATCCTTGCTTAGAATAAATTCTTTAAATATATCATAATTTCCACTATTTAGATGCACATACATAAGGATAAATTTAAAAAAAAGTAATTATTATCAGCAGGTTTATTTTTTAAATATAATTTAATAATAAAGGAACTCTTTAACCCTACTAAATTTATTTATTCATTTTATCTTTATTTTTTTCTTAAATAGAGAGCTTAATTAAGTTAAAATTAATCTAAAGGTTTCAAATCTAAAATAATTCTTAAATAAATTTAGGATTTATACAATAATAAGGTTTTATTTAAAAAGATAAATCAGATAAATTCTAAAATTGTTTTAATTTCACTTATTTCTAAAAGTTAAATTAATTTAAATTACTTGGATGCACTCTTAGATAATTTAGTAATATAATGTAATCATTAATATTTAAATTAAGCCAGGTCATCAACCTTCCATTTTCTAATTTATTCTGTTCATGATCACTTAAATAATTCTTTTAAAATTTATCCAATTGTTGATATTTTAATAAATGTTATTGAAGTTATAAATTGCAGATGATGATCTTATGTCTAATTCAAATTCAAAATCATTTGCTGATTGTATTGAAATAGAAATAAAACTTAGAAACATAAACATCATATAGAACAAATAATCTAATATTATATTAAACTAAATCTATATATAAATACTTCAATTGATTACTATCATCAAATAAATCCCAAAAATTCTCTTTTAGAACGCGTAAATTAGCGTATCAAAATTTATCTTGATAATATTAATGAGAAGTCAATTTTCTATTTAATATCTGAAAAGAAATGATATTGAGTATTGCTAATTAAATCATAAAGTGTATCTAAATAAAAGAGAATTAAGATTGAAATAATATTAATAATCAATGTTAAGATTTCTGCTATGGAGAAACTAAAATAGTTTAATTGCTTGATTAACTCTTTTGGAAAAAAGTTACATAAATATAATTTTATATAAATTTTACATTAAAATAAAATATAAATTCATTCTATTTGATAAAATTCATTGTTGGGGTTTATAATAAGGCATTAATTCTTTCCATGTGCAACACCATTTAAAATTTTACATTATTTCATCACTGTTATATATTATTTTTATTAAAAACCAGAAAAAATTTTGTACAATTTAGAATCAGACTCTTCTACAATAATTGAGAATTCAAATTCATTGTTTTCTATAATAACAGTATTAATTCTGGCCGCATTAACTTATTCTATTGAATGATATTTGATAGTTTTAAATTAAAATTCTCTTGATTTATCTTCAAATTAATTTTCATCATAATAATATCGTTTATTTAAATCTCTTAAAATCAGATATTAGATTTCTAATTCATAGAGTTTTTCATTTTCTTTTCTAACATTACAATATGTGTAAAATAACAATAAGTCTCCATTTTTTAAACTGGCTACTATTGCAGGTATTGACATATTTATGTTAAATTCAACTTATTTTTATTTATGAATAGCTTATTGTTAAAATTATAATGGTTCTCTTTCCCAAGAATTTGGCTTGTAATTTAAAATATTATCCCATTTTTATTTTCTTATCAATTTTATTGAAATTTAATAAATACAAGTACTAGTGCAAACAACTAAATATGGACATCTTAAATCATCTTCTAATTCCCATTTCACTTCTAATCCAATTAAACAAAAATCTTCATTAATTTAATTAATGCTATAAATAAAATTCATAGGCACTTTTGTTATTGAATCTTCAACTGAATCCTTAACATCTTATAAATTAATCCAATCACTAATTTATTTATATTAAAATATACCTTTCAAATAAATCTAATGAAATATAATTTTGATGATTAATCTTTCTCACTATCCAAAGTTGTTCATTTTCTAAATCATTGAAAATTACTTCATCAAAATCTTAATTATCCTCTTTTTCTTTTGTATCTTCAAATGTAAATTTTCTCATTTTCTTTTAAGGGTTATCCTGAAAATACAATAAATATAAATTTTAATGTCCATTGTAATGAAATATATACTGATTCTTCCTATCTTCTAGCCACTAAAATATTTATTTAATATTTTACATTAACATAAAGGCAAGCTTTTTAAAGACTACTTTATTTTTCTATTTATCCTATTATGAACTGGCAAGTTTCAACTTTAATATCTAATGTCTATTTATATATATCATAAGTAAAGTAAAACATATGGCTTAACAATTATAATTATTTTTAAAGATTTTAAATATCAATAATATCTTACTAATTTATTATTTTTAAATTATCAGCTACAAATTCTTAAACAACCAGATAAAATTAAAGCTGGTTGATGTTTTTTTATTATTTAATTAATTTAAAATTCAAATTATTTGATTTAAATAATTTACATTTGCTTTAGAAAAAGTCGAAATTCTATTCATTTATATATTTACAATTTTCTGCTTTCAATTCATTTCTCTATCCAAATATTGTCATTCTTTTAATTTATGAAGTTATAGGAGCTGCTAAATATTTTGTTTATGCATCAAAGTAAAGAAAAGACGTATCATTGATGTTAATGGCAATTGAATTTTCATATTATTTTATTTTTCCTCCATTCGTCCAAACTTTCAGTGCAGAATCCTATACATCAAAAATCTCAACAGTTAAAGATAATGTTCCTATATCAAATTCAAAAGGATTTTCAGCATTAAGAGATGGAAAAGTTCCTCCTAATACTATGAATTTATTTTATTTAATAGAAGTAACTGTAAAATTCATCAAACTATAATTATTCTATTCCTTATAATTCTTGTAAATAGATGGTTCTTTTTCAATATTTAATAAATCATATTTACAAACTTAAACATAATACTTAAATTTAGAACCTTTTGATTTTTATTCTTCTTCTCTTGAAAATTACACATTAAATTCATAAAATAATGAGCCTTATAATAAAAATGAACTTCTTAATTTTTTATTAATCTCCCATCTATATAACTTTAGATAAATTGACTCATCAATTTAATTTTTTCTTTCGGTCTTATAAAAGAATTAATCATAAAATAACTAATTCCCTTTAACAACACAAATAGTAAAATATTCTTTTTATACATCCACATCATAAGAAATAAAGTATTAAACTTAAGAAATGTTTATTGGATTTTTTGATTCTTTTTCAAATAATTTAGTTAATTCTATTTGATTTTTATCATTCAATATTCCTATAATATTAAATTCAAAAGTTTTAGCTTATTAATTATCTTATTAGATTACATTTTCTGAAGCATTTACAAAATTAGCTTAAGCTTATTATTTAAATTCTTATTCAATCTCCATACTTTTTGATTAATATTAACTTTTTCTCACTTTCAAAGATAAGTATTAAAGATCATAGAATTGCTCCTCCTTTTAAGTTTAAGCAAAATATTAAATGTATTCTTGATATTAATTAGCACTCATCTCATCACATTAATAATATGCTTTACATTTTCTTTTATAATTATAATCCAAAAATGCGTTTGCTATAGCAATAGTTGATTTTAAGTATTTTTCATAATTTAATGGAGAACTTTAATTTAATAAAGGAATAGCAATTAAAGAGTGTTATGAAATTCCTTCAAGTTATGAGAGAATTTTTTACAAGAAAAAAATCTCAAAATCAAATTAATCATTTATTTCTATCAATAAAACAATTATTTTTGGCTTAAACTTTTTAATTTTTGTTTTAATAAAGTATCTATAAAGTAGTTGTATCTCATTTATAATTTTATTGTTATTGTTAAGTTTCAATTTTACAAAGTATTAATCTTACCTAATTAAATTTTAAAGACAGTCTTTATCGATAAATTTCTGTTAGTTTGAATAAACTAAAGAAAAACTCTAAAAAGACTAAAAATTTTTCTCATTAACTAATGATTTTGTATCAAATGCTCCTGAAACCCCTAAATAAGTAACTTTTAAGTCTTTATCATTTGTTTATTTATATGGAATTAAGTTAAATTTTAAAACTGCTTCTTTTATGTAAAGCATTATATCTTCTTTATTGATCCAATTTGCATTATGTAATAAAATTTATGATGAATCCCCTTAATAGAACTTATTAAATATCTAAATAATTTGATCAATAAATTTATTTTTTTGAATTTCCTCTATCTATTCTTTTAAAATTTTTTAACTATCTTCAAATACTTTGATATCTCTCTTATAATAAATTTATTTGTTATTTTAATTTTTTTACTATTAATGCTCCTAGATGTAATTTACTATTATTTCTTATAAAGATCTATGTTCTTATTCTTTCGGCTTTTCTGGATCACTCTTTTTATGATTAGAGTCAATGTATTTTTATTATTATTTATAATCATAGATGTTATTTTCTTGTTATTATTATGAATTATTTTTTTATTCTTTTTGCTTTTCTGGATATATCTTATTATATAAAAAGTCAAGGAGAGTAAAATCTAAGCGAAAATTAGAATGATCTGGTTATGTTTTCGTATTTCGAAAATAATTTTCATTTTTCTCATTTATAATTCTACTATTAACATCTTGAAGATCCTTTCTAATTACTTAATAATAAGTTTGTATTGGTATTTCCTTCTAATTTAAAGTTAATTATTGCATAATGGAAATTGGTTTGACTTTTATTAGTTAATTTATATTAATATTTAATTTTTTTTTTTTTTCTATTTACATTTTTATTATAAAAGGAATGCATGAAGTTTTATAGAATGACTTTTCATTGATTTTAAATCATAAGCCATATAAATTTTCAATTTAAACTGTAATTTAGATATTTTTTTATATTAAATTTAAATTTTTTTAAATAAAAAACTCAATAATTCTGTGTAATTTAGTTAAAAAAAGCGTAATGTGTATCTAGATAATTTTAGTAAAATGATATTTTAAAGAGTTTTGAGATAAAAATATTACTTGTTTTTTTTAAATTAAATGATTATTTATAATAGAATAGTAAAATGTTTTTACAAAATTTTAAACTACTCTTAAAAATTAATTGTTTTTTTTGTTATACCTTATAAAAGAATCTATTTGAATTGTATCTTTTCAATACTAGAGTTAGGATATAAAAAGTATCCAAACTAATTAAAATACATTAAGAGTTATTTTAAATGAAAATATATTCTATAATTATTTAACTATATAAAAATCAAGAGAAATCTAAGTAAGGATGAGCCAATCATCAAAAATTAATATTTTTTATAATTTAGCTTATAAATGTACTCCAATACTATCGATAGCCAAAGTTATATATAATTTTAATTTATCACTAAATATTTAATTAAATACTAAAATAAAATTATATAGAAATATAGAATTGTTATTGGTATATAAAGATTATAATATAATTTATTTCTATTCTATTAATTGCAAAAGAATATTAAGAAAAATATGCATTTTGAAAGTATTGAAGCACGAGAATTTTTCAAATAATCTAAATATTTGAGCCTTAAGATCCTAAATAAGTTAATAAAATATAAGTAGCAATGGAATGTGCTCGAGTAATAGATTTAAAAAAAAAAAAGTGAATTTAAAAAATTATTCAAATACAAGGTATAAAGGAATTGATACTTAAGATTAAGCATGAGAAGAAGAATTTGCTAGACAACAAGAAGAACCTATAAATTAAATATCAAAGCTATAAAAAGAGAGTTAACAGGTCATGTAGTAAAAAGTTGGAACAGAGCCTCAGAAGTTATTTTATTGGAAAAGGATTATACTGCTTCTATTGATGTTTGGTCAATTGGTTGTTAATTTGTAGAATTATTAAATATGTTGAAACAAAATATACCTCCATTATTCCCAGGAACAAGTTGTTTCCCTTTACTTTAAAAAATTAGAGATAAAATAAAAGGAAACTGTTGCACCTGGTATTTATATTCATTCAACTTTTGAACCTTTATATTTAAACTTTGAATAAGAAGGTGATTTAATATAAATGCAAGATGAAAAGAATATTTTTTAAGAGAAATTTCAAAATATAAACGTTGAATTTATATGTATTTTTTTTTAGTCTAATTATTTTTAAATATAAAAAATTTACTATTCCTAATAACAATAATCTCTAATCATTTATNTATCTTTTCAATACTAGAGTTAGGATATAAAAAGTATCCAAACTAATTAAAATACATTAAGAGTTATTTTAAATGAAAATATATTCTATAATTATTTAACTATATAAAAATCAAGAGAAATCTAAGTAAGGATGAGCCAATCATCAAAAATTAATATTTTTTATAATTTAGCTTATAAATGTACTCCAATACTATCGATAGCCAAAGTTATATATAATTTTAATTTATCACTAAATATTTAATTAAATACTAAAATAAAATTATATAGAAATATAGAATTGTTATTGGTATATAAAGATTATAATATAATTTATTTCTATTCTATTAATTGCAAAAGAATATTAAGAAAAATATGCATTTTGAAAGTATTGAAGCACGAGAATTTTTCAAATAATCTAAATATTTGAGCCTTAAGATCCTAAATAAGTTAATAAAATATAAGTAGCAATGGAATGTGCTCGAGTAATAGATTTAAAAAAAAAAAAGTGAATTTAAAAAATTATTCAAATACAAGGTATAAAGGAATTGATACTTAAGATTAAGCATGAGAAGAAGAATTTGCTAGACAACAAGAAGAACCTATAAATTAAATATCAAAGCTATAAAAAGAGAGTTAACAGGTCATGTAGTAAAAAGTTGGAACAGAGCCTCAGAAGTTATTTTATTGGAAAAGGATTATACTGCTTCTATTGATGTTTGGTCAATTGGTTGTTAATTTGTAGAATTATTAAATATGTTGAAACAAAATATACCTCCATTATTCCCAGGAACAAGTTGTTTCCCTTTACTTTAAAAAATTAGAGATAAAATAAAAGGAAACTGTTGCACCTGGTATTTATATTCATTCAACTTTTGAACCTTTATATTTAAACTTTGAATAAGAAGGTGATTTAATATAAATGCAAGATGAAAAGAATATTTTTTAAGAGAAATTTCAAAATATAAACGTTGAATTTATATGTATTTTTTTTTAGTCTAATTATTTTTAAATATAAAAAATTTACTATTCCTAATAACAATAATCTCTAATCATTTATAATAAATAATTTGATTCTAAACAAATTTTTTTATTTATTAATTATAAACACATTTCATTAAAAACACTTATAATATCAATACAAGTTTAGAATCATAAGATCTTTTCAAGAGTTTAATAAAGAAGAGTAAATTATAGCTCTTCTTCTCTATCTCCTTATTCAAACCATGATTACTTGAATTCAATTTCATGTTTTTTTAGTAATTGCTAATTCTATTAACATAAGCTAGAATCTTATATTTTTAAACTATGAATAATCAAAAAATAATCATTGGTCTTAAAGCAATATAAATAAAATTTTCTTATCATTCATAAATGTACATTTTATAAACTTGTGATGTTATTAAGAATTAAAAAAAGGGATATGATTTAAATTTATTTTTGACACTTGATAGGATAAATCTTTCTCTAAATAAAAATATTAAAGGATATTTTATAAATTTAGGTTGTCTTTTTATAATAAGAATTCCTAACAAAAATAACTAAAATTAATCTATTTAAAAAAATAAGTCTAAAAATAATATGATATTTAAAAAATATAGTCATTAAGGTGGACGAGATAAAAATACTTATCTTTATTAAACTCTGTCATTTTAATTTGGAGTTCTTCCTCTTCTATCTTAAAAAATAGGAACCTGATTAATATTCACCTTAGGTATTAAATTATTTTAATGTTAAATACTTTAATTATTCTAAAACAATGGCTACTATAAATTAACTTCCTGATTTTATTTTTTAAAATTTTGAAAATAGTTTATTTATTTATCTTGTGATAATTTTGTAGGTATTTCTTACATAATAGGTTTATAATTTTATTATTGATTTTAACGATTGAAAAGCATTGCTCTTTAAATATTTTTTGAAGGAGGTATTTTAAAAATTTGTTAATTATTTATTTTAGATAATTTATTTTTTATTTCTTTGATAGATATCCTTTACTATGGATCTCTTTAGAGCATTTTTAATATCAATTATTTATATTCATCTTCCAATTGGAGCTTTTGTAATTATTTTTCTATTTAAAGAGTTTTAATTTAAAAATAAATATCTTGCACACTTGATCCTGATTTAGATTTATAAATTTACCATTAAAGAGAGGTGAACCAGTAAATAATTCAAACATTAGAGCTCCAAATGCCCAAATATCTACAGATTCTTTATATTCTTAAGGTTGATTATTGTTATATAAGGCTAATTGTTCTGGAGCTAAATAATATGGTGTTCCTATATATGGTGTTTAAATATTTGTATAATCTTTTGAAGTACCAAAATCGCAAATTTTGTATATTTCTTAGGTTTTATCTTAATCTTATTTTGTAAAGATGAGTATATTTTCTGGTTTCAAATCTCTATGAGCAATATTTAAAGAGTGCAACTCATCTATTCCATTTGCAATTTGCTTCATTAAATATCTAACCTCTTTGAGTTAAATCTTTGATATAGAAATTTTATCTTATAATGATTATAAGCCTAGTTCCATTACAATAAAAATTCTATTTTATTAAATTTCAAAATCAAATATATTTACAAGATTTTTGAAATTTCTTCCCAAGAATTTATTTATTAACAATAATTCATTGTTATTTATTTTATTTTGTATTTTTATTGCTACTATTTGATTATTTGATAAATCTTGAGCTTTAACAACTGTACCAAAACTTCCTTGACCAATCCCCTAGAGAATCATGTATGCTTTGCCATTGATATTTATTTAATTCATAATTTTTCTATTAAAATTATTGATATTGAACTTAGAATAATAATAATATTAATAATTATAATAATAATAAAAAAAATAATAATAATATTAATAATAATATTAATATTAAAAAGATGAATTAGTAAAATACAAATTAAAATTATCAAAGTTAACTCTAAAGAAATGGCTATGAAATAGTTAAGCCATAAAATTTATCTATGGATTATTATGATCCAATGCTCCATAATAAACCTTAATATAATAGGTATGATCCAAATACATTTAAAGATTATGGTAATTTATCATAAAGAGTAACTCCTGATATACCTGTAAGATAATTAAAACCTTAAACTATATATACATCAGCAAATACTAAATTAGTCTAATAGCCTTATTATGAAGCAGCAGAACTGTAAAAGAAGCCAATAGATTTATAGAAATATGATAGATAAAAAGAATTTATGGAATAGAAAGAAAGAGCATAAGATAAAATTCAAAGTTTGGTGTTGAAATCAACAATAGCATAGAAGAGTCCAGAATAAATAATAAATGAATTTAAAGCTTACACTCTTCCGAAATTAAGATTGAAGAGATTGATAATGCTTTAAGCAGCAATGAAGGGTTATCATGTAAGAAGATTTAAAATACCACGAATAAAATAAAAAATAAAAGTATGTCAATTATATGCAGAAGATTATTTAAGGAAAGTTCTTTATGTATGAATTTTAAGTATGTAGGATAAATTTATACCAGATATAGTATTAGAAGTAATTACTTACAATAAATATAATTAAGATTTATCACTTTATAGTGATAAGCATTAAGCTTATTTGAAAATAATAGATGATTTATTAAATAGAGTAGTAAGAAGAATGGCTAATGAAGTAGTTAAAGACTAGACTGATTATTTAGTTACTAGCATTTTAAATTAAAGATTTAAAGATAAGCCAGAGCAAGAAAAAGATCCAATGAAATTAGTGGCATTTTAAACAATACAGAACTTTTTAGATAAAGAAGTGTATATCATAGCTAAAGATGCAATTAAAGAATCAAGTTCCAATTATTACATAGATTTATAGTATGCAAGAGTTATAAAAGATCATATAATACCAAATACATTAAGAACAATAATATTTGAGGCATTAGATGATTTAGCAATTGAAAAATATTTAAATGATTTATGTTCTGAGATGGTTAGAGAAATCTCATAACCTTTATCAACTTAGATGACGTAATTATTATAGGCAGAACATGAATCGGCATCACTTGATTAAGCATTATAAAATTATGTATATAGAATGATGGGAGATGTACTTATAGAACATTTATTATTAATGGATAATCAGGACTTAGGTAAAGATCATGTTCCATCTGAAAATTCTGAACTGTGAAAATTCATATATATATTTAAGATAAGCATTAATTATTATATTAATTGAAATGAGTTGTGATTCCTCTTTCTTTTTTAGTGATTCTAACCTAGAAGAGAAGTGTCAATTAGCTAATTCATTATGTGCTCAAAATTAAATATTCATAAACTATTACTCAATTATCTATTGCCAGCTGAATGGACATTGGGCCTTTTTTATTGCAATAGCAATATTAGTTGTTCTAATAATATTCAGGTTTGTTTAATGTTTATTTATTCATATAGATTTATGAGTACATTAGTAATGCTATATTTGACGCCTGCTATTGAATTTATTACTGATAAATTGAATATTTCCTAATCTTTGAGTGCAGTCACTTTGTTGGCTCTTGCTAATGGGTATCATTTAATTAATATATAAAAGAGCAGGAGATGTTGTAACTGCTATTGTAGCCACAGAAACTTTAGATGGTATAAGCTATAACATTGGTTCTCTATATGGAGCAGGCTTTTTTGTAGCCACCTTAGTTGTTTCAATTACCATCATTAATTCTTAAACTTATATTGTCATGAAATCTTATTTTATTTGGAGGGACATTTTGTTTTACATATTTGCGACCATTGTTGTAATCATTTATGGAATCATTGGCGAACTTTCCTTAATAGATTCGTCATTCTTATTGATTATTTATTTTATACTAATCATTGTTGTAATCTTCCAAGATAAATTTTCAAGTAACAATATATTTTATACTTAATAGGTAAATCTAAAAAGTAATTTGATGAACTTTTAATCGATAATCCTCTCGATCCTAATGAAACTCAAGAGAGTGAACAGATTTAACAACAATCATAAAATTTACATCTGGATTCAATTAATAATTAATAATCATGTGCTGATAAATCATTCTGTGTAGTCGATGTTCCATTTAGATTCATCTTAAAATATAGTATACCACCTTCTACTCAAGTTAATAAATACATCTTAATATTTACAATCTTCCCAAGTCTTTCCTTCATATACTTTGTATTGGGATCCAATAATTACGATCCATACGCTTATTTATACATATCCTCAATCTCCATGATATTAGCTATCATAATTTATACTTCATATCCATAAGGCAACGTAATAATCAACTTTTTCATAGGATTTACCAAATTACTACCTCTACATTTAGATTTACATCACTATAGTATCCTTGGTCTGGATATATTGTTTGAGTGGCATTCTGATAGACACTCTCACTTTTTTTGGGATGCTTACTAATTTATCCAATTCTTATTTAGGTATGACAATAATAGCTATGGGAAATGCTCTACCAGATGGAATAGTTACTATGACCTTAGCCAAATAAGGATATGCTGTTATGGGAATTACAGGAGCGTATTAAACTACATGATATATAGATATTTTGGCTAAATTTTTGGCCTGTTGGTTGGTCTTGGAATATCTTTAATAAAAACTAATTTAAAAACAGGAGCCAGTGTAAAATTTGATTTGTTCAATTAAGATTTAATGCAGCAAAATTTAGTAAAAATAAAATTAATTATCTTAGATAATGATAATTATAATTTTCTCCACTCTTTTTGTATTAATAATCACTTTTTTCTATGGTATACTAAAAAAGTATCATTTCGCAAGAGATCTTTCAGTTTTACTCATATTGATATATGTATTAGTATTGAGTTCAATTACTATCATTGCTATTTATGAAGCTGTGTGATTAATATTTATAATGCAATAGTATTTTAAGATAAATTTTTGATGAGTTTAGATCATATACATTTATAGAGTCTTAGTTGTATTGAAATAACCATATTTCTCTTTTTTTTCATTATTTAGTTTTTATTGTTTTATTCATCAGTTAAATATATTATTTCAAAATTAAAAATGCGAAAGAAAATAGAGAAAACAAAAAAAAGTATCAATTATCTTTAATATTAGAACCTTGGACTGATTATGAAGACACTCAAGTAATGTAATTGGTAGAATAGTATGGTCCACATAAATGGACATTTATATCATCCAAATTACCAGGAAGAATTGGTAAATAATGTAGAGAAAGGTATTTGATCTTATTTATTATTTTAGATGGCATAATCATTTAAATCCATTAATTAAGAAGACACCTTGGGATTATAATGAAGAATGGCTCCTTTTTTTATATCATAAAGCAATTAGTAATAAATGGGCTGAAATTGCAAAACACTTAGAAGGAAGAACAGACAATGCTATAAAGAATCATTGGAATTCTGGAATGAAAAAAAGAATTCCAGAATTCACAGATAAATTATAAAGCATTAAACAATAGTTTCTTTAAAAAGGGTTGTATCTATTATTTTTATGAAGGAAGACCTTCTTACTTTGATCAATTTGAGATTGAGTATGAAAGAAAAGCATTAGAAATCATCTTTCTCAACAAAACTTATGTGAGTTTGTTAACAGATTCAGAAAATGAAGAAGAAGAACCAAAAAAATAAACAATTTTACAAAGCAGAGAAAGCACTGCCATTCGGATCTAGTAATATGTATAATCAAATTTTTATTAATATTAGAATGAAATGAGAAATAGAACTATTATTAAGCATCCCAGAAGAAATAGAATGCATAAAAAATACCTTCTTTTTAAGAAACAATAAAAAGAAAATTCTAATAAAGAACACTATTTATAATGGACACATACTCCTTAAAAATATGAAAAGTATTAGCTTAATATAATTTAGTGATGATTATTATTATACACCTGCTGCATTCAATAAATAAAGAAGAATGAGCCATAGCAGTTTTAGATAAAGCCAACATCAAAGTTTTGTAAATGAAACTATAAATCAATAGTATAACGAATCCTATATGGAAAGGGATGAATTAAAACAGAATTTATTCCTTTGAAATTTTGATTCAATTTTAAAAATTTTTTTTCTTTATTTGGAATAAATAAAGAAATCAATCTAATTTTATAAGAAATATTAAAAGATGATTAAGTCTGAAACTTAATTATCTATTCTTTCAATTTTTTAATTCAATTAATAAGCCTTTTTTCTATTTTTATTATAGAAATAATGAATCTTTTACTTGATTTATTTAAATTTAGTTTTTGAATTCTTTTTTTTATAAAATTGCTGCAATAAAAAGCCTTTCAACTTAAAAATTTATCATAATAGAAAATTGCTAATAATAAATTTATATTTATTCTAAATATCAACATTACAATTAATTTTATCAGACCACTTTGGATAGATTTTTTATTGATATAAAAATAAAAAATATAAATGAATACTTCTCTCATTATGTGCTTCAATAGTAAATCCAATATGTTCAACATGATAAAAAAGATTTCAAACCATTAAAATTATAGGCTCTCTAAAGAGTAAATAAGTTATTTAATTTTGAATTGATTTATTTAAAAACATTATTTAATGTAATATATATCATTTCTTTTATTCATTTTGCATTTATTACTAAAACATCGGATACATAATTCCATTTTACGGATTTTAATGTTGTCCATTTAATTATTAAAATCCTGCTTAAAGTGTTTACAGATTGGGAACTTGAGGTATTTAAGCCTGAATATTTGGAACTTAAACTTATGGTTAAATTGGTTATGTCGAACCTTAAGATAAAAATTATTAAAATGCATTTGGCTGCAATGAGGGTAACAATGGAAATACAGGTACTTGGTGTAATTAAGGCAATCCATTAAGAGAAGGGGCCTTTGATTAATCTTAAAAGTTATAATATTGAGATAAAAATTATGGTGGCAATTAAAATTAAAGAGGATTTAATTAAGCTAAAGGATTCATCCATTGTAATGATTATAATTAAGCAAATTATTACATCTATTGAAATTATTAGAATTAATTAGGTTATTAAAATTATTAAAGATCAGGAAGAAGTGATCCTATTTTAGCTTCTTATTTAATGTTACTTGCATCAAAGGGTTTATTTTGACAACCCTCTTCCATTTTCACTTTTTTTTATAAAGGTAATTAAATTTAAAATTGTTATTAAAGAAGCTATTATTATTATAATTACTATTATTACTATAATTACTATTATTATAATAATTACTATTATTGTAATTACTATTATTATTAAAATTATTATTATTATTATTGTAATTATTATGAAGAAATATTTAATTATTATGATTATATTATTTGTTATTATTATTGTTGTTGTTGCTATTATTAAGTTAGTTTTAAAGGCTTTTTTTATTCATTGGAAGAATCTTCCTCTTGACTGTCGCTATCTTTCATTAATCCATGCTCAAATTTTTTTTTCAAAGGTTCCAAATATCTTTTTCTAGAGTTGGTAAACCAATTTTAAATCTTAAAATCTAAACTAAATATTATTACTTATCGAACATGCATACCAGTAATCTTAGAAAGCCTTTACTTTTCTGTATTATCTGGATATGGATTATCAAGATGATCTAAAAACCATTTTTTTAGAATATCTATTGATCTTTTTTAAAATTTGTTTTTATTAGAATTTTTGTTAAACTACATAATAGGTTGTTATTCATCTTCATCATTTTTTTCTTTTTTTTAATAAAATAAATTATACTGATTTCTTCATTGCTGCTGCTTTCTTCTCCTGATGAATGGCTTTCTTCAACGTCATCTTCACAATTAAATAATTATGAAGCTAGTTTATCGAATTATTCTTTTGATTGTTTAAGTTTCTATTATTTTTCTTATATAGACTCATATAATTTATCTAATCCTTCTTCAATTTATTAAGTTATTTGAGTCTCATTATATTCAGTAACAGTTGATGAAAATAATGGTAAGAATACTTATTAGAGTCTATTATGTGAACATTTTTCACATATTTCAAGGTATTTAGTATCAAATATTTATGCCAAACATTTACGAAACTTTAAACTTTTAAAAATATAAGGGAACATTTGAATAGGTATCTTATGGTCTATATATTTAATATAAATTACCTGAAATGGGTATAGTAATTTAACTGAGCATTTCTGAGAGGATACAAATATCTTCAGCTTCAAATTAAATGCAAATTTAACACTAAGAGTCAGTCATATATAAATAAACTTTATTAATAAAAATGAGTAATTAATCTCCAGAAACAGAAAAACAATCAGATGAGTTATCTAAGCTTAAACTAAGTTTGATGTTAAAAGATAATGAAATAAGAGCATTAAAACTTAAGGTTAACCCAAGTGATGAAATTGAAAGGCTTTAATATGAGAGTGAAAAAATGAAGGAAGCATATGAGTAGGAAATCAATCTTTTGAAGGAAGAAAATTATGAATATTCAGAACTTTTAAAAGAAACTCAAGATTAAGCTGAATATCTTAAATCAGTGATAATAGGTAAAGATAAAGAAATTGCTGAACTGAAATCTTAAAATGCTAACGATGAAATTGTAAAATCAAGATCCAGAAATGGAGAATTATAATTGGCATTAGCTGAAAATGCTAATTTAAAAAACGAATTGTAAATTTTGTAAACAAAGTTGGATGACTCATATCTTAGTAAATAAGTTATGGATGAATAATTACAAAGTTTAGGATAGATGTTAGAAGTAGAGTAACGAAATACCTTAAACTAAGCAAATTAAATAAGTACTTTACAGAAGGAGGCTTAATATTTAAGAAATTCCGTAAATGATAGAGAAAGATTTATAGTTGGTAAAGAGAAGATTATAAAATTAAAAGATGGAGAAATTAATAGATAATAGGAAATTATAAATGATACACTTGCTAAACTGGCAGAAATGTAACATGATAACTAAGTCATTATTACATAAAATGATTAATTTAATAAAGTACTATAAGAAAAATAAGCAGAAATAGATTCACTTAAAGATTAATTACAATTCTTTGCTGAAGATTTATAAAGAGTTTAAAACTATGAAGGTTAATACAATGATGCCTAAGCAAAAATCAAATAATTAGCTTAATATATTTAAGAACTAGAAAAGTAATTATAAGACTAAATGAATTAATATGAAAAAAGGATTTAAGACTTAATAAATAATGCAAAAGCTACTGAGCATGAAAAGGATCAAACCAATTAATAACTTGAAAAGGACAATTCTGATTTAACTAATTAAGTTAATGCATAAAATAAATAAATATAATAATTACAAAAAGAACTTAAAGATGCTGATAATAAAAGAGAAAGAGAAGTTAAGGATGTTTAAAGAAAATTAGATGCTGAACTCAAAAAAACTGCTACTCTAGACAAAAATAATAAAACATTAAAAGATAAAACTGAAGAATAAGCTAAATAAATTAATGCTGCAAATCAAGAATTGGATCAATTAGATGATAAAATAGCTGAATTATAATAATAAGTAAAAGATTAATAGAATTTAATTAAAGATCTTGAAAAAGAAATTAAAGATTTAAATAAGGAAAAATAAAATTTAATTTAAGATAATAATAATTTACATCAAAAGTATAATTAAGCAGAAGAAAAAGCTTTGTTAGAATAAAAAGAATTAGCAAAAGCATAAAAGGAGTTAAATGAAAAACATAATGATACCGAACAATTAAATAGAGATTTAGATGAATACTAATAAGAAAATAATGAATTATAAAAACAAATTGATTCATTAAATGATTAAATTAATTAATTGAATAAAGAGATTGTTTAAAAATAGAAACAAATTGATTAATAAGGTAAGGATATCTAAAAGTTACAAGACACTGTAGATAAGCAAAAATTAGATAATTAAAATAAGTAATAAGAAAATAAATAATTACAATTAAATAATAATGATTTAAATAAATAATTAAATGAGTCAAAAAAACAAAATTAAAAACTATAAGATTAAATAAGTAATGCTGAATAAAAGTAAAATAAGAATTAAGATTAATTGAAAAACTAACTTTAAGATGCATAAAATGAAATTCGATAATTAAAGGATCAGATTAAAGAATAAGAAAAAGAAAAGAAAAATTTATAAAATGAAATAAATAATCTCAATAAAGAATGTGATGATTTAGATGCGAAACTTTAGTAAAAAATAAAAGAATAACAAGAAAATTCAGAAATTAATAGACTAAATGATGAATTAAATAAGGCTCTTTAATAGCTAAAATAAAAAGAAGATCAATTAACAAAAGTATAAAATGAATTAAATAAATTGAAAGAGTAAAGATAAAAAGATGTTAAGGAATAAAAAGAAAAAGAATAATAAAGAAAAGATCTAGAAAAATAAGTTAAAGATTTAGATGCAGAGTGTGATTCATTAGACTAACAAAGGAGAGCAGCTATTGATGAAGCTGAAAAATTAAAACAAGATTTGTAAAATTTAAATGATTTAAAAAAGCAATTAAAAGATAATTAAAATAAATTAATTCAAGCTGAAAAATTAATTGCTTAACTAGATCCTGAAGCAGTTAAAAATAAAATATAAAAAGCTGAGTAAGATGCTAGAAATGCTATATAAGCATAAAATCAAGCGAAAAAAGAATTAGATAAAGCTAATAGTTTATTAAAATAAAAAGAAAAGGAAATTAAAGATCTAGATGATGAATGCAATGCTTTAGATGCTTAAGTTTAAGATTTAAAAGAATAAGTCAAACAATAAGAAAATGAAATTAAAGATAAATAAAATTAAATAGATTAATTATAAAAAGAAAATCAATAATTAAAGAAAGATGATATAAAAGGGGAAATTGATAAATTAAGAAAGTTTATTTAAGAATAAAAACCATTACTTGATAATTTAGAAAAAGAATCTTCTTAAAGTGATAAAAGAAGATCAGATTTAGAAAAATAAATAGCAAAAAGTTAAGATGAGTTAAATAAACTTAAAAAAAAAAAAGGAGGAAATGCTGATAATGATTAATAAATATAAGATTTAGTATAAAAGCTTGATGAACTAGATAATGAATTATAATAAGAAGTGGATAGATATATCGAATCAGTTTCAAACATTGAGAAAATACTAACAGGTAATTAATATTATATTTTTAGATATTACTGAAAAACTATTAAAATTAAAACTATAAATAAATGAAGTACAAGAAGAAGATGGATAGTAATTTAATGATGTATTTTAGGTAGAATTTTTTTAATTATTATTTAGCTTGTAAAAAATCTATGTAATGATTATAAACAAGGTTTAGCAACTCACAATTAAGCTATGGAAGATCTTTTAAAGTAGATAAATAAATAATTTTGAAAATTATTTGATTTATTAATGTTATATATCATTTTAATATTTTCAAAAATCTAGTTTTTTTTAATCATTTGGTACAAAATTATTATTAATTGGGAATCTTTTTTATTCATTATTAGTTTTTTATATAAATTAACATTAATTTTAGTTAAATTTGTTTTCCATTAGAGGACATTATTATTTCTATATAATCTAACCCTAAAACTAAAAAGTCGTTCTTATACTAATTTAAGCTGGATTTTAATAATTTTTAGATTCAACTGATGTATTTCTTGATTAAGATCTAGATTTAGGCTTAAGACAATTTAAAACTTGATTGATATCATATCGATCTTTGACATTTCTTTTCAACATATTTTTTAAAAGTTCCTTATATTCTCTCTCTAATAACAACTTATCTATTAAATTTTAAATATCACCATCAGTTATTGTCAAGATTTAATTCTAAATTTTTTAGATTGTATCACCTAATAAATTATATATTTTAATACCTTAAAACATTAAACTACCAGAAATCAATTCATATATTAGTTATCCAAAACTCCAAATGTCGCATTTTTTATTATAAAGATCATTTGAATTATTTAATAGCTCTGGAGCAATGTAGTAAGGTGTACCAATTGCTTTAGTTTTTAAATTATTAATATTTTTAACATAACCAAAATCACAAAGTTTAAAAATTTACTATGTTTCTTATGTAATTTCGGATTTTATTGTTTAAACTAAAATATTCTCAGGTTTTAAATCTCTATGTGCTAAATTTAAATCCTCATGTAATTGTTTGATACCAGAACCAATCTATTGCATTATGAATCTAATATTTGTTTTATCAATTTTATTATTAACAGTCTCATCATATAAACTAGATTCTCCTAACTCCATAACAATATATATAAATCTATCTATTTTTACAACATCATAAATCTGTATTAAATTGCGAAATTTTTAACTTTCTTTCGGTTAATTCAAGTGTTAATAAAATTCGTATTCTCCTTCCCCTAAATATTCTTGTTGTTTTATTGCATAAAATTAGTTTAAATATTGACCTTTATAAACCTTGCCTGAACTTCCTTCTCCTATCTTTTCTAAAATAGTATATTATTTATCGTTTATTTTTATATAATTATTTAAAAACATTATTATTATTTTTTTTTTCTGTGTTTACTATTTTAATACTTCAAGATTTATTAATCATTCAAAAAAAAAAATAGAGAACGAAAATCTTATTGTATAGTCAATAAATTTACTTGATATTTTAAATATAATTATTAATAATTATATTGTTATAAATGAAATTAGGTACATGTACAGAGTGGTTATTCTTTCATATTTGGAAAAAAAATCCAAAAACTGGACATAGTTGTGATGGAATTTTTGTTGCAGATTCAATAATTTATAGATGGGCTCAACCATACTTTAGTAAGTTCTATATTATATTATAATTTAAGGATATTTTACTGTGTAAGATGGTCAAATTATTAGGAAAACCAAGGAGAGAGTATTTATAGATTAAGTTGAAAGTTCATTTAAATAAGAAAATACAGTTGCTTAATTAATGACAAGTCAGGTATAATTAAAAATTATTTATACTTAAGATGTAAAATAAATCATAAGAGATTATTACATTTGAATATTTAGATTATGAGAATTTCAAAATATTTCTTCATTAGAGAGAAAAGGATTTAAATTTAGTCCTTTAAAAGTAAGAATAATTTATTAAGAAGATTTATATACCCTAAAAATGATCAAAATTCTTTGATAAAAGTTACTTGGTCACCTTAATTTTGTTTAGTAATGAGGAAGACCAATATAAATAAAATGAATGATTTGAAGAAAACCCAAGTAGAAAGAGTTGCTACATTTGATGGACCAGAGTATTTAATATAAGCAGATTCTATAAATTCTCCACTATTAAGTGCGGATTTAGAATAATTATGTGTGAATATTGTAAAACACATTTTAGAAGTATCAGGTGGGAACATTTAAATAATAAGAATGGTCTTATATTTTAAAGTTGATTATGAAAATAGAATATGGCTACTTTTTTGTACTAATATTAAGGTGAAGGATAAGTTTAATGATATAATGCAATAGCCAAGAGTTTTTTCTCCTATTTTTAGAGTTTTAAGAAAGGATTAAGAACCTGTTTCATTTGCTAAAGAATAAGCTTAAACAGTTATTAAAATTAATAATTAAGGGGAAATGCAATCTCTTCTTTATTAATTCAAAAATATTTGTAGTAATTGTGATAGATTCTCTCATTAATTATATTAATTAAAATTATAGTTCATTATTGAAAGCTTTAAATAAGTATTAATATAAAATATAAGAATTTAGTGAAGAAAGATTTTACTAGATTGCCAGAGGAACTAGAAAAAATTAAACTAAAATAAGATTAATAAATTCCAAAAGTTACTTACAATAGAAACATTAAAATAAGATAAAAGTAAATTCTTAAAGAAGGTAATATAATCATATAAATTTAGAATACGAAGTTAAAAATGAATTTTAAAATGATTTTCATGCAAATACTATTTTAGTTGAAAAAAAAAAAATATGTTAAAATAAAATGACTGAGGATGAATTATATACATAAATTAAAGAATTAGTATAATTATTAAATGAGGAATAAGAAGATTAAAAATTTAATTTTAATCATATACCTCCTTTGATTTTAAAAGTTTGGGGTAAAATTAATGAAGAAAAATATTAATAATTACAGCATAATTAAAGTTGGAAAGATTTAACAACTTAAGTTTGTTTGGATTGTTTTTTGTAATATACATAATGTTGTGAATAAACTTAATCTGAAAGAAAAGCGTAATAATTTATTCAATTAATTTTAGACAAATCATGTCTTAAAAGTTAAGGAAGTTAGTAAATGCTAAAGAAGAGAATGAAAAAGAGAAACTTCTTTTATCTAATACAAGTTTGAATGGTAACAGGCTAACCTTTAATCAATTGCCAAATCTTCCATCTATTTCAGAATTACCTATAGATAAATAAAAAAGATTGTCAAGAAAATCATAAAATTAAACAACTTATGAAATTACAACCAAATAATTAGAATAAACTCCATAAAAAATATCTTAACCTTAGGTCTAAACTATTAATAAATTATAATTAACTCATCAATCATAATAATCCAATTAATCTAACTAATTACCTCCATAAACTGTGATTCCTAGTACCACTTTATCAAATAAATATTTTTAATTATAAAGATAGTCTTCCAGTTAAATAAACTAATTAAAATTAAAAATTCCTAGTACATAAAGAGTATTATCTTATTTAAATATAGATATATCAAAATAAATAAGGTTTAAACATTTCTGCAAATAAATCAATACAATCTAAATCATCCAGATCTACTCTAGATCAATCAAAGATTTCTTTTGATTTTATGATAAATACAGTGACTTAATTGAAGAGGAAACTTGAAGAACTTGAATAGGATGAAAAATAATAAGATAAATAAAAACTTTGAAATCTAAATTTTTTAAAATTTGACATATTTTATATTCATTAAAATAATATGAAAATAGATTAATTATTCCTGCTTTATATTATAAGTCTTTCAATTAGTCAAATAAAAATCATTATATATAAATTTTTTAATAATTTTAATTTAAATAAATTTAAAAGTTCATTAATTTACTTGAAATAATTATTACTCAAGAATTTCTTCCAATTAATTATTCAAATAATTTTCTATTTAATTTTTTGAAAAACCTTCATCGATATTCTAACAAAGCTTATCTATTAAATTTTGATTATGAAATCTAGTCCTTAATTTAACTTGATTTTTTATATAATTATTAGATTTTAACTTGCTCTAAACTTTAGAAGAAGGCACAATGTTAATGTCATCAATTTATTTTGGAGTTGGAATTTTTTTTTCATTTTTCTCTATCACTAATTCAGACTGAATATTTTGATCATTTTAATTTATTTAATTATTTGGAAATTCTTACAAGGATTCTTTATTTTATGATTTTTCTAAAAAAACAGGCTATTGTAATTGATTTAATTAAGTATCTGAATTAGGTTCTTCCAAACAATTTTATTATACTTGAGGAATAGACTATTAAATTGAATTTTATTCTTCATTTTAGTTTGGTTATTAATAATTTTATTAATTTAAAGATTCTTTTTTTTACTGAATTATTTCATCTTATTGATAATCTTATGATTATATGATTTAAATTTGTTAATTAGAATCTGAAGTTTTGTTTATTTTTGTTGGTAACTCTAACTATGATGTTTTTTTTAATTAATTTTCTAATAAAATAGGCTATTATACTTAATTTAATTAAGTTTCTGAATCAGATTATTATAAACAATTTTGTTATATTTGAGTAGTTGACTGTTATATTGAATTTTATTCTATATTTTAGTTTGGCTGTTAATAATTTTATTAAACTGACAAATTAACTTATTAAATTTCTGAACAGGAACAGGAACAGGAACATGATTATTGTTATTAGAAATTTTTATTTTCTTAGAAAAATTTCTATGATTTTGTTTGAAATAAACTTGGATTGAGTTTTAAAAGGATTTATTCGATATTTGGTCTATCAGATGGTTTTTGTTAGAGACAGCTCACTGCAATCTCTAAAAGCTACTGATCAGAAATTTTTTCCTAAAGTTTTTATAAAATATTAGTTCCTTATTGAATCTATTCAAATATTTAATATATTCCATTTCCAAAAAATAATTGTTAGTTAGAAAAGAAATCATAAATAAGAGCTCCAAATGCCCAAACATCAACAGATTTGTCATAAGTTGCTTTTTTTTATGAGCTATCTATTTATTCAGGTGCCATATAACAAGGTGTTCCAATATTCATAGTGTGTAGAATATCAACTTAGTGAGTTTTAGATAATCCAAGATCACAAATTTTTATTACATAATTATTCTGATCTACAAGTTATATAAGAATGTTAGATGGTTTAATGTCTCGATGAATAATATCCACTGTATGGATTTCCCAAATTCCAAAAGCAATCTTGCTTAATAATATCTATATTTACTTGAAATAACATGTCTTTTCTATGTTAATTGTTTAAATATGCATATTATTGTTATAAATATTTATAAAGATCCCCTATATTACAATAATCCATGATAATAATAAAATAATCAATAAGACCTTCATTATATGAAAATTATTCGTAAGTGTTGATAACATTTTAGAATTTGATGTTCTAAATAAAGCTGAAATATTTAAACTTTATACTCATTTAATTTTTTTTCTATATCAGTAATTTTACTTTATGCTTTTAATGCATATTAATTGAATTTTTCATCCTAAACATAATACACAAATGCATTAGCTCCTTTACCAATTATATTTTGAACAGTGTAATTCCTAATTTTGATTTACATTTTCTATTAATGAAAATAAATATAATTTATTTATTTGACCTATAAAAAATAGATATTAAATAATTTGTTTGTTAATTTATTTGATATATATATAAATGGGTGCTTGTTAATGTAAATAACAATAAAAAGAAATTGAATGCGATGTTTAATATTTATAAATAGATATAGGAACATCGTTAACCTTACAAAGATATTTATGAAGGTTCATAAGGTTGTTTGAATGATTATGAATTGATTCAACCTCCTTTAGGGGAAGGAGCTTTTGGAGTAGTTTGGAAAGCAAAACATAAAGCTAGTGGATAATATAGAGCTATAAAGTAAATAAATAGTAAACATTCTGAAGAATATCAGAATATTATAGATGAAGTTAACATTTTGAAAACACTTGTACAATATAAATTTAAAATTAGGATCATCCAAATATCATAAAAATATATGATTTTTTTGAAACAAATTAGAAATTATATATAATAACTGAATTATGTACAGGTGGAGAATTATATGATAAATTAATGGAGATTCATAATTTTTCAGAGAATGATGCAGCTAATATTATGAAACAAATTTTATAGGCTTTAGCTTATTGTCATAATTAAAGGTTAGTTCATAGAGATATAAAGCCAGAGAATTTATTATATGAAAGTAATGAAAAAGATAGTCAATTAAAAGTAATAGATTTTGGTACATCAAAAAGAACAACAGGAAAGAATTTAAAAGAGATAATAGGAACAGTAAGCATATTTTAACTTTTAAAAGGCTTACTATATGGCCCCTGAGATGTTTAATGAAGAGTATAATGAAAAATGTGATATATGGTCAGCAGGAGTTGTTTTATATATATTATTAAGTGGTAAACCTCCTTTTGATGGAGAAACTGATGATGATATTTATTAATCAATTAAAAAGGGAAGTTATTCATTATCTTCAACAGAATGGTTAAGTGTATCACCAGAGGCTAAATAATTGATTAGAAAGATGCTTGAATATCAAGTTTCTAAAAGATATTCAGCATAAGAATGTCTCAAAGATCCTTGGATACTTTAATATACAGAGAATGAAGTTAAAGCTCCAGTATTGGAGAGTGTTCTTACAAATATGAAAACATTTAGAGTATATAATGATTATATTTTATAATAGACTACTTAAAGAATTTAAGAAGCAGCTTATATGTACATAATAAAACAATTTGCTACTAAAGAAGAGAAAGAAGAATTATTAAAGACTTTTTAAAGTCTTGACAAAAATTCTGATGGAGTTTTAACTAAGAAAGAGTTGCTTGAAGGTTATATGAAAATAATGCCTGAATCAGAAGCCATTTTATAGGTTGAATAGATTATGTAGACAGTTGATAAAAATCTATCTGGTATTATAGATTATTCTGAATTTGTTATGGCAACTATTAACAGAAAAACTACTCTAACTTAAGAAAGATTAGAGTAAGCTTTTAAAGTTATAGATAAAGATAATAGTGGAACAATAACTATTGAAGAATTGAAATAAATGTTTTAATCTGGAAATAAAATTCCATAAGAAACTTGGGAAACTTTGATGTCAGAAGTTGATAAAAATGGAGATGGATTACTTTCACTAAAAGAATTTAAGGATATGATGCTTCGTTTAATTTGAAAATATTATAAATTAAAATTAATTTATAAAAATTAATGTCACGACCAGAATCACAATTACCACCAAATTTAGTAAGTATCATAATCTAATGATTCTCTAGTACTATAATGAATAGGAAAGTGTTAAATATACTAATTGCAATAGAATTATTAATATTTAAACATAATTAAGTGAAAGGGCTATTTAATTATTAGATCTTGATCTGGATGAATGTAGTTTAGTATTAGATATTGGATGTGGTTCAGGAATATCAGGATTTTATTTAACATAAGAAGGAGTGAATTGGGTTGGATTAGATATATCAGAATCTATGTTAAATGTTGCTTAATAAGAAAAGACTGAAGGTGAATTACTATTATGTGATATTGGATAAGGATTCAAATTTAGACCAGGTGTTTTTGATGCTGCGATATCTATTTCTGTTATTTAATGGTTATGTGTGAGTTTCAAAAAATCTGAAAATCCATATAAAAGATGTACAGCATTCTTTGAGTCACTTAGAAACTGTTTAAAAAATAATGCTAGAGCAGTTTTTTAATTCTATCCAGAAAATAATGAATAAATTAATATGATTACCAGTGCCGCTTTAAGAGCAGGTATTCTAAAGAAGACTTATAATATTAGGTTTTAGTGGAGATATTGTTGTTGATTATCCTAATTCTGCTAAAGCCAAAAAACTTTATCTTGTTCTTTAATTAGGAGGTTAATCATCAAAAAAAACTATGGATGTTATCTAAGGATTAATTGAAGAATCTGATGAAGAAAAAGTTAAGGTTATTGGGAGATAATAAAAAAAAATTAGAAAATTAAAAAAACAAAAGAAAATATCTCAAAAATCTAAATTATGGATTGTTAAAAGAAAAGAAAAATAAACTAGATTAGGCAGAAAAGTTAAAAAAACTACTAAATATACAGGTAGAAAAAGAAACAATCTAGGTTTATTCAAATGATGAAGTATTTTTAATTATTTTATTTAATTTTATATATTCTGATAAAAGATGATGCATGGTTAATCAAAATCTAAAGCTGAAACATTATCTGAAGAAGAGATAAAACTCAGAGCTGAAAAAGGACAATAAATATTAGAATCTTTAGACTATTTTTTTAAAGTCAGAAAAAACTAAGTTAATCAACCTGAAGATCAATTAGCATTTTCTGAACTTATGGCTAAATTATGTCCTGAAATTGCTACTATTTATAATTATAGAAGAGAAGTGCTTTAAACAAAGTTTGATCATTTAGGACAACTTCTTTCAGAATCAAAAAGTATTGAAGCATATAAATAATTACTTAAATTGATTCAATCTGAATTTATGCTCATAGCTATACTTCTTAAATAACATCCTAAATCATATACTCTTTGGACTCATAGATAATGGATGGTTTTAAGAAGTTAAGAGATTGATTAACTAATTACTTAAATGTATTATTATTTTTATAATATATAGTAATTAAGACAATTAGTTTAAATTGATTGAAGCTATAAAATAAGAATATGAATTATGTAGTAAAATGTTGGATAGAGACGAAAGAAATTTTCATGTTTGGAATTATAGAAATTGGTTATCTTCAATTTGTGCTTTTGGTAAAGAAGATGAATTCACGAAAAAAAAAGTATAAATTTTTATTTAGTTAGATTGAATAAAACTTTAGCAATTTTTCTGCTTATCATTTCAGAAGTAAATTTTTTATGAAAAACTATAATAAATCAGAAACAATCCTTGAAAGAATAAAAACAGAACAAATTTTAGGTTTAATACCTTTACCTTTTAGTAGATTGAAAGAAGAGACAGAATTAATTTAATAAGCTATATATATCCAACCAAAAGAACATGGAGTTTATTTATATCATAGATGGTTAGTTGGTGTTGTTTAACCTTTCGGATTTACAAAAGTTGAAAAAGTTTCAAATAATTCTGTCACTGTATAATTTAATAGAGCAGTAAGCAATGTTGAAAACTCTTTTGAATTGTTTAACAATGAAAATGCTCTAAAAATTATGGATATCAAAATTGAAGGCACAAATGTTATTATTTCTTTTGAAGATTAATAAATACTTAATCTAAAAATCAAAATAATAAATTAAATATACTAAAATGGGTCATTAGAGACAATGGTTAGTGAAGATGAATTCTCAAAGTTTTTAGTTCCAAGTGAAATCAATATTAAATTTGATAATGAAGGATTTTAATTTTCAAATACAATTTAATAAGAATATAATGAGGCTATTAATTAAATTGATAAATATCTTGATGAAAATCTTGAGTTTATTAAGTAAGTAATTGAAGAAGAAAAATAAAATAGGTAATCTCTTTAATTATATGATAGATTTCCATATATTTAAATATTATATTTATTGTAATTCAAACTTCGTACTTAAAAATTGATTGATTCTAGTAAATCCAAAGACATTGTTAAGGAAGCCTTGCAACATTGTGAATAGTTGAAGAAAATTTAAAATGATCATTAAGCCCAATTTCTTTATGAATTTTGGAGTTAATTTTGAAGTTATTAATTGTTAAAATTTGAATTCAATTTCCATATGCAATAACAACGAAGTAATTTTGGTTAAAAAATCTTCTAAAATGAAATGACTAATCAAAACATCAATTCCAATGATCTCATGATGTAGAATATGATGAAAATTTTTTAACAGCAGATGATGTAAATGATGCAAACTTAATCATCTGGTATTCCATTTTCTTATAATAGGATTTGATTTAGAAAAATTTTACTAAAACAAAGTAAATGATATGAATTAATTTTACAATCAAATGAAACCTGAAGAATGCTAATTGTAATAGTCATCTCAATTTATAAATACAAATAATCCTATTAAATATTAAGAAGTATTTATTATCATTAAGTAGGAAAACAACATAAACACAAACAGATAATTGCATTTTGATGATATTTAAATTACTTCCAATTACAAAAATGAATTTCATGATTACAAGTTACCAGAAAATGATCTTTTTAATTAATATAAAAATAAATAAGATCAAAAGTAACGTTAACAAAGACCGCTTGAATAAGATGATTAGCGATCAACTAAATAATAATTTCAAAATTTTGATTAATCAGAAAATGAAGAAACATACAATAGATAATCAAAATAATAATAAAAAAGATCTAATATATTTGATGATATGCCAGTTAAATAAGCAAATTAAGAGGAATAATAAATTAGATCAAATTTTAATAAAAATAATTTTTATTAATAAGATGAATCTGATTATAGATAACATTCTAATCCATTTGATGAAATGCCTATTAAACCTATCAAAATAAATAATTTTGATGAAATGCCCATCAAAAGTAAAATATAAGACGATATTATCAAATAATAATAATAAGATGAATTTCAATAAAAAAAATAATAGCAACTCAAATAATAAAAATAATATGATGATTATCCAAACAAGAAAAACAATTATGATGAAGTCCCAATCTAAGCATCAAAATAAAATTAAAATAATTTTGATGATATTCCAATAAAATCATTTAAAAAAGGCTATGATGATTAAACAGTAAAAAATAAAAAGAATTCATTTGATGAAGTGCCTATAAAAGCTGCTAAAAGTCAAGGATTTGACGATATTCCAATTAAAACTAATAAAAATCAAACATTTGATGATATTCCTATTAAAGCAAATAAAAATTAAAATTTTGATGATATTCCTTTAAAAACTAGTAATAATACATTTGATGAAATACCAATAAAAGTTAACAAAAATAAGTTTGATGATATGCCTATTAAAACAAATAAAAATCAAGATGTTGATGAATTACCTCCGAGAAATACTTTTAAAAAACCTCTTGAAGAAGTTAATTATGATGAGTAAGGTCGAATAAAGAAAAAGCCTTTCTTAAAAAAAGGAACAAGATAATTTCTATCAAATGCATAGTAAAGATCTGATATTGCAAAAAAAGAACATGCTGAAATTTTAAAAGAGAATAATGCAACAGGAAGTCTACCTATTTAAAATTAAATTAATTAAATTAGACCTTAAAAAATGCAATAATAACAATAATAAAAAATTGAGTTTAAATAAGAATAAAAAGAGATTTAATAAAAAACAAAAAAATAAGAAATAATAAAGGAACAACCAAAATAATAGTAATTTAAGTAATAATAATAATAATAATAAAAACTGTTGAAACAAAAAGAAGAATCTGAAACAAACTAAGATTCTTATTAAGAATATTAATTTGATGATAATGAGGATTGGAATGATGAACCTCCAAAATAATCAAAGATTGCAACATCTTATTTTGGATTAAAAAAAGAAAAGGATGCAAAAGAGAAAAAATAAGAGAAATGTTAACCATAAGAATCTGAAGAAGAGATTGTTAGAAAATATGTTTAAGATAAGATTGATAACTTAAATGCTGAAATTGCTAAATTTAAAAGTGAAAATGAAAAAGTAAAGAAAGCTAAAGTTAAATGTGAGGATTAATTGAAATAATTACAAAGAGAGAGAGATGAATGGGAGAAATAAAAAGAAATAGAAAAGCTTGAATTAGAAGAATGGAAAGAAGAAGAGAAGAAAAAAATGCTTAGAGAGAAAAGAGTATAAGAAAGATAATAAAAAACAATATAAAATTTGCCAAATAGAAAAGAAAGAGAAGAAATAGAATTATTAAAATAATAGGTATAGAAATTAATAGAAGAGTAAAAGCAAAAAGATTAAAAAAATAAGTTATCTTATGATAGATTAAAAAAATAGAATGAAGAACTATAATAAAGAAATTAAGAATTGTAAGCAGAAGTAAAAGCATTGGAACTTAGATTATTAGATCAAAAACGTCCAAATTCTTAATCTACAATTTAATAAAGTAAATCATAATAAATTTAATTAAAATCTAATGTATAAGGACTTTCTTAAAAGAAAGAAGTTCCTCAATAAAAAAATAGAAGGTAAAGTCCAACGTGTTTTGGAGAAGAATAATAAATAAAACACAAGCAATCAATTTAAGAATATAAAAAATAAACTTCAGATCGAGATGATGAAGATGAAGATGAAAATGAATATTAAAATGAAAATGAAAATGAAAGTGATAATGATCATGAAGATATTGATGATAAAAAATTAAAATAGAAAAGAAATATTTAATAATAATAAAATAATAAGAAATATGATTTAGTGGAAATGTAAGATGAAGGAATTCCGATTACAATAAAAAATATAAATAGTTTAATACCTGAATAGGAATTTAATTATGATCAAAATCGTTATTATTAAGGTTATAAAAAGAATAAAGATATACCTTCAAAAATAATTAATTAAAATGTTGCACCTGATGGTAAGATATCTAGATAATATTCTAATGGTAAAAAAGAAGTTGTATTTCATAATGGAGTAAAAAGGGAAGTGTTTCCTGATGGATATGTTATTGTTCATTTTACTAACAAAGATGTGAAATAAACTTTACCTAATGGAACAGTAATATATTATTTTGCTGATGCTAGTACAACACAAATTACAATTGCAAATGGTCCAAATGTACTATATATTAATATAATATTAGATTTATCGTTTCTCTAATTAATAGATTGAGATTCATTTTACTGATGGAACAAAGGAAATTAGATTTGGTGATGGAACTGAAAAATATATTAATGCTATTGGTGAAGAATAAACATTTTTCAGCGATGGAATTATTTAAAAAATTAATAGTTAAAAAATAAAGTAAATCGAATATACAAATGGAAATATAGATATTATATATCCTGATGGTCAGATTTAAAGATAGTTTAGAAATTGATTAATTATATTTGGCGCTATTTATTTTAATTTATATATGAATTTGTGCAGAATTTAACACCATGATAATCAGAAAGTTAAATACATCTGTTTAGACTAAAAATGTAATCAAGATCAAAAAATAGGTATTGTAATCATGTTAAAAATAGGTTGTGCTGATTGTTTTTTAGAATTTCATGTACCAAATGATATTGTTTCTCATTAAAGAAAATTAATATCTGAATTTGAGGCTGAATTGAAAACTAAAATTTAAAATTTGACTGACATTTCTATTTCTACAAACTCTAATAATTCAGAATCAGTTGATTAAGAATTTGATACTTGCATGGATAATTTTATTTAGAAATTGACCAATTATAAAGAATAAATTAAAGAAGAGATAAATAATGAAAAGAAAGAATTTGTAACATAGGTGAATGAATTTAATTAAAAAATTACAGAGTAGATTGATTTGTAAAATACATAAATATCACAATTATCAACTAATGAAATTAATAAATCAATTTCCTTTTATTAGAATTCAAACAATATTGTTCTTGACTTAAAAAAAGATTTATAAGATATGGAAATGCATAAAAATAAATTAGATTTAAAAAAATAAAAAGCAGTTCAAAAGTTAAGAATTACTTTTGAATAAATTATCAAAGAACTTGATGTTAATACCAAAAATTATTATAACAAAAGCAATGATAATAATAATAATATATCTTCTACACCTGAAAAATAAATCTAACCCTCTTAATTGAGTAATACTACACAGTCAACTCCAACAAAGAATATTGTGGATGTTGCTAAATCTAAAAAATAAAGAAAAGGAAAGAATTGATTTTACAAATAACTAAAAAAAATAAAATTATTTCATTTCTTTTAGGATTCATTAATCTATGCGTAAAAAAAATTATAATCTAATGACTCAAGCTCCATTTTATTTTAATAAATCTGCTATTACCTTGAATAGTTAGAAACTTGTAATCTTTTACTAAAATATCCTATATCATCACCCTTATAGCTTTTTAATTATTGATATTTGTAATTTTTTGACAATCTTATTCAAATGAACCTATCAAGAGATTTATTATTTCTTTCTCTGTAACAATAGAGTTATAATTAGTTCGATCCTTAGGAAAATATTATTTATTGGAATACAAATATCTTTCTAATATTCCTTTTTGTTCAAATACTCTCTTCATCATTCAGATAAACAATGTAATTAGATATTTTTAAATGTCAATATGGCCAGTAGATTAATTAATATTAGAAATCTTTATAAGATACAAGTTCATTATAAATTTTATAGATTTAATGAATATTTTTTAAATCAATGTTTAATCAATATTATTCTAACATAAGAGAGATTATTTTTTATCTATCTATCTAGTTATTTTCTCAAACAATAATTTACATTTATTATTAAACTTATAAAATAAAAATGATAAATAGAAATATTTCCTTTTAATTAAATCAAACCTAATTTTTTTATAAAATTTTTAAATTAAACAATATATATAATCCAAAATATAATTGATTCATTAATTATAAATGATCATATCTAATATTTAATAAATCACTTATTATCTAAATCTATTTTCATAGTTTAATTAATGACATCTACTTAATACACAACTTCTTATAAGTTTCATTTTTTTCTTATAAAATTGTTCTGTGTAATATTTGAAAATTTTTTCTTTAATATTTGATGGATCTTATTATACAATTATGTTTTAAAATTCGTTTATGTTAACAAATTTTGAAGAACTACTATGAACTAAAGTAAGTGCATCTTTGTATTTATAATTTAGATTTTCACCATTTGTTTCCATAAGATAAATATGATTCAAATAAGGGTTTTTAATAGATTTAATAATTTAAGAGTTAAAGCTATGAATATCTAAAATATTTTTTATTTTATTATGCCTGAGATTTAAATATAATAAATTCAAATATGATAACTATTAAACAGATTTGACAATTTTATTTAAAAATGATTCATTAATAAGAATTTCATTATTTTATAGATCTAACTAAATTTTTAAACATAAATTACTTATAGGTACATTAATTGATGCAATTCACTAATTTAATTGAAAAAAAAGAAATAATTAGGCAGTTTTAGTAGGGTTTGATTTCTGACATAAAATTTAAGTTTTTTGAGCTCTTTAAAATCAACAATAGTTTTTAAGATTATATCAAAGTTATTTGTATCACATAAAATTAAATCAAAACATATCGAAAGATTTTGCAAAGATTTTTTAAGTTACTATTGTTTTTGTAAAAATTCAAATAATTTACCAAAATTAGCAAATTTTTTATCAACATTTTCTATAGTATCAATAAATTATATTTGTGCTTAAAGAGCAGTGATTTTCCAAGAAATATTCAATTATAATTTTTAAGCTTCAGTACTAATTACTATTTATTCATGATATAATTACATGTATTAACTTGCAATTATTTATAATCACTTGAACTTTTATGACAAGCAGGTTCATTTTAGATTCTAAATTCTTATAAATTATAATCTTTCATAGAATTCATAAATAGATTTAATAAATACGTTGATTACCAATAAGAAGTTTTTAAATTAACATTAGTTCCAAATAATCTCAAATGAGTTAAAGTAATAATAATTGGAGAATTTATCAGTTAATTGTATGATTCATTTTCTGTTTAAATAAAACAAGAGTCAATAATTTTAAGGTTTGGAAAATTTTTAGCATTATTTCCTATTTAATCTAAATTATGTACACTGTTACACCATTATATAATAAAGGTTTCTAAGAAAGGCCATTAGAGATGAGATAATTTGTAAATACCTTAATTATCTATTTTAGTATGACTTAAATCTAAATATTAAATATTTTAGATGCCTTGGAATAAATAATCAATAGTAAGAGAGGTTATATTAGGGCAAATTAATGTAACATTTATTAAATTCAAGAAATTTTTAGAAAATCCTCCTTTTTATTGAAAAATTTAAAATTAAGAATCTATTACATCAATATTATCTAAAGTTAGTTCTTTTAAATTAATCAGAGAATATTTAGCTAAATTTTTGATAAGTTTTTAATGTGGATTCTTAATATTTTATAAGACAATTTTTTCCAATTTTTTATGATTAAAAAGTAGAGATTGCTTATAATCTTTATAATTCATTGTATTTTAATAAAATATATTGTGCTATCTTATAAAGAATGAATTACTAAATTGTGTAAAGATTTAATGTTGGATATTGATTATTAGTTTTAATTATTTATAGAAAGTTTATGTGATTAGTCTTTAGGATCGTTGTCTTTATCTGTTTAAGATATTAATTAATCAAATAAGGTTAATTATTAAGTTTAAGTTGTTCTTCTCATAATAAAATAAATTAAATAATCATTTATATTTATTAATAGCTTATCTGGATAAGGCTAAAGCTGAATTAATTCTATTTTTTAATTCTTAGCTTTCCTAAAATTCATCTATTGTTGAATTTCGTGCATTAGGATCTAAAACAATAGGCGGAGTAGGTGAAGGATGTATCATATAATCTTATAATTTAGGTTGTATTTATTCCTTAATTTTCGGTTAGGGAACATTATTCTTTAATTTATCTAGTTATTATTAATAAAGTATAATTTATTATTATTATTATTCAATTAACAATTATTATTATTGATACTATTATTATTATTATTAGAATAATTATTATTGTTGCCTTAATTACAATTGTAAATGTTATTATATTTGTTATTCTCTCAAGATTTGTTCTTATCTTTAACGTTCTGCTTCTAATTGTTTAGGATTTGAAACAGGTAAATATTAAGGAGGTACAACTTATGATTATATTCTAATAGGAGATGATTAAATTTATTATTGATTTTTAGTGATTGGAATACTAGGCTAAACTATTTATAAATTAGAAGAATCAGATGGGAATCTATTTTAAAATATTTTAAGATCTTATTGAGAAGTGTGAGTAGTTGGATTCAAAGGATTATTTCTTGAATTTTCTAAATTCTAAGTAATTTCATTAGAGTTCTAAATTATATAAAATAAATAGATACTAATAATTCAAGAAAAGTTGGTCTATCAATTTCTTCAATTTGTAACATTGTTAATACTATTCTTACAAGATCAGTAGAATAAGCAATATTTTAAATTTCTATTTATCTTTCTTAAAATATTTAATCTTTTATTTATGGATCATTAAGATCATAATTATAGCATTCAAAACTATCTTTAAGTGTCATCAATTCTAAGAAAGTCATTCCTAAAGAAAAAACGTCAGACTTTTATATATCATGATTTGGAATCTCTAATTTTTATCTTAAACCATCAATTTATTAAGGAGATAATAATGCTTATCCTTTTCCTGTAAGTACAACTTAATATCCACTCATTAAACGTAATACTCCTTTAGGAATTAGCTTAATTGAATCATTTTTATCTAAGTAAATAGAATCTGGTTATATATGAGTATGCCATTTCTATCTTGCATCCAAAAAATGTAAAGCTAATAATATTTCATGAAGACACTTCCATAATTATCTTTCTGGAATATGATTCTTATTTGAAAAATGATGTCCACAAACTTATTTTAAGGTTTTATACACTGCTTCATAAAACCATCTACTTATCTATAAATTTGTTGTTAAATTTGGATCAACACAAAGACCATAATATTTAACCAAATGATTATGTTTTAGAAGCATAAGTTATTCATGTAATTCTAATAATGGACCTTCATCATCAGTTGCTGTATTTCCATGTCTTTTTTCAAAGATTGTTGCATATTTTGTATTCTCTCTTTTTAATCTATAAAGTTCTACTCGATCTATGTGAGGAAAAGATTATCCTCCCATACTTTCAAATTAATCTTCTAAACTTTAATTCTAATTGAAAATTGAATTATCTGCTGATTTTATCATATATAATCGATTCCCCATTTTTCTCAATAAAATTTTATTTATTAGATAAATTAAAATACACATTAATCAAATACAACAATTCTTTTCATTTTAATTTAAATTTTCAATTTATAAATAGCATACTATGTATTATTTTATGATATTACTATTTACTCTCTTTTCTGACATATAAAATAATTTTGCTCTCTATTTAGTTTCAAATTAACTAATATAAAATTAATAATCTATTAATTATTGAATTATCATTCAAGTTATATCGAAATTCATAATTTATTTAAAATAATAATTCAACCTTAATCTCAAAAATAGTATGCTTATTTATGAACATAAAAATTTAATGTATTTATTTATATTAAGAAATAGCTAAACGATTGCCTTAAATAAAACAACATTCACCAATAAGTTGTCAATTAGTCTTCTATAATGGTTAATTAATAGTGATTTATTTATTTTTAAAAATTAAATTATATTCATTTATATTATTCTTACTTTTTAGAATAATTTATTGATCAAACTAGATATAAATTATTCTGGTGATTTAATTATTATAAGCAAGTATAAATAAAGTTTAAATAACTTTGTTTTATAATCTTTTCTATTTAAAATTCTTAAAAAATAAAAAAATCCAACTTAATAAATTCAATGATTTTTTAATGTTTTAAGAATTTTAAATAGAAATTTATAAAAATAATAATGATTTTTTGGATTGATAACACTAGCATATATGATTGTAGAACTTACAGTCTAATTAAACCTTAGTAGTATGATGTTGCTATAATTTTGGATTACATTAAACAAGAATAATAGTAAAATAGAATTGATCTAAAAGAAAAACTACCAAAATTATTAAAAACTCTTGCCTTATTGCTTATGATTCATAATAAGAATGACATTTTTAGATTATTACAAATTTTAGCATCAAAGGATTTCAAATATACAAAACTCTTCAATGATTTTATGAATAGTCCTGCTGCATTGTGGTTTTTAGATTAGATGAAGTTAGAATCTGTTCAAATGATTATGCATCAATACATTTAAGGAGAATTTAAGTTTCTTGAAGGTTTATTTTAAAAGATTAACAATTCATATGAATAATATTTGTAAAAGCTACAAAATGAGTAAGGAACTCCTGAGTTTAATTATTAAGCCGAATAATAATTGTAACAAAATTAAAATTAAGATTAAATAAAATCTAATAAATTTTTAGAAAATACTTAATAGAATTAAAAATTAGAAAAATAAATAAATCCAGCTTCTAAAGTACAATTAGAGTAGCCAAATAATTCAAGAAAAAAGAGTTTAGAAGATAATAATCTTGAAAAAGATTAATAATAAACTTTATCTAAAGGAAAAAATGATATTAAGACTATTTAAGATACAAAAAATTAAAATCTTACTATAAATAAAGAATAAACTTAAAATAAAGAATAAGTTTAAATACAAAATTAGGATGTTGGACAATAGAAATAAATAAATAAAGAAAAGAGTTTAAAAACAACTATTGAAATAGAAGATTAACCTTAATAATAATAATAATAATAGAATGAATAAAATAATAAATAAAAATTAGTATAATAGTAGTAAAGCCAAAATTAATTAAATACAAAAATTGTAAAAGATTAAAATAATGCAGAAAATTAGAAAGCATCATATTTTTCAGAACAATAAAAAATTTCGCTTGAATCAGTTTTTAAAGATGATAAACCAGACGAGAAAAGTAATTTTTCTATATATTATATTTAGTGCTTGAGATGGCAAAAATCTTATCAGAAAAAGCCTAAAAAAAATCAGCATATTCACCTTTATAATCTCCTTCAAAATTCAAACCTAATCCAAAACCATTAGAAAAAATAACAGAAAAGGTTGAAAAAAGAGTTAATATGGAATAAAAAATAGCAAAAAAATAAAATTAAGAACCAGAAAAAGTAAATTAATATATAGATACTTTAACTGATAAAGAACAATAAGATTTTGAATTTTCTGAAGACACAGAATTAATTAAATTATTTGATTTATTAAAAGAAAAATGTGAATAAACTTATTGGTGGTCTAAATTTTAAGATAAATGTCATAAGGCAATGATGGATAAGGAACTTGAGATGATAATGTTTGAAAAATTGCCTATATTAATGAAAAGATGGGCTATCAAAACAGGTAAAAATGTAACAGAAATGGAAAGAAATCCTAATAGAAGACATAGAACACCAATTTAAGAAACAAAAAATACATTATTAGATTATTCTGATCCAGAAGAATTAACAAAAGATTTATTTCATAATGTATAATCTTTAGAAAAAACAGAAAAGAATAAATAAAATTTAGAAAATGAAAAATTTGATGAAAAAGATGTTTTAGATTCTAATTAATAAAATAATTTTGGAATTAATAAATTAAAAAAGATAGATGAAACAAATAGTAAATTTTCTATTAATCATGAATAAGAGTAAAACATAAATTAAAATTTAAAAAATGATTTTAAAGATATATAAGAAAATTAAAGGCAATTATTAGTTTTAGATAATTAAGAATAACTAAACAAGGAAAATAACAATTTAACATCTAGATTAGATGAAGATCCATTTTTAAATTAAAATCAATCTATTTTAGTAGACTAGGAATAATTACTTTAAAATGAAATTTAAGAAGTAACTCCATATTAAATTATTGATATTGATGATGAGATATTATTTTAGAATTTTTCTGTTGATAGTTAAAAAGCTTATTAATAAAAAGTAATTAAAACAGTTTCAAATAGATTAAATCCAGAAATTAATTATCCAAAGTAATTAGAAAATGAAAACCTTAACAAATAATTCGAAACATTAGATAATTAAAAAAATTTTATATATATTGATTCAGTAAATGATGAAATTATATCTAACAAGAGAAACTATTAACAATTACCTTAATAATAGATAATTTAAATCACTGAGGATTGTGTTGAAATTTAAAATTAACCTACAATAAAGAGTAATATTGTTTGTACTAATATTCAATCAGATGTTAATTAAATTAATGATGATATTGATAATTTGTTTCAAAATGAGAATGATATATCAAGTCCAGATTCTTTGATTAGTTCATCATCTATTATGATTAGTGAATAAAGTAGCATTTAATTTGATTAAATTTAAACTTAAAAAAATTAATTCGAAAATAAAGATTAATAAAATTAATAAAAAAACAAAGAAGTCATTAAAGTAATTGATAAAAATGAAAACAGATAATAAAGAGAAGAAGAATAAAAATCAAAAGACAAAAAATCATCAGATTCTGATTTAGATAAAAAAGAGAATTAAAAAATTAAAAATAATAAGAGATAAAATTCAAAAGATAAAAATGAAAATTTAAAATAAAAGAGTAAAGGAAAAGAATCTAAAAATGACGAATAAGAAAAAAGTAGAGCTAAAAGTTAATAATAAAATAAAGATAAAGATAAAAATAAAAATAAAGATACAAAGGGTAGTAAGAGTATTGAAAAAAAAAATACTTAAGATATTCTCAAAATTATGTAAGCAGAAAAAGAAGCTAAAGAAAAATAGAAAGAAGATTTGAAAAAAAAAGAAAAAGAAAAAATTCAATAAGAAAATATAAAAAAAGCTGAGTAAAAGTTAGAAAAATTAAGAAATGATGAAATTGAATATTAGAAAGAATATAATCATCTTTAATAATAATCTAAATAAAAGGAGATTGAAGAGTTAAAATAATAATATCAAAATTAGTTTAAATAATATTAATAACCATCTTAATAATCTCAACAAAATTATAAAAATGTCAATCAGCATCAAGAGCAAAATTAAAGATTAAGATCTTAAGAAAAATCAAATTTAGAACCTTAGATAGTAAATAACAGTTCTTCAAAATTTTAACATTATAATTAATAAATGATTTAAAAGATGTAAGATAGTTAATCAAATGGAAATCGACCATAATAACTTAATTAAGCTAATGAAAAATCACCATCACAATAATCATATCATATGGATTAAAATAATTAAAATTTTAATAGGGAATAAAAATCAGTTTAATAATCACATCAATAAAACTATAAATAATTTGATAGAAATTAGGGAAATTAAGTTAACCAAAATTTACCAGAATAAGTTAATCCACAGTAAAATACTTACTAAAAATAAAATAGTTATGCTTTTCCTTTAGAATAATATGGTATCTAAGAATTTTTAACTAAAAAGGATTAGAAAGTATATAAAAATATAACAAAATCTGTTGTTAATCCTGTTTAATATGATCTTGCTTAATAAATACCTATAAATTAAGGAAACTATCAAAAATAATAATAATAATAGTATCCATAACACCAATAGCATTAATAATTTCAATAATAATAGCCTATATAATAATAACCTATTTAATAATAATAATAATAATAATCTTATTAATAATAATAACCTTATTAATAACAATAATAATAAACGTATTAATAATAATAATAACCTTATTAATAACAATAATAATAACCTTATTAATAATAATAACCTTACTTATAATAATAACCTTATTAGCAATAATAATTTTAATAGCAACAATAATTTTATAATCCATAAAAAAATAGAGATAAAAAATATAGAAACAACTAGTCTTCCTAATAAGATTTTTGTAGATAAAAATAATAATGTCAAAATCAATAAGAGCCTCACTAATAAAAACATCGAAAATATAATCATAGTAATGATTAATACCACAATAATCAAAATCATAATTATATTCCAGGACCATAATCTCATAATAATGTTTAATCCATTCCTTATTACAATTAAATGAATGAACATTAATTCCCTAATTAGAATCCATGTCCTTATCCAAATAATCCTATTAATCCTTCTATTTAACCATCTAAATAATAAATGTTTGACATTTTTTGTTAGATGTTTTATGATAAGTTTTAGCAGCCAGAATGAGAAAAAATTATATTTTTTATTAATTTTAAATCAAGATAATATTTTATTAGTTTTTATCTAAATTTTTTACCAACATTTTTAGATATATTTTAATATTAATTATGAATTATAAATGTTTTTATCTATAATTATAATTCTCATTTTGTTAAGGCTAGGGCCACTTTTGTTTTTTAATGATTATCTAATTATTCATTTAATGAAAAGTTCTATGATCTTAAAGCTTCAATTTCAGCAAATGAAACCACTAATAAGAAGCTGTATTCATCTATTTTATATTAAAGACTATTGAGTTTAGAATATTCAAATTTCCATTATCCTAAATCCTATAAAATATCAAATTTGTCTTTATACTTTTTCTAATTCTACAATTTTTGCATCGGCTTCATTTAATTCATGAGTTAAATGTTCAACTTAAGCTTATAGGTCATTTGATTTTTCTTCTAATTTCTTAGCTTTGTACTCATGTCTTTTAACTTCACTACTTAATAAAGCCATTTTATCTTCATATTTATACTAATATAATTAAATAAAAAAGTTACTTTAATATCTTCAAGTTCAGCAATCTTACTTTCTAATTAAGTTATTTTTTATTTAAATTGTTCTATGATATCATCTTTTGATTACAATTCCTTTTCTAATTTCTTAATTTAATTCTAAAGATCCTCTTAATTAACAAGCAATCCTTCTATATCAGTTACCTATTATTTTAGGTGAATAATTTCAGCAGATTTATTTGAATTTTCATCAATTTATTATTATAATTAATTTTCAAGAGAATTCAATTAAGTTTTTAATTCATTTATATCTTCTAATTATGCATGTAAATCATTTAATTCTTAATCCATTTTCATTAATTCTTAATTTTATTAATCAATTTCTCCTTGTTTCTTTTAATTAAGTACCTTTAATCTTTCAATTTCAGATGAAAGCATAGCTAATTTATTTTCCATTTATTCCTTTATATGAAGTAATTATTGATATTGTTAATCCAATTATTCATGTTTTGTTTTCCATAATTTTAATTCTCTTTCTAATTCAGCTATTCTTTCATTTAAACTTTCAATTTCTAATCTTAATGCATCCATTTCAGCTAATTATGCTTATAAATCTTAAATTTATTTTTTAAGTTCATCAACATTTTCCATTTTTTCAAGTTTATATTTCATGCCTTCAATGTGGGTTGAAAGCATAGCACATTTACTTTAAAGATCATATTTTTCTTATTCTGATTATTGAATTCTCTATTCTAAACCTTATCTACCTTTTAATTCATTTTATAATTATTCTTATAAAACAGAATTTTATTAATGTAATTCTTAAATTTGAACTTTTAAAGTGTCTTAAATTAATAAATCTTTTTATAATTATTAATTTTATTATTAATGATTTAAGACTTCTTAATTCTTTTATTATATAGTTTAATTTAATCTCTAATTTTCTTATTTTAATAATATTAATCTATTTTATAAATCTAAAGTTGGATCTTCTTCATTTGCCAAATTGGATTCAGATACTTTTTTATAACTTTATTATAATGAACTTAATTATTATTGTAAATCTGCAATTACTTATTCAGAATTAGCTTATTTATGAACAATATTTTGTGCTTTTTATTCATCTAATTGTCTTCTTAATTCAGCAATATTAGTATCTGCTTAAGTTGATTATCCTCTAAGTTTTTCTAATTCATTTTAATAATTTTAATTCATTTATTGCTATGCATCATATTTATTTTATAATTAATTTAATTATTCTTTAAGAAGATTTAAATCGGATAATTATTGCTCAGCAGTTTTTAATTATTCTGTTTTTTAATCATTTAGATATCTCAATCTTTATGATTCAGCACTTAACATTGCTACTTTATTTTCTAAATCATATATTTTATCATTAGCATCTTAGAGTTTTTATTCAAGTTCTGTAATAATTAATAATCTCTTTTCTAATTCCTCATTTGTATGATATTATTAATCTAATTGACGAGTTAAATCTTCAATTTATTTTTCTAAATCATCAATTTAACTCAATTATTCTTACAAATTTTTCATATCTTCTTACATTTATAAAATTTTATCATTTTTCTATTTTAATTATGCTTTCAATCTTTCAATTTCTGATGCTAACATACTAACTTTGTTTTCTAATTGCATTTTCTCTTCCTCTAAAAGTTTAAATCTATCAAGATTCTTTAATAACTCTGCATTTTTCTAATTTAATTATTCATTAAGTCTATGTTATTAATCTAATTCTTATGATAATCTTTAATTTTCTTATTGTAATAAAGATAATGATTTTATCTTTTAATTTTATTCTGAGATAGTTAAATCAGCATTATTAAGATCAATATCTTTTTATTATAATTATTATTATAATTATTAAAGTTCTGAACTTTTATCAGTTAATAACTTTTTCAATCTATCTAATTCTGCAATCAATCCTGAATGTAATTTTAATTATCCTTTAGTAGTTTCTAATTCAATCTATAACTTTTATTTATCATCATTTAATTTATGAACTTAAACTGTTAATTTATTTTATTCTTAATTTAATGAATCAATTCTAGCAACAGATTCTTTTTATGCAGATGATAGTTATTAGTGTTATATATCAAGATTCTAAAATAAATTAAATATTTACATTATATTTAATTTTCCATTAATCTAATTATTTAAGAGCTTCAGCTAAATCTTATTATAGTTTTTTTTAAGAATTCTACCATTCTTATCTCTCTCTTTCAAATTAACTTTTAAGACTTTAAACTTCAGATGGATTAAATTCAGCTAATTTTAATTTTAATTCATCAATTTCTTTTTATTTCTTCTAATCATTTTCAGTATACTTTAATTTCCATTATTCAATAATTTTATCTTTTCCTTCATTTTAGTTATGCATGTCTTATAATGCTTATTAAAATGATTCCAATTCTTATAATTATTCTTAATATTCTTAACACTTTTTTGATAACTAATGATTAAATGTAATTTTTACTTCACCAATAGTATCCTCTCTTTCTAGAACTAATTTTTGGAGTCTTTCAACTTCTACTTATTAATTCAGTAATTTTTAATTTTCAATAATTAAATCATTCATTTCTGATCTTTGATTATCCATATCTATTTGTACTTAAGTCATTTCTTTTTAAAACTTTTTAACATCTTCTTAAGAACCTAAAATCCTTGATTGTAACTCATCTTTCTTAAATATTGATATTAATAAAGTACAATTTCATTTTCTATGTCATATTTAGCTAATTAAGCCTCTAATGTAAAATATTTTTTTTTCCACTACTCTAATTCATCTTTATATTCATCATCATTTTCTCTTTCTTTATCATATGAAACTTAATTCTTCTCTTTTACTATAACTGTTGTTGGTAATGTTTAGGCTGCTGGAATCACGTAAGAATGACCCATATTAGATGCCATTGGAATAACTTATATAAAAATGATAAAATCATACTTCTACTTGGTGATCTAACTGATATAGCTTATGAAGACTATGGTCTAAAGGAAGCCATTCTTTAATAAATAATTATTAATAATAAAGATATTTTTTTATTAATTACATAAGACTAGTATCACATTTAAGATAATTATGAACTTTTATATTCTTTTAAAACCTCTCTTACATCTTCACATCCATTCTCAGCCAGTTTCTTTAAAAAAATACTTAATTTTTATAATTCCTTATCATCTTAATCATTATACCACGTTTTTATAAATATCCCATTTTCTGGTTAATGTTAAAAATTATCAGCAATATTATCTACTATGATAACTTTCTTTAAATTACGACCTAATCTAGATAAATCTTTAACAAAATGATTTTAATATTGCATTGCATGTTATCTATATAAACGATATTTTATATATTTATTTTTATCTACCTAATCCAATATCCAATTTGCATAATCAGCCAATCCCGCTGTAAATACTGTAATCTCATAATAATTACTCATTTCTTATAAGAATTACTCTACATATGGTCTTATTAAAAAGCTTTTTGTTTAATCAATAAAATGTATTAATGTTTCATCCATATCTACAATTAAAGTCAATTCATGGCTTCCCTCTCTTGGTAAATATGGTTTATTTGCTACACAAATTAAAGGAATTCCTAATAAACCATGATAACTCTACTGCATTGTAAAATATAAAGAAATATAATTCTACAAAACTAAATTAGATTCCAATATTTAAAGATATTGTATTTATTTTAAGTAAGTACATATAAATTGATAAAGATCTTTAGATTACTTTGTTAATGATTTATATACACCAGACAATAATTCTACATTTTATCGAATTTATGTATTTTAATCTACCTTCTTACTTCCAAAATATTTTTTATTTTAGTTTATAATATTTTATAATTCTTATTTCTATGTCTTCAATAATATCATATCACCTAATAATAAATAATTTTATAAATTATAAATCAAAATATTTTTAAAATTCACTACATTACTTGTGTAAAAGTGTTAATCAAAAAAACTATTTATTATAACAACAATCTAAAAATAAGAAACTAAATACCCCTATTTTAATCAATATTAATATTTGTCTAAATTATTTACTATTCTCAATCAAAAGTTTTTCAATCTAACAAAAATGAATACTATCCATTACTTCTAAATATCTATTAATCTAATCAACTAAATCACTTACGTTCTACACAAAATATAATTATTTTTTTAATTACTTTTCTCATTGCATCCATCAAACCAACAATAGAATAATACAATTTTACATAACTCTCTAAATTATTTTCTAAATTATCATCAAATTCATAATCTTATTGTATGGATTTCTCTATATTTCATTTACTTTAAATTTACTTAAATTCTATCTATTATTTTCTTCATTTGTTTTCTTAACATTAGATGAGGGAGATTAATTTCTATCACTTAATTAAGGAGATTCATCTTATTTTATTGGACTTAATTTGTTTTATTTATTGATTATTTCCATTTTATCAACAGAAATAGCAACCTTTATTCTAACTTTCTTTATCTCAAAGTTCTTTTTTGAACTTCGGTTTACTGACTTAGGTTTTATTTTAGGTAATTATTCAGTTTCTTCTTAGTCTGAGCCATTTCTTAATTAAGAAATACTACGATTTGCAATTATTTTTTAACTTGGTTTTTTTCTTATATTCATTATTAAATAATCATAAATCAATATGTAAAGAATTATCAAAAATCTCCTTTATTATAAAATAATAAATTATACCTATATTTACTTTCAAATTCCTTTTTCTTTCCTTTAAAAAATCATCTACTTCTACAATATTTGTAGGTTTCATTTATGAATTGATTATAATTTCATTTACTTTTTTACTTCTTATATATATTTATATATTCCATTCAATTTTCATCTTATTTTATTAATTCATCTTCTAGTTTTCAGTATTGATTTTTATTTATCTCCGTCCAATTTTAATTAAAATTATTAATTTTTTAGCAATTATAATTATTTATCTCTACCTTAATAAGAGTTTAAGCCTTTAAATAAAAATATATTTAGAGTCTATATTTAATTATTAATTTTCTTAGATTAAGTTTAGGAACTGTGATTTATTTAATAGAGTCTGAAATTTTATTTTACTTTCAAAAAAAGAAATCCCAATATAACTAGAATGTTTTTTGATCAATTTTTCTCTGTTTTTTTTATCTCTTTAAAAGAATTTCAATAATGATAAAAAATTTATTTTCTTTTTGTTTAATATATGTTTTTAGATTCTTACCTCAAAATTTTATTTTCTTTATATTATTGACTGTTGATATTTACTTAAAAAAATCTTAGGTAAATTTTTATTCTGTAGAATCTATAAAATCCTTTATGAATTCAATCTTTGTAAGAGTAGGTAATGAATAAAATAATAATTATTTATCTAAGTTATTAATAATCAATTAATTTGGAATTTTCATTAATCAATTTTGAAATAATGAATTTTGTTTTATTTTAATAATTTTCTTTAGTCTTAAACAATCTTTATTGATAATTCAGGTAGATTTTTGTTATGACTTAATTCGACTATTTAATTAAAATTTTTGCTCTTTTAAGCTTCTCTTGAATTAAAAAAATATATTTATTTAATTAAAGAAAGTATCTAAATATTGAAATGAGCTTAATTTATGAATATAAGAAATTATATTTAGTATAAAAACGACTCTTTGAAAAAGTTAATAATTGAAATATATTTATTATCATTGACGAACAAATAGTATTTATTTATTTGGGCTAATATTATGTATTTATTAAAGAGGAGGTTTCTTGGAATATGTTTGATTCTATGATAAATTATGAAATGATGTCTTGTTAATCGATAATCGATTTGAACTAACATCAGGAAGGGAAGGAACTCTTTTATCTTTCACAATATTCTAAGAGGGACTTGTAAAGCTACAATTATGTACTCTCATATGTGGAGAGAGTTTCTATTATTTAATTATTTATTAATACTCTGATCTCATTTATACTGTTTTCTTGAATAGAATTCGTCCTTGGCTTTTATTATTACTTTGATAATTCTAATTTAAGATGATTGTTTTCTTATTTAATTTCAGACAATTCCATAAGAAGTGAAGCTATTTATTGTTATTCATTCTAACCTCTTGTTCTCTAATAAAAACATTAAGATGAATACTTGCAAATTTTTTATTTCATCTTTTGCAAATGCCAACTCTCTTTGCATAAAATAAATCTACTCTTTGTGAGTCTATTCTTGTTATTAAAATTAGTAATTTAACTACATGATATACTGATTTAGTTCTTCTAATTATCTGAAATAAAAGGTATTTTTACTAATCATAGTTTGAATATTTTTCGATTTAAACTTTCAATTTATTGATCTCTTGTTGTTTTTAGTCAAGAAGTTAACTCATTTTTTACATTTAGCTTTCTAAATAGTAATTCATTTTTGAGTCTTTTCGGGATATAACCGTTAATAATTTAATATATATTCTCTTTGTATAAGTTTCTAAAGTTAATCATTTTATTTAGATTACTTCAGCCTTTATCAACTGAAAATATTCATTTATAGATGTTTAATTAATTATTATAAATCCTAAGCTTAAAATATTTTTGATAGATTCATTAATGCAAAACAATTAAAAAAAAGAGTAAAATAATTAAATAAAATATAGATGTATTAACTATGAATAAAATTTTGTAAATTTAGTTAATTAATGAAATATAGTAATCATTTCGAATCATAATTAATGTAATTTTGTTAAATAAGGATTAATAATGGAAAATCAATAAAGAATAGATAAATTTGATTTCTTATTAATTTATTTTATTAATTTTTAGTATGCAAGAAGATTTACTTTAACCTTCAGCATTTTAGGTTACATTACGTTGTAAAGATCATAAATAAGGATTAATTATAAAAGGATGTGTAGAAAAGAATTGTAAAAGAAAAAAAATACTTCTATGTTAATTCTGTATTAATGAAGATGCACATATGGAACACAATAATAATGTCTTAGGAATAAAATAATTCATTGCTGAATTTAGTTAATCTATTTATTAAGCTACATAATTAAATAAAACATAATTGGAATAATTTCTGAGTAATGATGAGAATCTTAAAGTCTATAAATATATTTAAGATAATAAACATCATCTTAAGAAAGTAAAAGATAATATTGATACTTAAAAGACTTTAGTGGCTTCAGATATGACATACATAGTAGAATAATTCTAATTGTATTTATAAACAATAAAAGAAAACGTTTTTCGAAAATTGGATTAAATTTATACAGAATATGAATCATTATTTGAATAAACTAGAAAACAATTTAATTCTAAATTCTTTGCTGCAGCTAATTACTTTTTATCAACTCCTATGGCTCTAACTTGTAAATTAGGATAATAAGGAGATAATTCAGAGGAATATTTGAGAAAATTAAAATTAATTGATAATACAAGTTTAGATACACTATAAGATGTATTTTCAAAATTATAATAAGCAAATGAATCACCAAAGATTTTTGAATCTGATTAATAAAGATTATTCTCATCATTATAAGAGCCATTATAAAATTATTTCTTAGGTTGGTGTTCAAATATAGATCGTTTTCCATAACCTCCTTAATTAGTATAATAATATTCAAATAATTCTTAAAACTATTAATTGAATTCTCCATAATCCAAACCATTATTAAGAGAAAATTATGGACTTTCAGATTCAATAGTAATTAGTAAATCTGGAATATATTGTAAATTCAGTAGGGCTTTAGATCTATCTAAAAGAGAATGGCCTCATATAAAATTGAATAGAAAATTTACTTTAGATTTTACTATTGGTGCTGTGATAGGATTATCAAAATCAATATTTGCTATGATAAGTTAGAATGATTTAAAAATAAGAGTATTTGATACTGAAAAGAAATCATTATTAGCTTTTGATGGACATACTTAATAAATAAATTGGATAGAATCTTTATCACCAAATACATTTATCACAGGTGCAGATGATGGCTAAATTTATTATTGGATTTTCTAAGGATAAACTGTAAAATTATAAGATTAATATACATTTTCTAATAAACCTATATTAGCAGGTTTAGATTTACAAAATAATTCATTTGCATTTATTGATTCTGATGGTAGATTAGGATATAAAAATATTACAACAAAATTAGAACTTTTTTTACCTCTTGGAAACTAAAGAATATAAGGAAAATAAAGAAAATATAAAATGGCTTTAATTAAACCAGGAGAATAATTTTGTGTTTATATAGCTGGAGAATAAGGAGCTTCAATTATTTAAGTAAATGAGAAAGAGAAACAATTAAGAAAAATGAATACTAATACATTACCATGTAGTTAAACCATGATATCATTATCAATTAATGAAATTTTGATTGCTTCTAGTAATGGTGTTAAGGTATGTAGTACAACTAAAGATGAAATATTATAAGGTAATGATGTTGATGTTGTTTTAATGGAATTTACATTAAGTTAGATAACTTATGCTATTTGTATTCCTGTTGAAAATGGTTAATGTATGTAATATAGAATATAAAAAAGAGATAATGGACAATATGATATTTAATAAAAAGAATTGATAATTGATGGTATAATCCCACTTTCATCTAAGTAATTCATTATTTTATTTTTTTCAGACTTAAACCAAGAATATAACTTATTAAAAATTAAGATAAACTTATAATGGTAATTGTAGATTAAAATAAAATAAACTTTGTTGATATCACTATCAAATGAATAAATATTTTTTAAATTTAAATTTATTAACAAATTTTGCATACTCAAATAGATATCAATTATTCAAAGTAGTATTGTTTTACAAATAATCATAATATATTAGTATATAATATTAATTATTATGATTGAAGAATCAAAAATTTGATAAATTCTTTTTGGCTAAATCTTAAAAGTAGATGGTTTTTTGAATCAATATAAATTGAGAAAATTTAGCTAATTTACAAACCTTCATTAAAATAATTATACACTTGTTAGGAGAGAACATTCATTTACTTTTAGCTTTAAAAATAAGATTGAAAACTATAAGATGAATTTTAGAAATTTATTCGACCAAATATGCCTTCAGTTTCAATTAACTGTAGATAACGAATTACAGAGTTCGATGAATAAAAAGATCTAAAATTAAAATAATCCACTAATTTTGCCATCCATGGATATTAACTTAACAATATTTCCACTTAATGAACAAACTAAAAGAAAATCATTGCAATTAAGCATGATTTAAATTGTGATCTTCCAAAACCAAAGACAATTTGCTATGTCAACTATTCTAAAATATCGTTTAATAAATAAAGACCAACTTCTTATTATTATACAGATGATTAGAAGGCAACATAAACATACTTATATTTGGAGTACACTATATTTAAAAAAGACCTGATTTCTGAAGAAGAAATATGGATTTTACAAGATTGGTTGATAGGAATAATGCATCTCTATATATCAATAAATTCTGAAATATCTTCTCATATCTAATGGATTCTTATTTTCAATCCAAAGGTCCTTTTCAACGGTTTCTAATTTGCGTTTGAAAAATTTAACATCCTAATCCCCTCTTTTCAATTCTATACTAGGTGTGTTAGGATCGGCTTATAGAGCATCAAATCTAGATTAAGCTTAGTCTAATTTCTCTTTTATGAAGTCTCTTTCTTCTGTTAACCAGCTTTTGTTGTATTTACTTATATCCACAATTTTACCTTATTCTTCCAATTACTTTTATTATGATTCTTCATATTTGGCAATTTCATTTTTGTTAAATTCTATATATCCCATTCTGGCAAAATCACTTTTTCTTCTATTAATTTCAACAACTTTGAAGACTTATTCTTTAGGATCTTTAAATTTGGGTACAATTTCATTAATTAATTTTTTGATAGCAAACCTAGTTGTTAAAATACCTAAAATTATAGATAGATAAATATACCCATTAATCGATTGATTGCATTGCCTCTATTTTTGCTAGCATCTTAACCTAATTTGAATGTTTTATGAGCAAGGAATTAGAGAGCTCTAGCTTTAGCCCAAGTAGTATGGATACGTTCATGAGTCACTAATTATGTCATTTAAGTTCTCCATAAATGCCATCTTTATTTAGATGTTCTAGCTAATCCAAATCGTTTAGGATCAGATAATCTATATCCCATAATTAATATAATTAATAAAATAATATTTCTTATCATTTTTTATTGTTAGATGCTCCACCTCCATATTTGACTTTTCCTAATAAAAATTCACAAACAGCTAAAGGAGCCTTAATTTTCATTTCATCTAATGATGTCCATTTAGTTTCAGTTGAATCATCAAAACTAACTAAGAATTCAATTTTGCCATCATTATGTCTAACTGATTTAACTTAACAATTTTTAGATTTTCTTGGTTTATGAGCAATAGAATTGGAAGCAGAATTAATATTTGTTTAAATACTATCAGAGTCTTTAGATTATTTTTATTTTTCTGGAGTTTTATCTAATATTTTATCACTTCTTTCACTAGGTCTTCCTTCTTTTTTTTATTCTTCAATACATTTTGTGTTTTAAGAATCTAATTTGATATGTTTAGATGGTTTAGGTTCTTGTGGATCATATCCTAATTATTTTAATTCATAATTATTGACTAAGACTAACATTTCTTATGTTAATTGAGTAAAAGGTTCAATCGAAACTGAATTGTTACTCCATTTGAATTTATAAGAAATGGAATCAGCATTAACTTTTTTCTTGAGAAGTTCAATTGGATGTTTAATATACATTTAATAGATAATTAAATTGATGTAGTAATTCTTTGGTAACTTAAATAGGACAAATATTGGAATGGTTTATCAAAATAATAAATAACATTTTATTGTACTCATTATATTAAAAATCTCTTTAATGATTTTAAAGCTTTATCTGAGGATTTATTTAATTCAAATGTATGTTTAACTCCTTCCAAACGAGCTAATTAATCTATAATAGTTATTACTTCTTTCAGCTATAAACAATTTTCCTGGATCATTCTATTATCCAAATGATGGCATTGTTGGCATTCCCATCATTTGCATTTACATTTACATTTAAGTATCTAAATATAATAATCTTAGTATTTGTTACCATCAACAAACTCATCAGTATCATCGCCGAACATTAATTATTAAATCTTTTATAAACCTCCAAATAACAATACAAAGTATATACTGATACTACTAATATATCTAACATCTAAATTTTGAACATCTACTCCTCTTTATAACATAGTTCTAAATTTTTAAGTCAAAGGAAATGGAACCTTACCAATCACAAAACCAGAAAAAAAATATGAAACCCATTAATATTGTAATGCCATAAATACTATTCCACTTAAATTCTATTTTAACATATCTGCCATAGCTACTGGATTCATCATTGACATTGATTACATTGGATCTTTTGCTGGCTTTTAACTTGCTTTTGTTAATATTCCTTATTCACGATCACATAAATAAGCTCTTTTCATTTTAAATGATTAATCTGGTAATAATCCATGTAGTCTAGCTAATCTTTATGATTATTAAGTTATATTTCTAATTATGTTGTCTACTCTATGTACTTATCAATCATCTCAGCAACTTAAGCTTTTGATGTTACTTTTTACGCTGTTTTCCTATTATCCATATATTTTGTTAATAATCCTCTAAACATTTGAATCATAAACATCACTATTATTATTGGCAAGAACACCCAGTCTCTAATACGATCATCTATTAATATATCACTCATTAAATTAATATATTTTTATTATAATCCATTATCTATTATTTCTATCTTAAATATAATATTCAATAATTCATATCAATTTATTCTCCAATTTTCCTTCATTTAATATTCAATATGATATCAAATTTTATGAACTTAAGTTAGATCTACCTAATTCAAAATATTAAACTGCTTTATTTTACAATTCTTTTATAACTTGTTCTCTTAAACTTTTACAGTAATAAACTTATCAATATATATTTATTTATTTTTAATTTATATTACTCTTGTTTTAATTATCATAATCCTCTCATTAAATTTAAACTTATTATTAAATAATGCTTATTAACTTCATTTTTGAAATAAAATTTAATCAATTATTTTATTTGAACTTAAACAAAATATAATATCAATTAAATTTTAGAATCATTTCTACATTATTGATATTTGATGATTAAATATAAAAATGACAAATTTATTGTATCACTATGACTTTCTTTACTTTTTTCGATGATTTATTATTTAAAAGTTATTATAAGCAAAATGATGAGAAATTACTAGATTTTGCTGAGAAATTTCAAATTAGAATACAGAAAGTGCAAGATAGTTTGAGTATTTTTATATTAAATTCTTCAAAAAGATGATATAATTATGAATAAATTACTATTTAATAGATGGACCTTAACATTTGCAAATAAAGACTATGAAGATTTATATGAAATTGAGATGAGTAAATACAGACTTCACTACTTCCGCATCATAGAAACAATCATTATGCTTTTATGCTTTTATTAATTCACTATATATTTGATTGATGGACAACATGTTTTTTTGATAATTACTTTGGCAGTTTTAGGTGCTTTCATCTTAGGTGTCTTAATAATTACTAAAAAGTTTGATAAAAAGATTAGATATTATCACTTTTTTATATATTTGATTTCTATCACTATCAGTGTATATGTAGCCACATAGACTAAATAAAAGTAATTTGTAGTTTTTATTTTTTAGAGCTCTTTATTTAATTGGTTTTTACAGTGGATCAATTTCAGTTATCCAGTATTTGTTTAGTAATTTTTGCTTAAGGATACTAGCATTTTTAGTTGTTCCCACAGTTTAATTATATATAATGGATGCTCTTACTGCTTAAGATTTTTCTTATATTATCCTATTGTTTGCTTCTTAATTTTTGGTAATTGTATATTCCCATTATAATGAATTTATGTATCGCCTAGCCTTTTCTTATATGCATTACAATATTAAATTAAAGTAATCCATTCAAGTTTTATACTAGAGAAATACTTGATGAATATGTGCCTCATTGTTTCTTTGCTATAAGTTTAAATTAGCATAATAATTAGTTTTAATTGGAATTCGTTAATCAACAAGGCAAGTCTTAATTTAATATTGAAGATACAAAATCTATGATTGAAATTTTGAGAAATACTTATGTTGGACATAAGAATTAAATAAATGCAATTATTGATTTATCTTAGATTTAAATTTATAAATCAGGAGATATTTCAACAAAAAAATTATAGACGAAAAGATAAACATTGGAAGAATATTCGTTTTATAAAATTAAACAAAACTTATAAATAAAAAATGATCATATAAAGCTTATTGAATAATTAGATGGCGTTTATTTTGATAATGAAAAATAACAAAATAATATTTTAAATATAGATATCAGATAACTTAATTATGGAAAAAATTACTTATTATTTGTTTTAAAAGAAGAGAAACCTTAGCAAATGATGTCAAAAAGTGAAGAACAAATCAAGTTTCTTAATAAAATAGTAAACTTTGTAACAAATCAATTATTTACATCTCTTTCCCATCTATCTAATGCTATTTTAAATATTAATTTTACATAATTAGATAATGAAAAAGTAAAGTCTATCTAATGTTTAAATTTATCGATTATGAATTAATTTTAAAATTTTTATTATTTTGTAAATGCTTGCAAAATAAACAATGAGCCATTAAGTTGTAAAATTGTAAATTTAAAACAATTTATTAATAATTTAGAACCTTATTTTTCATATATGTCAAATACATTAAAAAAAAGATTCTTTATTTAAATGAATATTGAGGAGTTGATTGTTAAAATTAGTTCTAAATTTCTTTCTTAAATCATAGTTAACATTTTTGAATAATGTTTGGCTTAGGCAGATGTAAATACAAACATAACATTAACAATTAAAACTGAAATGAACTTGAACCCTTTAGTTTATGAAAATAATCATGAGGAAAAAAGCAGTATTCAAGAATTCGATTTTATAAAAAAAGTAGTAGTGGAATCAGAAGAAAGTCCAACAAAATCAGATGTTTAGAAACTTATTAAGTTCGAGTTTTCTTTTTTTACTGAAAAATAAATAGAATTACAGCCTTAAAATTAATTAATTTTAAATCCTTAAAGTTTTGAAGATTTTTAATTCAACAATAAGTAAGAGTTCTTATTAATATATCCTATTACTAATTTTTTACTTAAGAAAATAGGACCTTATAATTCAGTTTAATAATTCTAAAATATAAATTGCGAATTTAAATCAACATCAAAATAAGCAATAAATATATTTCCTTCAATGATGGATTTGTTTTAGGTCCAGAATTTATATTAAAATACAATTTCGTTTTATATATATAGTGATCAAACTTTGCTAACTTAATCGTTTATAAAGTACGTGCAGTAGAAATCATTTTTGGATTATTGATTTTATTAATTAATTAAAATTGAAAACTCTTTAGCTTTGATTCTAAAAATAGCCAAAACTTTTATATTACAAATAAATCCTTAATTTAAAAATGTCATTTAAATAAATAAATCTGTTTATCAAAACTCACTTAATTCTTATTTAATAAACTAATCATAATCAATTTTATCAATATAATGAGTTATCATCATTTTCGGTGTTGCCATCAATTGTAAATTTACACTCTCGTGATTATGTTGAATTATAACATTCTTACTGTAAAAATAATTTATTTCACCACTTGATATCAATTTTATTTTCTTTCCCAAAATATCATAGAAAAATGCATTCTCACTATTTAATTCACTATTAAAGCAATTTATAAGGATTATGTTTTCTTTTATCTAAGCATCTCTTATTTAAAATGAATATTATAAATCTAGTTCGTGTAGATTCTCATTTCCATTTTCTATACAATAGAATAGAAGATATTATTTACTAACTCCATTGGAATTGTACACAAAAATCAATTCATCTTAATACTAAACTACTCAAATATTTTAATTACATTTAGAACTTTAACTATTGTTCCTCTTAATTCATTATTTGTCTCTTTTACTTATATAATCTTTCTTTAAACTTAATTTTCATCATAAATAATAAATTATATTGTCTTATTTGTTATATAATTTGGATTCATCATAAAACATCTCTATTTGCTTATTGGAGATACCACTAAAGCTCTTACAGATGCTGAAAATTTCACCTCTTATAAAATTTCTAAATTCTTAATATTATAAATTTTCAAAGTATATTGACTTACAGTTTATTGCTATTCATTATTTATGTTCTATTTGCTTAAAAAAAAAAAAAACTGCTCTTGTCCATTATTATATATAGAAAAGTGATTATATTCTCCTTTCTCAATTTATATTGAAGAATCTACTACTAATTTTTCTTAAAGATTATAAGTTATTAAATTTGAGTCTTTCAATATTAGAATTCTATTTTAATTTATATAGAATAATTCATCATAACTTTATCTCATTAGTAAATCTACATTTTAATTCAAAAATTATAATCTCCAAACCTCTCTCAAATTCTGCTTTCCTATATTCTCATATAAAATTGCAATTTTTTCATTGGGATTAGGATTTATTGGGATGTAAATTTTAAATGTTGAAAGCATTACTTTACAAATTTGAATATCAATAGCTGAATCATACATTATTTATAATTTAATTAATATGAATCATTATTTTCTCTCATCTAATACAAAATTCCTCTTTTGTATTCTATATCAAAATAAATCTAAAAGATTTTAGAATATCTTGAACATTCTCAAAAATAATAATTTATTAATTAGGTGTTACACTATTATNTTACTGTAAAAATAATTTATTTCACCACTTGATATCAATTTTATTTTCTTTCCCAAAATATCATAGAAAAATGCATTCTCACTATTTAATTCACTATTAAAGCAATTTATAAGGATTATGTTTTCTTTTATCTAAGCATCTCTTATTTAAAATGAATATTATAAATCTAGTTCGTGTAGATTCTCATTTCCATTTTCTATACAATAGAATAGAAGATATTATTTACTAACTCCATTGGAATTGTACACAAAAATCAATTCATCTTAATACTAAACTACTCAAATATTTTAATTACATTTAGAACTTTAACTATTGTTCCTCTTAATTCATTATTTGTCTCTTTTACTTATATAATCTTTCTTTAAACTTAATTTTCATCATAAATAATAAATTATATTGTCTTATTTGTTATATAATTTGGATTCATCATAAAACATCTCTATTTGCTTATTGGAGATACCACTAAAGCTCTTACAGATGCTGAAAATTTCACCTCTTATAAAATTTCTAAATTCTTAATATTATAAATTTTCAAAGTATATTGACTTACAGTTTATTGCTATTCATTATTTATGTTCTATTTGCTTAAAAAAAAAAAAAACTGCTCTTGTCCATTATTATATATAGAAAAGTGATTATATTCTCCTTTCTCAATTTATATTGAAGAATCTACTACTAATTTTTCTTAAAGATTATAAGTTATTAAATTTGAGTCTTTCAATATTAGAATTCTATTTTAATTTATATAGAATAATTCATCATAACTTTATCTCATTAGTAAATCTACATTTTAATTCAAAAATTATAATCTCCAAACCTCTCTCAAATTCTGCTTTCCTATATTCTCATATAAAATTGCAATTTTTTCATTGGGATTAGGATTTATTGGGATGTAAATTTTAAATGTTGAAAGCATTACTTTACAAATTTGAATATCAATAGCTGAATCATACATTATTTATAATTTAATTAATATGAATCATTATTTTCTCTCATCTAATACAAAATTCCTCTTTTGTATTCTATATCAAAATAAATCTAAAAGATTTTAGAATATCTTGAACATTCTCAAAAATAATAATTTATTAATTAGGTGTTACACTATTATGCTTGAAATAAAATATCTATTAAATTTTAATTCTAAATTGCTTGCAGCTCTTTATTACAATATATTTTATAATTTATTTATTGAAAATAATGATTTTTAAATTTGTTAACATTGGGCTTTTTTCAAAAGCAAAATCATTTATGTTAGTTAAAAGCTTAAAACTTAAAAATTTTCCAAAAATTATTTGATTTTATCTATCATAATAGAATACTGAAATTAAATGTACAATATTACCATAAATTTTAAAAACCTATAAGATATAAAAATATTATTATATAATTTATGAAAAATAAAAATTGCTAATCTTTCGAACCCTATAAGACTTATTAATCTACTAAATTGAGTACTTTAATCTAAGACATTCATTAAGCTGGCAGAAATTTGTATACATCATCAGAACATACATCTAATTTTGATTATACATTACCTTGTTTAAAGAAAGGTGAATAAAGAAAATTTGTTAATCGAATTTTTTAGAGTTACTAGATGGAAAAAAAAGCTGTTTAGCAAGGACTTTTAACACCATAACATCTTAATAAATATTTATAACCAAGAAAAAGTAACTTATACTAAAACCATATTTAGAACATTTTGATTTGAAAAAACAAATAAACTTCTTAAAAAAAACTAAGTTTTAAACCTGTATTTAAAAACTTAGAGCTGCTAATATAATACTAAATGGATAAAAAAGTTAATAGGGTAAAAATGAGATCATTTAAGAGACAATTGAGAGTAAAAAAGGTTAAATACATGATATTCAATTCATTTAAAAAATGAATGAATGTTAATTACAATAAAGAATGGCGAAACTTATTAAATTAAAGTCTTCTCCGTTATTATTTATTAATCATGTTACATAAAGTTGAGTCAAAAATTTTTTATATTTTTTAAATCTTTATCTTAAAATATTATAAAAATCTAAGAGAAATTTAATTACTTTTCGAATATAACGAGAAACAAAAATCAAAATATAATTACTAGAGTTTTAAAAAAATATAAAATTTACATAAATATCAATTTGCTTATAATATTGATTGCTTTAGATAAAATGCTGAACTATTATTTATCAGGATCTATAAAAAATATTTAATTGTTCCTTTTAAGAGTTTGATATTTTTTGTAAAAATATTAAATATTACAAATAAAAGATAGATAATTGGTTTCTTATGGAAACCATTCTACATATTTTAAATGTAACAAGTAAACATGTTTTAAATAAAAGTTACATTTAATGATGGAATTACAAATTTAACATTAATAAGTTTTCAGTCTAAGTAAATTTTAATTAAAGAGATAAATTTTTATATTAGGATATGAGAAATAAAATTGATTGAATTATTTCACTAAAATTATCTAAACAAAAATTTAGAATTTAGATATATGTTTAGTCTTTTGAAATAAATAAATTTCATTCATTTTTTAAGTTGATGTTAAATGTCATTAAGTAGGAGAAATTAGTAGGTTTATCAATTCTATTTTAGTTTGTTTTACGAGAATAGAAATAAGATCAATTTTTTGTTTAATTGACTTTAATTACTTAACTTAGATTAATAGTTATTGTTCATTAATCTTGCGTTTTTTGTATATTTTTTCTTCATGAATGCTTAATTCTAACTTAGGGGATGAAATGGTATCAGCTTAATGAATAAGATTAGAAAATACTTGTATCAGATTGCTGCTGTAATTTGATAAATCGATTTCTTAATATTCTATCTGATTTATTTGGAAATTGAGAAGCTATTTTCTTCCATTTTCTACCAATCAATGCAACTTATTCACATAATAGATCATCTTCTTATTGAGTAAATAAAGATGTCCTTTTTTTATTACCTTTTGAATTAGAATCTTATATTAAATGATCCCAATTCCATTCTCTGCTGAAATCGTTATCCACAATTTCTTCAGAGAAGCTATATTTTCTGAACATAGTATTTTAAGAATAATATTATGATAAATTTAAAAACGATAATTTTTTTAACTTGAGAATATAATTTAAAACTCAATATTATCTATTATTAATCTATGGACGTAGTAAAGCTTATCTATCTTATTAACGAAATCTACAATAAATTATATATTTACTAATATCTAATTAAATTTTAATCAGAGGTATGCCTTTAATAATTATCAATAGGATAATAATGATTATAATTGCCTGTGATAAAATTATTTTAAGGTCTTGAGTCTGACTTAATAATTCTATCATTTTATTAAAAAATATTATTAGAATAAGGTNGTTGAGTCAAAAATTTTTTATATTTTTTAAATCTTTATCTTAAAATATTATAAAAATCTAAGAGAAATTTAATTACTTTTCGAATATAACGAGAAACAAAAATCAAAATATAATTACTAGAGTTTTAAAAAAATATAAAATTTACATAAATATCAATTTGCTTATAATATTGATTGCTTTAGATAAAATGCTGAACTATTATTTATCAGGATCTATAAAAAATATTTAATTGTTCCTTTTAAGAGTTTGATATTTTTTGTAAAAATATTAAATATTACAAATAAAAGATAGATAATTGGTTTCTTATGGAAACCATTCTACATATTTTAAATGTAACAAGTAAACATGTTTTAAATAAAAGTTACATTTAATGATGGAATTACAAATTTAACATTAATAAGTTTTCAGTCTAAGTAAATTTTAATTAAAGAGATAAATTTTTATATTAGGATATGAGAAATAAAATTGATTGAATTATTTCACTAAAATTATCTAAACAAAAATTTAGAATTTAGATATATGTTTAGTCTTTTGAAATAAATAAATTTCATTCATTTTTTAAGTTGATGTTAAATGTCATTAAGTAGGAGAAATTAGTAGGTTTATCAATTCTATTTTAGTTTGTTTTACGAGAATAGAAATAAGATCAATTTTTTGTTTAATTGACTTTAATTACTTAACTTAGATTAATAGTTATTGTTCATTAATCTTGCGTTTTTTGTATATTTTTTCTTCATGAATGCTTAATTCTAACTTAGGGGATGAAATGGTATCAGCTTAATGAATAAGATTAGAAAATACTTGTATCAGATTGCTGCTGTAATTTGATAAATCGATTTCTTAATATTCTATCTGATTTATTTGGAAATTGAGAAGCTATTTTCTTCCATTTTCTACCAATCAATGCAACTTATTCACATAATAGATCATCTTCTTATTGAGTAAATAAAGATGTCCTTTTTTTATTACCTTTTGAATTAGAATCTTATATTAAATGATCCCAATTCCATTCTCTGCTGAAATCGTTATCCACAATTTCTTCAGAGAAGCTATATTTTCTGAACATAGTATTTTAAGAATAATATTATGATAAATTTAAAAACGATAATTTTTTTAACTTGAGAATATAATTTAAAACTCAATATTATCTATTATTAATCTATGGACGTAGTAAAGCTTATCTATCTTATTAACGAAATCTACAATAAATTATATATTTACTAATATCTAATTAAATTTTAATCAGAGGTATGCCTTTAATAATTATCAATAGGATAATAATGATTATAATTGCCTGTGATAAAATTATTTTAAGGTCTTGAGTCTGACTTAATAATTCTATCATTTTATTAAAAAATATTATTAGAATAAGGTCTTAAAGGTTTTCCAGCAGGTATAATAGCCTGTTGATTTGGAGACGAAAATTCCTTTTTTAAATTATTATCAGATTATCTTTATTTGATAACTTTAGCTTAAGTTGGGAAAACTTAAGGCCTTTCAGTTTTTTAAGATTCTCTAACATTAGAGGAAGGTAAAGCAGATTATGGATGAGCAGGATATTTTTCAGTAATAGGTTTTTAATAAGAACTCTATTATTATTTAGGAATAGCAGATTATGGAGTTTATGAAAGTCTATGCTATGATATTTCTTAATGATATGGTCTATTATATTGATTTGAATAGTTTTAATTAACATTTATAGATTAATTATTAATTGGTCTTTGTTAGATTTAATTTCCATAATTAGCTCTTTAACCACTATATATATATAGATTAAATTAATACTTATATCCTATTTATATATTTTATTGTTCTATTGATCTAGTGATTGGAGAATAAGAGTTTTAACTTCTAGGTTATTATTAAATAAATTAATTTGCAGAATAATAATCTCTAGGTTAAACAGATATAGGAGATACTCTTCTAAATTATTATTTTTCATGTTATTATTCTCTTTATTATTTTTCCATTAAAAGTCTTTATTATTCTCTGCTCTCTCTAATTTTAGCTTCTTAAATTTATTTATCTTTAGCCTCTTTGGCTTCTTTAGCAAGTTTGGCATCTCTAGCATCTTTTGCATCTCTTTCTCTTTTCTCTCTTAATAATTAATCTCTTTATTATCTGATTTCTCTTTCTCTTTATTCTTTCAATTCATAAGCTCTATCATATTGATTTTATCTTTAATTTATTTAAGCAGATTAAAGTTTTTCTGTTTTATTATTTAATTACTATTATTTAACTTATACTTAAGACTGCAAAACAGCACTTTGATTTTTATCCATTATCGAACTATTCTTAATTTAATAAGGAGATTATTATTATTATTGTTAAGCTTTTATTACATTCACTTAACTTTGACTAATTCTAGATTCAGTTATTGGAACATTTTAATTTTAAGGATATCTAAAAGGACTAATAGATTTATCTGTAGATTTATTATCTTAAACTCTATCTGCACTAATATTAGTATTAATTTCATCGTAGTTTGACTGCATAATTTTATTTTAATACCTTAGGTAATTAGTTTTTCAATTATTTAAAATTATTTGGAAATTGAATAGTTTCCATTAATGTTTTATTAATTGGTTTTGTTTCTATATTAGTTTCTAAATTTTTCATATATTTTTTAACTATTGGATTAGCAAGTATTTAATCACAAGTAGGCCGTTGATTAGATTGTATTTTCAATAAACTTGAGATTATTTATGATAAATCTCTTGAAAAATGATTAGGTATTTAATCATATGTTCCTCTTTAAACCTTTTGAAAAAGCATATCCATATCTTTTGCTCTAAAAGGAGTCTAAAGACAACACATTTCATATACTACACATCCAAGCGACCTTAAAATAAATAAAAATAATAATTACCAAATATCACTTTTCATATCATACGGTTGATCTCTCCAAACTTCTGGACTAGCATAATAAGGAGTACCAGTTTAAGTATATACAAAACCTCCTTTAGCAACTTTAGAAACATTTAAATCTCCTAACTTGAATGTTCCATCACTAGACAAAAAAACATTAGCAGATTTCAAATCTCTATGTACTACTTTTTAATCATGAAGTGCCTTCAATCTTTCAGTTATATTATTCAATATACCCTAAAGTCATATGAATCAATGCTCTCCAAATGTCCATTTCTTAAAAGGGAGTAGAACCTCTTGCTTAAGATATTCTTTTATATACATCACCCCCTGATAATAGTTCCATAACTATACAAAGACATTAGGATGGTTCATCTATAAATGCTTCCTTAAAATCAAAAAAAGAACTTACTTTATAAGCAACAATATATTTATCATTTATTGAATATAAAAACCTGACTTCATTTAGTGCATTCTATTTTTCCTTTGGCTTTAAGTTTGCTATTTTTACTTTTTTTAAAGCATACTCTTATCCATCTGCTATCCTTTTGACCTTAAATAATTCTTGCGCAAGATACTTTATAAACATTGCTGAAAGAACCCGATCCTAACTCTTAGATTATTTAGAAATCCTATAATGTAGATAAGTGGGTCGATTAAACGTTCATATTTAATTAAAAATAATTAAATTAACTTAATAAACAAATATTAATAAATTTATTACATCTAGATAAAATTTAGAACTTTTTGTATTGATTTATTCACTTAATAAGTTGTTAGATATATTTAACTTTTATATATTATTAATAAATTAATATTATTGAAATGAAAATTAAGGTTAAATTTTTTAATGCTTGGGGAGAGTTATAAGAGATAGTTATTGAGATTTCATCTAAAGAAACTATTTAAGCTCTAAAATGTTAAATCGAAAGAGCAACAAAAATTGAAGTAGACGATTAAAGACTTTACATAGTTTACAATAGAGAAATGAAAGAAATATGTAAATATGAATATTTAAGTTAAATAAAATTTCTTAATGAGGGAGTTTTATTTATAAAAAATAATGAAGAAGACTAATTTAGTGTTAGGGCATCTTAAATTCATTAAAATGATTCATTCGAATCATTAAATTAAAACACTGCTTCAACTCTAAAAAAGTCCTTTCCCAATTCATTTTCACAAAGAGATAAAAATATTATTTACAATAGTTTTCTTACACTTTAAATTGATTAATTTTATGAATAAATCTAGAAAAATAATTTTGAGGAGGCTAAAGCATTAATTAATTCTCATTTGGAATAAAAAGAATTATTCTTGAACGATATAAATATATTCGGTTGGTCAGCCTTACATGTTTCAGTCTTAGTAGGTTCTGATAAACTATTTTTATGGTTATTAAATGAAGGAGCAAATATAAATTTACAAACTAAAGATGGTTGGGATTGTCTATCTTTATCTGTTTGTCTAGGTCATAAAACTAGTATTATTATTCATAGTTATTAATTTAAGTATTGTGTTTATTACTTTCTCAATCAAAATTGAATGTTAACCAATTAAATAAACATGGGACAGCTTTACATTTAGCAGCATAAAATGATGATATAGAAATTGTTTAATTATTGCTCAATCATCCTAAAATAGATATAAAGTAAAATATTCATTAATAGAATAGTATTTCAGATAAAAATAATAAAAGACCAATTGATATAGCAGGTAATAAAGTAAGATAACTTTTAAAATATGAAAATGAATTATAAATTGTTTAAAGTCATAAAACATCATTTATTTCCTCTATGATTGGAATTAGTTTAGACAACCTTGGAAAAGATGTAAATTTTTATCAAATTACTTAGAGACTTTCATAATTAATAAACCATAACGACCACCAATATTAAAAGGAAAGGTTTATAAAGTTAATTATTTTAAACTGAGAATGTATGAAAGATACATAATTGTAGATCCAGATACTGATACAATAGCTAAATTTAAAAATATATCAGATATTCCAAGAAATCCAAAGTAATTAATTATTATATTTATTTAGTTAAATAATTCCCTTAGAGAGCATACATGATATAAAAGTATCTAAGGATGAATGGTTTTAGGAGGAAGACTATTTTTATTTAGAAATCAAATACTTTTCAAAACACATTTTTATAGCTTTAAAAACTAAAGTAGCAGCTAGAAGATGGTACGAAGGATTAAAAAATTGTGTTGGATATTCTAGATACATTCGATAGAATATAAAATCATTAGAAGAATAAAAAAATGCATAGAGAGCATTTGCATTAATGATGGCAAAACCAAATTCTATTATAAACATAGATGATGGAATTTCAAAAGAAAATTAATAGTTTAAATAAAAAGAAATAACTCATCAAAAATAATAAAATTCTAATTTAAATAGTGTTACTGAAGAAGCCTCAGAAATAGATATAATTATAGAAAAGAGTAATTCTTAAAGTCTTTAAGATAAAATTAATCTTTCAAGCTTTTAAATAATTGAAATGATTGGTAAAGGAAGTTTTGGAAATGTATACAAAGCTAAATATAAACATATTAATTGTGCCTTAAAATAACAAGAAAAAGATAAACTTATTAGAAATGGTTTTCTAAAATACATAATATCTGAATTACAAATTCTGAGATAAATAAGACATCCATTTATTGTAAAATTGTTTTTATCATTCTAAGTATAATTATTTAAATTAATAAGACTTAATTTTATTTATATATTGTGACAGAATTATGCCCAGCAGGAGATTTATCAAAGTATATGACAAGAGGGTAAATTTTGAATGAATATACTGCTAAATTTATTATAGCCTAAATTATTTTAGCAATTGAATATCTACATTCATAATAAATTATTTATAGAGATTTAAAACCTGAAAATATTTTAATAGATTAAGATGGATATATTAAACTGACTGATTTTGGATTATGTAAATAATTTGATGGAAATGACTTTACTGCAACTAGTTTTTGTGGTTCTCCTGCATATCTTCCTCCTGAATTAGTTACAGGAGGAGTATCTTAAAAAGCGACAGATATTTATTAAATTGGTACTGTTCTTTATGAAATGTTAACTGGATATCCACCATTCTATTCTTAAGATTTAAAAAGTTTAATGGAAAAAATTAAATATGGTATAATAATAATTATATTTTAAGATTCATTATTTATACCAAAAAATTTAAGTTTAGAAGCCTAAGATCTTTTAAAAAGAATGCTAAAAAAAGATCCTTAAGAACGATTAGGATATAATGATGTTTCTGTATTGAAGAAACACATTTTCTTTGCTGAAATAGAATGGGATAGATTATATGCAAAATTGTATAAACCTCCTCATCTTGTTCTTTGTGCTTAACATAATATATCTAGAAATGGATAATAAATTACTAAAGAAGATAATGTAAATGTCTATTTTATTTTTTAGAAAATTTTAGATTTAGATTATTAAGATGGTGATGAAAAACTCAACTTTATAGACAATTGGGATTCATCATATATATGACTATTTTTTTATATTAATAGCCAATATATAAATATCTTCACAATTTAGAAAGTAATTTTTCTACAAAGTATACGATAAACTCTGGATTAGCTTTCATTTTATTGTTTTCTTTCAATCTCTTTAAATATTCTTTATTTTATAAATAGCTTAAATTTTTATAGATTATTTACTTTTTAAATTAAATATTCTCATCGTAATTTTACTTAATATAGTTCTAAAGATTTTTTAAATTAGCTTTTTATTTTGTTATTATGTTTTTATTTATTGTAAAATATATAGGTTATCCTGATTTTTTTAAGAAGTTATTAATTGTTAAACATATCATTCTAGCCTTGTGATAAGTTCTTATCTTTTTATAATCTTCTTTACAAAATTGACATAGATCATCATTAAGTGTTGCATAATTTCCACAACTACAGAATGATAGTGTAAAAACAATACATAGCGCACCATCTTGATCTATTTTTATATTAGTTTTTTTATAATTCGTAATAAGAGATTTATGATTCATCAACAAAGTAAACTACTTCAAAATTATATTTTCCTTTTTCATTTAATTATGAATAGTTTGAACTACTCTCTAGTGTAAAAACTTATTCTAAGCTTTATTAAATCATTAAAGTTATTTATATTTGAGATCATAAAGATTTTTAATAAAAATTATTACAAATTAAATGCCCAATAAACAAAAATTATATCATAAAATGAGAATGTCCTTTTTTCTTAGAAAGCATTCTATATTAAAATCTTTTAAAGATAGTATATAAAGATTGCTTTTGTGCAATGTTTTGTAAAATTCTTAATATTAATAAGAGGGCTGGCTCAAAAAAACAAATTAAAAAAAAATATAAAAGTAAGAAAAGATTACTATAAATGCAAGAATTTTGCTGCTACGATTATTATTGCTGGCAAATATTAATATGGAAATAGTCATTTAATTAATTAGTTCTCGATCTAATAAAGTAGAAGTATTATAAATAGATTTAACTAGAAATGTTAACAGAGTTATTTATTTAAAGTCAGTTCTAAATAGATAACCAATTCAAGCTATTTTAATAGATATAGAAGGTTAGTTTGTTGAAAAAGATGGAAACATGATAAGGATTTTTAAAATTTTAAATTAGGTGTATTTTATGAAAATGTTATAGAATACAGAAATTACTTTTTGCTATTTTTTGAATATGAAAATAAAATGCTTCCTAAGAATTATTTTGGAAGATGTAAGTGAAACAATAGAAAATAAATATGAAATAAGGAGACACATTTATTAATTCTTTTTCAAAAAGATTATATCACTCTGTTGGACCTACAGTAATTGAGAAATCAATTTAATAATTCAGCAATATAAAGTTTGAAGAATTAAAAACATCTTAATTATCATAAAAAGTTTAGTTTAAATAATATTTAGAGGAAATCCATGATATTTTGTAATTATTTTAAAGTAAACAGTTAAAAAGATATTTAAATAAAGAAATGGAAGAGTTTGAAAAAAAAAATAAAAAAAATAGTTTAAAAGTATTATTGATATTGCTAAAATGCTGTGATACACTTTAAAAATAAATATAAGAAATTGAAATCTGAAGTTTATAAAGGAATAACAGATAAAGGGATAGATCAATTGAAAAATTAAAATTTAATAAGAATTGAATGAATTAATATCTGTATTTTTCCAAATTTGAATAAAGGCTTTTGACTTATATTCAAATATTGATGAATTAAGACTTTACATCCAACAATATGAAAAAGAGAATTTTTAAGAATTAAATTAATCCAATTAGAAATATAGAGACTTAACTCTAAGATTCTAAATAATTAAATATAGATTAGAGAGTGAAAATTATAATTTAACTCAAAAATAATATAGAGATATTACAAATAATTGTTATTTATCAATAATATATAAAAGTAAAGTGAAAATAAATTAAAAGATTGAATATAAAAATGAATATATAAAAAAGAAATTACAAAGAGCTTAAGATAAGAAGAAAAAAAATAAATTGATGTACTGATTAACAGTATAAAGTAATATTGAATAAAATTTATTTTAATTAATTAATAATATCATGTCCGAAATTGAAGAATTAACAAAATAAAAGTAAGCATTAGAGGGTTAGTAAGGAATTCTTGAGAATTGGATCAAGTTAAAGAAAAATTTATAACAAAAGTTCAAGAATCCATCAGAAGCATTTAAAGGTCTGGTGAAAGAGAACGCACGAGAATTGTAGATATAAGATTTTGATGATTTTGCTAAAGGTCTAAATTTGTAAAATACTTTATAATAATAGAAATGATATATTTAAGGATTAAAATTTAAATGAGGAAACTTTTACAAAGATTTGGGAATAATGGGAATTTAATTATAAATCTAATAAACATAAATTATAGATGATAGATGAAAAATTAGAAGTCTTAATAATTTTGGAAGATAAAGATATTAAGATGTTTAAAGGAGATCCTCAAAAGAAAAAGTTAATAGTATCTTAAATTTAAGGATGTGAAAATCTCGAAGATTTATATAAAAAGTTAGGTGAAATGGTATAAAATAACACTGATTAAAAATAAAAAGGTGAAGTAGTTTCAAATGAGAATGATGTATTTTCTTAATTTTTGGCAAAAAAAAGTCAAATATAATTTAATGAACTTTCAATAAGTAAAATGTAAACCAAATTGGCAGATATTCCATAATCATAAATAGATGAATCAGATAGTGCATAAAAATAAAAACCTGAATAACCATTAGTAGAAAGTTAAATTATAGTAATAGGTAAAGTAACATTACCTAAAAAAAGTTATTTAGATTAATAGCATACTATAATACATAGAAGAGGAAATACTTAAACAAATTTATCAAGAACATTCATTTATGATTAAACTAATATAAAAATATTATCTCCTAAACTTACACGTCCAAAAGAATAATTAAGAAGTCCTAATAACTATTAAAAACCTTCCAATTTTGATGATAATGATCAAATTAAAAGATTATAAAAAACTAAGAGATTAAAAGGAGATTTATAACATTATATTGGGGAATTATTTCATTGTGATCATCATTTGAAAAATCCATATGAAGTATAATAGAAAGGCTTACAAGGCTTTAATTGTAAAAAGAATCTGAAGACAGTTTAACATAGGATTGATTTAAAGCCTACTGAATCTATTGAATCATAAAATATTCAAAAAAGAGTTTAAAATATAAGGTATATTTGAAAATATCTAAGAAATAAATTAGATGAATATTCTAATAAAAGAACTAGAAGATATTCTCCTTAAAAACCTTATCCCTCTGGAGGTATTTTGATTAAAAATGATACCACTCCTGAAAGAAGATATTCTCAAAGAAGATCTAGTCCATATACACCAGGAAATGTACATAGATTAAATGTTGACAGATTAAAATAAGAGAAGGAAGCAAGTTAATAATAAAATTCAGATAAAAAACATACATAAGAGTATTTATTATTTATCCTATTAAATATAGTGAAATTCCATACAAAGAATATGATAGATAAAAAGCTTTTGTTTCAGATTGAAATTTATATATTATTTTAATAAAAGTATATAAATATTTTCATTTATCATATTGTTTAATATTCATTTCAACTATTATTCATTCTATCATATTCTGATATTGATTTTATTGAAATTAAAAAAATGCAAAAATTTTATTAAATAAAACTTATTTTATTTTTTACATAATTACGTGTATGAACTCAGATTATTAATTAAGATCAAAGTTTACTTTTTGGTTAAGCGTTAACAAAGACTAAAATGTTGATAATTTTAGTGATCAGTTGAAACAAATAGGTAAAATATACTTATATACTAGGCTCATTTGGAACAGCTAAAGAATTTTGGTCATACTATTCTTATATGGTAAAACCTGAGAAGTTACCTTTAGGAGCTTAATTTTTTTTATTTCAAGAATAAATTCAACCTGTGTGGGAAGATCCATAAAATATGAATGGTGGTAGATTAATACTTAGAGTTAAAAGAGGATTTGAAAATAGAGTTTGGGAAGAATTGATTTTACATTATTTAAGTGATGATAATCCACATTTATAAGGTGTGTGTGGAATTGTAAAAATTTATGTTTATTTTTCAGATTGCTCATTCTAAAAAGAATTTCATACTAATCTCTATTTGGATCAAAGATTAAAATAAATATCCAAAATTATTAGAAGAATTAACAAAATGGATAACTAATTGTCTAGGATTATTAAATAAAAAAGAGTTTGAATATATTGCTCATCCATCATAATAATAACAAGGGGAAACTTAATGAAAAATATATTTTTTTTATAAAAATTATTAACAATAGTTTTTTTTTATTTAAAAAAATTACATCTTTACCACATCATCTTTTTTATTTTTTAGAATAATTTTGAAGAATATTTTTATTAGAAATTTAACTTATTAAGTAATTTAAAAAATTTTTTTATCATTTGATTATTTTAGTATGTCATAAGATAAGAATAAACAAAATTTATGATTTGTTAAAATGTCGGAAAATTTTATCTTAGATTTTATAAAATTGATTCAAAAAATTAATTCTTTAATAAATATTCAACTAAGACATTCCATTTATTTAATTACTAAATAAAGCCATCCATCCTTTTCTGCATATTTTTGATATAAATCTTCTAGGCAGTTTGTGTTGTAAAAATTTAATAATAATTTATTTCTTCCGACAATAAAATAAAGTGACCCTTAATGGCCAACGAATTCTTAGTATTTTTATCTTAATTATTCCAGTAGCATTTCAACACTTAGTGTCTTATTGACAGCTATTTTTTAAAATTTTTATAATTTTTCAGGGTTTTTAGATTTTTCAAAAATATATTTTGGCATATTTTATTCAATTATTATAGGTAACAAATTTGGATTTTTTTGTTTTAATTTAAAAGATTCTAAGTATCTTTATTCAAATGAATTTTGTTTAATATATTGGAATTCCATTTTATTTTATGTAATTATACTAATTAAAATAATTGATATTTCAATAATTACTAAATATAATTATAATAGAAAAATAATTTCAAATTTTACAGAATGTATTTTTATGGAATTAAAATATTATTTAAATAATGATAATGGCATAAAAAGTGTTTTTAGAATAAAACTATAAAAACATATGCTAATAAGTGAATTATTAATCATATATTTTATTGAACTGAGCTTTTTCTTCTATAAAAAAGAAGATAAGCTGCTTCACTCTCAATATCTGATTTCATTAATCTAACACTTGAATCATTGTACTCAACCCATTATTTGATTATTGAGTTATATGCATATGTTGTATAATGTCCTCCTCCTAAGCCTCCTAGATGATTTTCTACTCCATATAAATCATATGTGTAATCTATAGAGTCATTATCATTTACCTTTGATAGAACATAATTATTTAGATCAAGAGTTTTAGAAAAATTGACCATTGCTGTAATTTTTTGTTATGCTCCTTAAGTAATAAAATAATTATAATTATTATTGGATTTATTATAAGCTGACCTAAATCTCTTTAAATGAATTATTAGAACTTAAGGTGCTTTATAAATTTCCATTTATTTAGCTGCTTGAACATGAGTTTTACAATTCATACAATACCATTCATCTCCTTTTTCTAAAATTTCTTATTTTGCAAATTATCTAAGACAATCTTCTAATGAATATTATCCATTTCTCTATTGTCTGTTTTATTCAATTACAAAATCTTTACATTTTTAAAATTTTAGATTATTAATATCTTATCTTGTAATCAAAGGATTTAAAATAACATGAATATATAATAATTTTGTATGAAAGCTTTCGATATCTTCTTAGCTATCAATACTTAATTATTTTCCATTATAAAATAGTTAAAAAGGTACTTCTGAATATAATTTGAATTCTTGAATAAATTCTTCTTATGATTCAGGTATTTTTTAACTAATTTAATCAAGTTTAATATTTTCTTTTAAGAAGTGTGAACCTTCTTCTAAGATTAACATAAAATGACTTCTAAATTGTTTATAAATTTGATAATATAGATAACTTATTTGATTAGTTTTTGTAACAATGCATTACCTTGGAAATGTTACAATTTTATTCTTTTAATTAAAATTCTCTCGACCAGAACAAAAATAAAATTCAACATGAATTTAATCTTCTTCTAAAGAATAGTATTCTTTTTCAACTTAGAATACAAATAATTAACCATCATTTTAAAATAATTATTTAACATTTGAATATTTTTAAATTCTCTAAATAACTAAATGATCTTTAATTAAAACAAAATTCATTTAATCTTCATTTATATCCAATACTTTTGATAATTCTTAAGAGATTTGATTCAAATCTTAATCACTTTTAATATTAAGTTAAATTTTTAAAGGAGTAGATTCATGTGAGTAAATAAAATATAAAGATATATGAAGGAGAGTGTAAGATGGGATAGGAAGTGATAGACTCATAAAAGGATCAAAAGATTTAGATACTCTTTAACAATTTGGACATATTATTGTTGATTTATATTGACCTACCATTAATTCTTAAATTTAACTTTAATTTCTGAGAAGATAATTATTCCAAAATATTTAAGAAGCTTCTAAATCTGATTCATTAGTAATCTCAATATCTTTAACTGTTGGTTTTTTTAAGACTCTATTTAAATCTTCATGTAATCCATCAAGTAAATAGGATAAAAATTCATGAGAATCATGTTATCCATAACCATAAAATTGAGGAGCAAATTTATCAATAACTCTTTTTAATTAATATGGACTAATAGAACTATCACTTCCAAACCACATAGATTTCATTAAATCACAATAGGTTGATGCTAAAAGTCCTTTAGTTCCTAAAGGATTCTATTTATTTAATTAATTTTAAAACTCTTTACTTAATACAAATTCAGTGAATTCATAAGTATTACTTAAACATTGTATTGCAGCATTCATAAAACATGTATTACCTAAATTTTATAATCCTGTCAGCCCAGATTTAATTGTTTATTCATGATTATCTTCCTCATCAATAGAATCGTAAGCCATATAATATCTATAGGATTCTCGTCTAACATTAAGTGGATTAAAATCATAATTATTCTATGAAATAATAGATGTATTTTCCAATTGATATTACATCTCCTTATTTTCCTTATTTGACAAATCCCAATCCTTATTAACTTTAACTTCACAAATAAATATATCAGAATTAGTAAAATTAATTTCCTCTATTAGAGTTGATTTTTCTAATAAATATCCATTCAAAAATTATTAATTTTTTTTCTACATAAATTTGTTTTATTCTTCTAAATTGATAAATTTCCACCATCTAAGTTTATTTTAAAATTTAAATATTCTCATTACTTTTTAAGATAAGTCTGATATAAAATCTTTATTATTTGCAGTTATAACTCTAACTTCAATAGGATAATCCGCTGGGAAGAATATAAATTATATTTATCTAAGTATTAACTATTATTAATATAAATTAAATAAATTTACATCTACATATCTAATTTAGGTTTGGCTATGTTCAACTATCATTCTTTTAACATCAAATCCACCATAAATCTTTTTTAAATATTCATATATTTTAAAACCTACCTTAATATAATCTATTCCTTCTCTTAAATTTTCCTTTATAAAATAATTAGTATGTTTTTTGGGTTCAAATAAATCTAAATCAATTTATTGCATCACATAAATTAATATAAATCCATTTATTGGACCTGGATGTATTACTTATTCTTCAATTTCAACATCTATTTATATTTTTAATAAGTTAGTTAATGTATCTAATTCATTCTCAATATTTAAACAATCACTGTTTGATTATATTGGGGTCTCAGTTACATAACTTTTCCATTTATTCAACCATCTTACTGGAATCAAATACACTGGCATACCATCATATTCAAAATAATTCAATGTCCTCTCTTGTTTACTTAATTCCCCATATGTTTCAAGCTTTTATTAATCAAAGAGAATTACTTATTTTTTTTAATTTATATTCTTTTGCTTATGCGATAATAAAATTTCCATCTATTCAATCATATACATAAAAACAAGGTTATTTTCAACTTTTTATATATATCTTCTTAACTATTTTAACTTACTTTTGGCTGAAGCATAATTATTCTAATCTATGTATAAATTGATTAAATCAAAAGCTAAGTTAAAATATTTCTCTTCTTAATTAAGTTCAGGGCTTAACAGTTCTAATATTTTTATTTAGACTTATTTATATCTTTAACTTTAACTAAGAATCAAGTGAATAAAATGTATTGTATTCAATTTAGGCGCATTAATTTCATTTTTTAAAATTTAGATTAATGATTTCAATGCTTCTGAATACTTTTGTCTTTCAATTAATTAGCAGCATTTTTCCATAAGTTATTTAAATAATGTGACAAATCAAATTATTCTAATAAGATTATTTATTATAACTTATAACAATGCTTAGATTATATTAATTTTTTTTACTAATATTTTATAAACCAATATTAAACATTAAATGGTCTTTCTCAAACTCATATTACACACAACCATTGCGATAATATTCATAAGTTGCCCAATATCAATTAGCTCTTATTATTTATATGATCATATACAAACTGACAAATCATAAGTAATATTTTGTATAACATATAGACAGTCTACGCATTAAAAATACCTTTGACTTATTTTATATTATATCATTTAGGAGTCATTTATATTTGGGTTATTTTAATTTGGCATGCCTATTTAGGAACTGGAGATAATTTTAGAAACTTACTTATCAATATCTGGCAAAATCACTACAAAGTCTCTTATCCAATTGTATTGTTTAATGAGGTAGAATATTTTAAGTAATTCAACTAGATTTTTAGTTTTGTTATAGCTCTCTATGGGACTTTTGATACAAACCTATAAAAATATACAGCAACCCAGTTATTGTATTATGCATCTGCTTTTTTTGTATGCAATCATGTTTACTCATTTTATTCAAGAAACATTGTTCGAAGAAATGATGTAAATTAACTTCCACATTGTGACAAAAGATTATTTTAAACATACGAATACCTTTTTTATTTTTAAACATTGATCATTTTTGTTTGTAAATTATTGTGTTTTTTATTTTAGGCTTCTATTATTCTATCAAATTTGATAATTTGCAAAAAGAAATTAAACCTTTTATAAAATTTCTTATCAACTAGTTAATGTTCCATGTCTTTGAGATTACAAAAATATATTTTGTCATAAATCTATTCGTTTTAATTTAATTCCTTTAAGTTATAATAGATGGTATCTAATTAGTTATTGACTATAATTAAATTTCTTATATAATTGCTGGTCTAACTATTGCAAGCATAATTATAGCATTTGTCTATAATTTACATATATTAGTAAATATATATATATTTCAAGGGTTAATATTATTTGTAACTAAGGAATTGTAGAGATGGGAGATTTTTTAATGATAACCCTTAAGTTTAAATCACTAATTTGAGAGAAGAAGATTTAGAAAAGTTAGAAATTAAATCCTTTAATTCCTAATTAGAAGTGTAATAAAAAAGAAACTAAGCTGTAGATTTAGCTTAGTTAGAAGAATAAAATAATAATACTATATAATGCCCAATTTGTGGAGATGACTTTCAAAAACGATAGAAAATTATATTGTTAGAATGCTAACATATATTTCATTCAGACTGTCTAATAAAATGGCTCAAAATTAAAAATTCTTGTCCTTACTGTAGGAGATCAGCAGTAAATTGTTAATAATGATTTTATACATATTTTTAAATAAGTATTTTTGTCTCGTTATACACCTTTGATATTTTATATTATTTTAATAAATATTTTATTATTTTTATAAACATCTCTCAAAAACGAATTAATAACTTTTTTTTTGAATGAATAAGTATTCAAAAAGACTTATAAATCTCAAAACATATTAGTTTATCAAACAATAATAAATATTATTTGGAAATAAAATATGAAAATTAAAACCTGAGAAAAAATATTGCTTTTAATTGTTAAGCAAAAAATAATAATCAAAAATTAAAAAAAGACTAAAGAGATATTATTTGATTGAAATTATATATATGAGATACATAATGAAAATTTTCAAATTGAATGAATTTATTTTTCTTGAAGAAAAAATATCTTTTAGAATTAAGATTAGCAGAAGGAAAAAAACTAAAATATTCATAATTCTAACAATTACACATAAAATTGTAACGCTAATTTATTATATTTAACCAAATTTTTTGACAATACTTTTCATTATAGAATAAAAAGAAAATACTCCCTAATTCAAATTTATCTTTCCAAAAATAACTTGCCATAAAGAGTATTTTAGACTTTAGCCTACATTTCTTGTAATATATTTATTCTTAAATATTATAGGTGAGATTTTTGCTATTCTAATACAATATTTTAAGAGAGAATACTTGGAATAGTAGTTTTTTTATTAAGCTAGAATATCTTAAAGTATTAATATATTTAAATATTTAATAGAAGAAAAATTGATATACAATATCAATTCTAAAATTTTGATGTTTGATTTTTTAGAATAAAGTTAAGAGTTTGTTAGAATGGATTTCATTAATTGTAAAAATTCTTTTTTCTTGTTTTTTGCAATTATTATAATTTAATTAAAAAAGGAAGATATAAATATTATGTTAAATTATAAACTAAGAAAAAATTAAATAATATATGCCAAAAATAACAACGAAAAGGGATAAAAGTTTTAACATATATATTTTATCATATAAATTAATCATCATTCTTGTTTAGGAATATGCTAAAATTATTAGTATTGCTCATTTAAGATTTTTACAAAATTCAGTAAGGTTTCATTTTACGAAGTCTGTGCTTCATCATCTAATTGAAGATTATATTCTCCAAAGTATTGAGCTAATTTAGAATAGTGAGCTTCTTCAAGGCTAAAAGTTCATATAATTCATGTATACTTAATCTTAGAACTTTGAAAATTGGTTTTTAGATCACTACACTCTGACTTGAGCTTAAGTTTTTCTATTTTTCCTGATTACTTGTGAACAACTATTATAAAGGTTTCAATCTCTTAAAATATTCTTTTGTCTCTTGTTCGTTTTTTACCTATTCTTCCTTCACTTTGGTACACTTAGACTATGGCTTTCGCAGTTGAATATTTTATACCAAGGTTTTGAGCAATCTAAAAGATATAAATATGAATACTTATCTCAATGGCTATCCTTTATTGCAAGCTTAATCTATAATTTATTATCTTATAGTCTCATCAACTTTCTGATAATGGGAAGGTCGATTACTTTTTCTGTCAAAAATCATATATAACCAATTACCTAAGTTTTTCAAAACTATTTTGAAATGGTAAGTTATTTTCACTCTCAATAAGATTATTCATTATTTGCGATATATTAATAAATATTATTATTTGCTCAACATTTAATATTTGAGATAAGAAGGAATAAACAATCTTTAGTATCATTAAATTTAAGAAATTAAATAAAATTCTTTATGTTATAATTTAAAAAAATTTATAGTAATTATCACTCTTGAATTTCCTTAACCTATTTAGATGGCTTATTGAGTAAAAAATGTAAGAATGTAAACATAATTTTTGTCCATTTATAATATATAATCGAAATATATATAATTTATTAAAAAATAAAAATACTAAGAATAAAAATATTTATTAATAGATTTAATGCCTTATTGAGGTTATATAAAAAATTTTATGACAAGTTTTAAATAAAAATTCTATAGGATTTTCTTAAAAAGATTAGATGAAGTAAATCGAAATAAGTTTTGAACTTGATTTTTGAAATAAAGTATTAGTTAATTAAATATAATGAATAATATCTTAGTTAAATTTTATATTATGTTTATTTCTGTATTAAGCTTTAAAAATAAATATACTTAAATAAATTTGTTAATAAAAATGAATCCAAATACACCTTTCAACGAAAGATTTGCTAAAATCTCTGAAAAGCTCAACTCAATCTAATTATAACATGATTCATCAAAAGCTCATAGAATAGACAATATTTGCGGAAGAATAACAGGTGTAGAGGAGAGAATGCAAGACACAATAACATCTTACAATAGAAAACTTGTATTAGATAGTATTATTATTATATAGCACTCACTGAAAGATGAAATAGTTCGTCTTTAAAAATAAATAGAAGAAGAAAACAATGCCTTTGAAACTTAATTTGAACAAAGAGTGAGAGAAATTGCTGCTTTTGAAAGTAGAATCACAACAAAACTCGAATAAGAAATAGCTTTAAGAAAGGATGGAAATCTAAAATTATAAGGATATCTAGATGAAAAAGTATAAAGAAATATATAACAATAGGTTGTATATTTAAAGTCAGACATTTAAACTGAAGGGAAAATTAGATAAGAATAAATTGAAAATATCACAACATCTTTAGAAAATGATTTACCAAAGTTATATGACATGGTTAAAACTGAAGGACAGGATAGAGAAGATAGTGATAATGGTACTTTAAGAAGAGCAGGAGATGAAATTAAACGATTAAATGAAGGTTTAGGTAATTAGAAAAAATTAAGGTACTGATTAAATAAATTTATTCAGGGAGGAATCAGAAGCAGCAATCTTTGAAATGCTTAAAGATCTTGTTTCCAGAGTTAAGAGTGAAATTGAAGAAGAAAAAAAATTAAGAGAAGAATCTCAAGAATCTCTTTTGGGACTTTTAGAAGATGCTTGTAATAAAATTTATAGAGCAGCTAAAGATTGAATATTTTGAGATATAAATATATACATAAACATATATATAAATATAACATTAATTTATATCTTAGCTAATTTTTAATTAATGTATTAAGAATTAACTCTTTTATAATTGAATCTTAAATTATTTGTTGAATTCTAGAACTAATATTATCATTGATATATAATATTAGACCTTAACTTAAATCTAGTTATAATGAATTAAATAATTAATTTATTCAAGTTATTTAATGATATATTTTAGAAAAATAAATTTAATTATGAATACAGAATCTTGAAAAATAGATAATCTTAATTATAATTTGAGTAAAAGTAAAGAAAATGAATAATAGATTCTGGTTGATTGAATTGAATTATTAAGATAAAATAAGTCAAGTATTATTAGAATAAAATGTTCATTTGAGTCATTTAATATATTTTTAAATATCCTTATATTTATTTTTTAAATTTTTTCTAAAAATGAAGCATAATTAACAACTTCCAAATGCCCATTTAAGAAAACATTGGACAAGATTTGTTAAGACTTTTTACAATCAACCAGCAGCAAAGAGAAGAAGATAATAAAGAAGATAAGCAAATGCATTAAGTAATTAAGAATATGATAAATATTTAATAGGAGCTTCTCCAAGACCAGTTGAATTACTTAGACCAGTTGTAAGAGGATAAACAATAAAATATAATGGTGTATAGAAATTAGGAAGAGGATTCTCTTTGATTGAATTAAAAGAAGCAGGTCTTAATGCTTAATTTGCCAGAACAGTAGGAATTGCAGTTGATCATAGAAGAAGAAATAATAGCTAAGAAGAATTGGCAGTTAATGTTAAAAGAATTAAGGCTTATTTGTCTAAATTAGTCTTATTCCCAAGAGTTGCTGGTAAACCAAAGAATGGAGTTGTTAAAGATTCAGCAAATGATGTTGTAGCATAACCAGTCACATAAAATACAAATCCAGAAGTAGATATTATATATTAACTTTTTAGGTTATCACATTCTAAAGAACTCCAAAGAGAGAGAAAGCTACTGTAATCTCAAAAGAATTAAGAGCTAAGAATGTGTACAGAAGATTAAGATAAGAATGGTACAATGCTAAATTTGTTGGAGTTAAGGAAAAGAGAAAGTAAGCCAAAGAAACCAAGAAATGAGTAGAGATAATCAAAGTGTACATTTACAATAAAAATATTTAAAATTATTCATTTATATATGCTATACCAATTTGAAAGTACTCTCTTTCAAGCAGAATTCTTAGAAAAGTTTCCAAGTATAGAAGAATAGCCTTTTTTTTATAAATATAGAGCAAGAACATTATTATAATAATTATTGTAAAAGACTTAAGACCCTTTATAATAAGCTATCATTCATTATTAATTAGGTGTCAATTATCTAGATTGTGAAGAAAATGGTGAATGTATTTTTTTAATTTCTAATCAATCTAGCTAGAAAGAATATGGCGAAATCATTATAATTATTTTCATAGATTGAAAACATTGAAAATTACTTAACATATATTTAATCCATCTATAATCATTTAGGATTTTTAGCAGTTAATTTAGATGATAATGAAATTGGTTTAGCAATTTTAGCTAAAGCTGAACGATTAGGTGAATATCTGATAACAAAAGGAGATTTTACAAAAAAAGCATTTAGGTTACAAGGAGGATTCGAGAAAGCACAGGAATTTTACACAATCACGTTATTTTACATTGCATAAGCATATACAAAACTTGGAATCAAAGACAAAGTATATTCTAAATATTGAATTCATTTAGGCTGCTTTTTATTGTGGTTAGACTATGTTAAGATAATTCAAATCTTAAACTTATGAATTAAGAGATTTTGTTATTAATTGCATATCCTTATCTGAGTATTATTCAAGCGTTATGAACTTTGCCTAGGCTTTTTATCTTCTTTTAGTAGGAGAGACAGTCATTCCAGAAGGAAAAAGAAAAAAATTGTATTTCATTTATTTATAATGTTAGACGTGCCACCTTACAAATGGCATAAGGGAAAGTTATTTCAGATATGATGTCATATTGTGTTGATTGTATCAAGAGTAATCAATAAAATGACCCTAGTCTTTCTAAATTATTTAATAAATATAGTATCACATTTGATGGTCTTAATGTGAAACAATTAGTATTTTATATTTTTAATATCCTTAGATCTTCTAACCTAGTAAAACATTTGATGAAATCAAATCTTTATTTAGATAAGCAAATACTTTATATAAAAAAGCCATGTCTATTTTTGTTTTAGATGGATTTGTAACTGAACATATCCAAATGCTTAGTGAAATCTCAATAATGTATAAAGTTATTATGAGTCTTGAAACTGATCCGAATAATATCATTGCATTTTTAGAAAAACGATTAGATTTATTATTTNTATTCATTTATATATGCTATACCAATTTGAAAGTACCCTCTTTCAAGCAGAATTCTTAGAAAAGTTTCCAAGCATTGAAGAATAGCCTTTTCTTTATAAATATAGAGCAAGAACATTATTATAATAATTATTGTAAAAGACTTAAGACCCTTTATAATAAGCTATCATTCATTATTAATTAGGTGTCAATTATCTAGATTGTGAAGAAAATGGTGAATGTATTTTTTTAATTTCTAATCAATCTAGCTAGAAAGAATATGGCGAAATCATTATAATTATTTTCATAGATTGAAAACATTGAAAATTACTTAACATATATTTAATCCATCTATAATCATTTAGGATTTTTAGCAGTTAATTTAGATGATAATGAAATTGGTTTAGCAATTTTAGCTAAAGCTGAACGATTAGGTGAATATCTGATAACAAAAGGAGATTTTACAAAAAAAGCATTTAGGTTACAAGGAGGATTCGAGAAAGCACAGGAATTTTACACAATCACGTTATTTTACATTGCATAAGCATATACAAAACTTGGAATCAAAGACAAAGTATATTCTAAATATTGAATTCATTTAGGCTGCTTTTTATTGTGGTTAGACTATGTTAAGATAATTCAAATCTTAAACTTATGAATTAAGAGATTTTGTTATTAATTGCATATCCTTATCTGAGTATTATTCAAGCGTTATGAACTTTGCCTAGGCTTTTTATCTTCTTTTAGTAGGAGAGACAGTCATTCCAGAAGGAAAAAGAAAAAAATTGTATTTCATTTATTTATAATGTTAGACGTGCCACCTTACAAATGGCATAAGGGAAAGTTATTTCAGATATGATGTCATATTGTGTTGATTGTATCAAGAGTAATCAATAAAATGACCCTAGTCTTTCTAAATTATTTAATAAATATAGTATCACATTTGATGGTCTTAATGTGAAACAATTAGTATTTTATATTTTTAATATCCTTAGATCTTCTAACCTAGTAAAACATTTGATGAAATCAAATCTTTATTTAGATAAGCAAATACTTTATATAAAAAAGCCATGTCTATTTTTGTTTTAGATGGATTTGTAACTGAACATATCCAAATGCTTAGTGAAATCTCAATAATGTATAAAGTTATTATGAGTCTTGAAACTGATCCGAATAATATCATTGCATTTTTAGAAAAACGATTAGATTTATTATTTCCTGTTTTTAATACTATTAATCCAAAAGCTTATTAAAATACTTTTGAAAAATTATTAGTTGAAATTGCAGAAATTAATAATGAATTGTATGAATTCATAATTAAATTTAATGAAATCGATGATTTCTCTGGAGGCAAAAGTAAAAAATTGACTGAAAAAATGAACAAAGCTTGTCTTAATACTATCTAATATTATGAAAAAATAGTCGAATAATTAAAATAACTTGAGGAAAAATAGAGAGACTCAGCTTATTATTCATCAATAACTACAGCTTATTTTAATATTGCCAAAGCCTAATCTAAATACTTCTCTAAAGATAAGAAAATTAAGGTTACATATCTAGTTAATTCGTTAAATTAGTACAAATAGTTGGTTTAATTTATTAATCAATAAAATCAACAAAATGAATTTTAAGCTGTTCTCTAGATGTGCAAAGAAATGATATCAATTTTACCATCTAAAATTGATAAAATTAATTACATGTGAGTAAATGTTAATTTTAAGTTAATTTATTTATATATAAATATTTTAATAATTTATTCTCCTCTAGATTTAAGATGACTCAAATAAATTATTTCTAAAAAATTTATTTAATCACGCTTAAATTTAATATTTATCCTATTATATCTTCCTAATTCTTAGTAAATAAGTTAGTTATTTCTTTTTGATCATAAAAAATTCGTATCATGCATTTATAAATATTTATTTTATACTTTTTATATAAAGTCATTTAACTCAAGAATGTACTTATCACATGTAGTTTTTTGTTTCTCTTGGTTTTAGTTTAGAGTTATGTTTTGGTATAAGATCTATCAATTATTTGCTTTTAAGAACCGAACATATTTATTTTTTTGATTTCGATTCAACTCTAACTTTATTGAGTTCCAATAAATTTTATTTATAATTTTCAATTAGTTTAGCAAAAACTATGGATGAATCTAAATAATTTTATTTTTAATGTAAACTTGTATTTTGAGAATGTCCTTTAAATTAAGCAGATTAAACAACAGAATTCTTAAATAATAATTCACTTAAATTACATTTTATGACATGCTTCTCTATTTGTTATATATCTATGGCATTTTAGTTAAATTATTAATATTCTTGTAAGGACTGATGGGAGTGTTTTATTTGATAGATTTGTTGGATCGTTAAGTAGGTTTGATAGGAGAAGAATGATTGGATAGTTATTAGGTGGTTAATTAAGTTAGTTTAATTTATGATAATTTTTTTTAAATTATTTAATTATAACTATCTAGATCAATATCTAAAGACCAATTTAATGATTATTAAATATGTTCGTTTTATGAAATTAATTGCTTATAAATTCTATCCATATTTTATTATCTACTTTAAAAATAAAGAATTTATTCTTCTTAAATTCTAGGTTGATATATATTAAAAATTACTTGTTAGCTGTTTCAATGATTTCATATTATTTTGGAAAAATTTTTGTATAGAAGTAGTTCAAATTTTGATTATTTTTGATATTATTTGACCACTCATTTTGGATATGTTTTTTATTTGTAACTTCCATAGAATAAAATTGATTTTGGATTTCTTGTTCTTGACGATTACTATCCTGACTGTGCAACTTAAAATTGATAGAGTATTACTCTTTTGATTTAAGCATCTTGTTGTCTATTTAAGATTAATTCAATTTAAAGTCGACATTCTTAATAGACAACAGAAATTAATGAATTCATAAGTAAAGTTTTAGTATCTAGCTTTTAAGTTTAAAAATTGTAAATAGAAAATAGAAACTTAGAATTTTTTGATCTTATGATTTATCTTTTGATTAACATTAGCTAATAGGATTCCAAAATTCTTGCAAGGAAACGATGAATTAATCTATTTGTTTTGATTATAATATAGTAGATACTTTAATTCTGATTCATTGATTGTTTAGTGATCAATAAATTGATTTAATAAGGAATTTTCTTGAATGGCTAAATGATGATACATCTCATCAAGTTCTTTAGTAGTCTTTTGAGATAGTAAGGAGAGAGAACTGAATTGTTTGTATAGAGAGTCAATAGTATTCTGAGTTAATTCCATTAAAGTGAATTTTAATATTAATTACAGATGATTATAATATAGATCATTGATCATAATCCATTTCAATATTTATCTTTTTTCTACCAGGTTTAGGTGCTTATTGTTATTATTGCTATTATTTATTGGAATTCTTTTCAATTTCCATTTATTATTAAACTAGAGGTATTTAATCAGGTTGAGTTTTAACAATAACTTAAAAATTAGGTCTTAATAGTTTATGAGTTTCTCCTGCAGGTAATCTAGCTCCATAATTAGTTTAATCTTTAGATTAATCATTCAATTATTGATTATTCTTTTCTAATGCAAATAAAATAAGATCATTTGTATTGATCGTTGGATTTTATTGATATTCATAAGCTATTCTAACATAAGTCTATCAATTAATAAACTTTATATCTTCTGTAATAATATTTTATCGCTTTTGCATTTCAGCTAAATTTGATGCTCCATCTAAAATTTTTACCATTAGCTACTTAGCATATTCATTAGGTGGATGAACAATATTCTCTTCATAAATGCAACCATGATATTCTAATAGTTATTTAATTAATTCTGCTGTTGTAGTCATTAATTAATTAAAAATGGGAAATTGTACTCTTAAATCAACAGAATCAGAAGATTAAACAGGTATTATTATTTACATATTTTAGTCATTTCTATCTCTAATTTCACATAGAAGAATGTTATAGGCAAAGGAGGTTTTGGAAAGGTAAGATTATAGAAAATAATAAAGAAAATTAGGTCTGGATGGTTGAGAACAAAAAGTCAAAAAGTTTATACGCTATGAAAATTATGTCAAAAGCAAAGTAAATTATCATACAATTTCAATTAGGATCATTGCAAAGAAAAGTGTCTAATCAGTAATGAATGAATTATAACTACTTAGTTAATTGAAACACAAGTATTTCAAACTATTTTAAATAGCTTCATTATTAATATGTAAGCAGCATTCTAAGATCGAGATAATCTCTATTTAGTCATGGATTTATTGACAGGTGGAGATCTGAGATACCATCTTTGTAAATAGAGGAAATTTACTGAAGAGCAAACTAGTACTCAAAAATAAACAAAATAGAATTCTTTGTGGTTTGTATAATCGTCTCTTTGGAATATTTACATGTTAATGGAATTCTTCATCGGGATGTGAAACCAGAAAATTTAGTTTTTGATGATAAAGGATATTTAAAATTAACTGATATGGGAATTGCTCGTTAATGGAAACCAGAAAATGCTTAAGACACAAGTGGAACTCCTGGGTATATGGCTCCAGAAGTTATGTGCAGTAAAATTTACAATTTTTTATTCTAATTAATTAGGATAAAATCATGGAGTAGGTGTCGATTATTATGCACTTGGAGTTATTGTTTATGAATGCATAATGGGTAAAAGACCTTATACTGGAAAAAGCCGTTAAGAAATTAGAGATTAAGTTATTGCAAAATAAGTTTAAATAAAAAATACAGATATCCCTGCTGGATGGTCATTAGAGGCTGTGGATTTCGCAAATAAAGTTGTTTATATATAATTTAGATCTAGCTTATATAAAGAAAGCCTGCTAATAGATTGGGTGTGAATGGCCCAGATGAAGTGAAGGCTCATTAATGGTTTAAAGATTATTCTTGGGATAAATTATTAGAGAGATAATTAACATCCCCTTACATCCCTAAAGAAGATGAAATGGTTTAAATTGCTAATGAAAATCGTAGAGATTCTGCTAATGAGATTGATCCTGAAAGTGTTTTAAGTTTAAGAAGGAACTCTGTCTAAGGCATTCATTTTTATAGATTATTTAGCTTAATTCGGAGGTTATAGTTTTAATGGAAGCAATAACAACAATAACAATGCTAAACCTTAATCAACTAATGTTAGTGTACCAGCAATATTGTCTACAAAGGCTAATTGATTTATGATAAAATATTTAATATATGTATATGAATGTACTAAAATGTAAAATCAGTCAAACAAACCACCCATATCAACATCTTCTTCTGGTTCTGGGGCCTTTTCAACTGGTTTAGGTGCTTCTTATTTGGCAGCAACTGGAGCTTAAGCTTAGGTTGGAGCACTTGATGCAGCTTAACAATTATTAATCATTATATACCTCCTCCTCCTAATTAGAGAGTACCTACTTTTTTTAATCCTTCGCTGATAACATCAGAAAGTGTTTTGCCTTTCAATGCATCTACAATTCCCTTTATTTAATCATCAGCTCCTTAGGCACCTACTTCACTCAATAATCCCTTAATATCTGCCTCAGCTACAATATTCATTGTGATATGAATTACTTGGTTGGGCTTTACCTCCCAAAACTAACAAAGCATAAGCTGCGACGTATTACATTGTATTTATTTAAAAAATTATTTTTAAATTATGCTATTTTTCTTTCACACTTTTATTCCAATATTATTAAAGAAATTTATATTAATTTAATATCCATCCTCATCCTCTTATTTGAGTTATTCTAATTGCTTCTAAAGATCACTTTAAAGTTTTCTTAAAGTTTTAACTTTACTCATTAATATTATAATCTTTTGAGTTAGTTTTTATAATTTAAGAAACAAATGATTTAATTTTGAATAAATTTATTCAAAAAAGATTCTTTATTAGATAAATTATCTATTTAAATATATAAAATTCAATCAAGGATATGTTATTATCAAAATAATAATGTATAATTTTAAAAATCCCATCAAATTCTTTCTTAATACATGATTCAAAAATTTAATCTTCCTAATTCTCAATTATTTTCCTTTATAAAAATATTCAAAGTAATTAATATTCAAATAATTAATTGATATTTTTAATAGTTTCTTTTAAAAGTAAAAAAAACTAAAATAAAATTAACTTATTTATTTAAAGGTATTAAGAATGTTTCTAAAGACTCTAAGCAAGAAAAAAATATTTTGGAAGTTTTTCTGCTACAAAATAAGTTATAATATAAGTAAATGATGATTTTCCTTTTTAATTAAATTTAAAGAGCATTTAGGCTGAAATATACAAGTTTTCATGAATTTAAACAGTTATATAACTAAATAAACAAATTCTATTTACTTTATATGAATTAAGATTAAAATAAACTTATAATTTATCATAAAAAAAAAGTGATAATATATGTATTATAATTTAATCTGTAAAAAATAAGGAAAAAAATATTCAATAAATATTTTTCTTGAGTTAATCAAATAATTGTATCTTTAAAAAGGTTGTATTAAAAAGATGGATTTGAAAAGAGAAGTTTTTTGCTATTTTATAATTATATAAAATTTAAAAAATACATAAAAATCAATCTTTCAATTATAGAATAAATATAAATCTATACTTTTGATCACTTTTCAATATCTTAATAAATTTAAGAAACATCATTGTTCACTAGAGGTATTTCTGGTTCTTCTTTAATAATTCCTAATCTTTATGAAAATGCAACCTTTTATTGTTGCTGTTGCAATGCTTATTTCTATTGCTAGACTTATAACTATTGTATTTCATCTAAAGCTTCAAATGAGGAATTGCTATCACAATAATTAATGACATCAAAAAGATCAGAAACATCATCTGTATTAGACTTAAGAGTGCATTTATTGAGATTCATTGAATGAATTGATTATTAAAAATGAATTGATTTATCTCTTATTTATTGACTAGTTTCTTTGAATCCTATTATAATTTATCCAAGATTTTAATTGAAATTAGTTTTTTCAATAAAATGTTCATTAATATTTGAAACAGATTATTGAAATATTTTAACATTAGCTTACATAGATCTAACAAGTCCTAAAAGAGGTTTGTCACTTGAACCAGTGAATATATCATCTTTGGATTTAATAATTAAATATTTGGGAATAAGCTTGGGTTAATAAAGCCAGGGATGAAGAAGAGCCTCTTTAAATTATAAATAGAGTATACCTTATGAAGTAATTCTTTTTTCTGGATCCCATTTCAATAATCTTTTAATGAAATCAATAATTAATGGAGGCAATTTAAGAAATGATTCTTTTTTTAGATGGCCAGTATATTCAGTTTAAGTAGAGAAACTTTCCATTTGATCTTCTTAATCTAAAGGCAACCTTCCACATAACATTTAATAACAAACAACTCCAATAGCCCAAATATCAATTTTTTTAGAATATCCTGATCCTGTCCATAATTCGGGAGCTTGATATGGCATAGTTCCTGTAACAGTCCACATTAGATTGTTTTTAATGTCTTTACAGTTTTTTTCAGCAACAAGAAATCTTTTTGAAACACCAAAATCAATCAATTTAATCTAGTTAGAATCACTATCAAAAACTATATTATCAGGTTTGATATCTCTATGACATAATCCAACTTTATGTATATAGGATACTGCTTCGAATAATTATCTAATTATTAAACGTACTTGTTCATATTCTAATATCTATCTTTCTTTAAGTATTTATTAAAGACTTGGATATGGCAAATATTCCATTACAAGATATGAACATTCCATATTAGGATCTATATAAAGCATATTAGTTTTGCATATATATGGATGATTTAAAGAGACTGTATTAAGAAATGTTTATTTCATTATATCTGTGATTTCAGGGTCTGGATTTCTACTAATTTTAACTGCATATGTTTCATCAGGATTTGTAATTTACCAACATTAACGAACTACTGCATGAGCACCTTCTCCTAATATCTTACCTATTTGATACTAATTTTTAAAGGACTGCTTCATCTACTCCAATTATTTTTTATTTGAGATATAATCTATCAATTTAGATGGCTCTTCTTTAAATTCACTTTAACTTGAACAGTGGACGTATTCTAATATTTAAGGACATTAGTTTATTATTTCATCAGCATACTATTTTTAATGAGACTCATTTTTAAATAAATCACTCTTCAACTTCTTTCTTAGTCTTTCAAAGTTACCTTTTTTGTCCATTTAACTTAGTTTTTTATTTTAATATAATTATATAGACTCAATTTGGTATTTCAAATAAAAAATTAATCTAAATATTAAAAACTCATTGTTATTCAATTGGATGTAAAGGCATCCTAAACCAAAAAAAAATATATATAAATCCAGTAAAGTAAATGAAAATTACTCCCAACCCTACGAATTTTAATTTTGATCTTTAAAAGATTCTATTTTTATTGGTTAAATCAAACCAATTATAATTCCGATTAAGAAACTACCATAAATTCTAAAGATTAATGAATTTTTATAAAAAACCCAATTATTCCAATTATTAAAATAAAAATAGTTACTTACATGATTACTTATCTTGCCTCATCCTTATTATTTAAATATTTTAATACCTATTATGCATTCTAAATTATAAATCCAAAAAATTAAACCAACTATTAATAAAATTCAAAATGAATTTCTTACAATATTATTATAGTAAAATACTATAAAGTTTATTTGATCCACTATTCCTGTCAACAAATATAAATAGAAGGTTGTTTTTATATTAACAAACTTCTCAATCATTGATACGATTATAACTTATAATAATAATTCTCCACATAAATCTTTTACATTATTAAATATGAATAAACAAGCTATTAAACGATAGAACTCTATTTTATATTTTACATTATATGCTGAGCATCTCCCAAAAGTTTTAAGAGTATCATTTGAGAACTCTTTTGTAAATAATATTTAAATACTATTCACAAAATTGTTTTCTAAATTTGAAATCTCCAAAGAAACACATAAAAATAAACAATAACAATTGAATTAATGAAATTATGGCTGTAAATGACATTAATTTAAAATTTGGACAGCAGTAATCTTTAATTGTTGTATTACAATTTTCCTCTCTTGGATCAGATTAGATTAGAGTATCTCGTTATTAATATATTTTTTACTTTCAAATAAAAAGTCAGGCATATTATCCAGATCAGGATGCCTTCTTGCTCTTTACATTTTATTAAAATTATATTTTTATTTTTACTTAAAAAGTTGAATGTTAAAATAATGTAGATTTTGAAAAACAAGATTATTTCAGACTTAAAATCTAGATATATAATTTAACCTAAGCATCCCTATTATTATTGAATTCATTTATCAAATCATTGAGTGATAAAGAAAACAATCATTTGTTGTAATTTTATCAAGTAGCCTATATTTAATTAATATTCTTATCCAAAGAATGTTTATAAATAAAATAATTAACATCCTAGAGTTAAAAAATATATTGCTTGATCTAATATTTGATTATTCATGTAATGCAATTTACCATATTAAAAATAAATTCAATTGAAGTGTTTATTAACTTTTTTTTATATTTTAGAAACCTGAAAAGAAGTTATAATATTATGAATTAATTTTTAATGTAATTTAATATATTATATTAAAGATCATTACTTTAGAATATGATCAATAAAGTTTAATGAATGGATTTTCATATAGAAACTTTAAAAAAATCTCACACATTTATTATGTGAAAATATTTATAATCTGAAATGATTTTTATTTAATTATGATAAATAACAAGAATATTTCATAACAAATTAAAAGTAAACCTCTTTTTCAGTCATGAAATTGACTAATAACAATACTTTTTATGGAAAATTTAGCGAAACTAATTAACTTAGCTCCAGTATCCAATACTAATCAAATCCATAATTATCTTTACAAGAACAGAAAGATTCTAATATCATCATGTTCCTTAAATTTTATCACTTAAATATCTTTGTCTAACAACACAAAAATTAAACTGGCTACCTTAATTGAATTTGGAATCAAATAACTTAGGCATTTTGATCTTGTAAAAATAGGATTATGTAAATCCTGCTCCTAGAAAATATGATACTAAATAGACATCTTGCAGATATTGAAGCTTTGGAATCAAATTATAATCAATAAGAGGTTTTGATGTTATAGGACCTTCTGAACATAAGATCTTAAATTGATAAATAAAACTAAAGCTTTTAGTCTTTAGTCTTTATGATAAAATCAAGTATGAACTCAAAATCTAATTTTAAGTTCTGATAAGAAATTACTTAAAACTGCTTCTTCAACAACTTATCTTCCTAAAGATAAAATATTAAAAACAATAGATTTAAATATCACATTTGAATTTAGAGATAGACCATTACCAGATTGTAAAATGATTCCCCTAGGCCAAGAACATATGCTTTGAAATCAAATCAAAAAAAAAAACCTAACATTAATGACTTTTATATCAATATTATTTTTTTCATTAAAAAGAAATCATTTAATTTCCACTACTTTTTCTTATCCTGTACAAATTGGAACAATTTAAAAATTAAAAATAATTGAAAGAATTTTAGTAAATCTAAATTTCGAGTTATTTCTTTCATTATTAAAAATCAAGTTTTAGTAATATTATTTATGCCAGCTTTATACATATTAGATTAATTAATTCTTTGAATTATGTTAGCAAATAATATAAATCATAAATCTATTAGAAAAATATAATATAATTCTTAATTTAAAATTTTTTACAATTTTTGAATAGTTGAAATAAGAAATTATCTTAGTAAAAATTAAAAAATCTTTCTTTAAAATATATCCAATAAAAATTCAGTTTGTTTGTTTTATAAAATAAATATAAATTGAATGGCATCAATTAATCCTACAATTTTAATAAAATTTTTTTATTAATTGTGCTAAAGATAGGTGTGAGGAAAAACAACGAATTATTTGCATTCTGTAAGCGCTATTTTTAGCAAAGTAACTTCCAATTTTTAGGATATTTAAAATGAAAAAATGTTAAAGTAGAAAAGAAAAAAAGCTAGTCTAATTCTTATTAATAGAAATTGAAAAGATAGAAGAAAAATTAATTGGTTTACGATATCCTATAATTAAAATAATAACATTAAAGATTCTTGATGTTTAACTTCATATTTTGAGTAAATTAAAATTTTCTTCTGCGTAAATCAACTTTACAATATAGGTATTATACTTTAAAATATTTAAATAATAATTTCGATTTATATGCAGGGTGTAAATATACATACATAAACTTTTCATTGTTCATATTTCAACAAAGTTTTATTTTTTATTTATTTTTGTTGCTTATATATAAATTTATATTGATGAACTCAATAAACCTCCACAAGCAACCAATCCTCTATTAAATCTTGTGTGTAACTTTGATAAAAAAAAAATTATTACAATTTTTTCAGGAATTTATGATTTTTGCATAGCGCAAGCTAAATCTCCAATAATTCTTAAAATTAATAATCCATATTAATATCTTTCTTTTGAAAATTACTTCAAATATTCAAGAAATTCTCCATTGGTCATTCCATTTTAGATTTAAGATTTCAATTCTTACTCTCTCTCTAATAAAGATCAAAATACCTTCTAAATGCTGATCTTAGTCTATTCAAATAATAAACAAGTTAAGTTAACAATCCCAAAGTCCAAAATGTATGTGATATTATTTTTAACAATTTATGATTAATTTTTTTCTCAAAAAATCCCATTTAATGAATGACCATAATATTTTCAAGCAAATGAAATAAGAAATAAAATATATACACAGAATATGTAGACATTTCGTTGACTGCATGGGGAATTTAATTATATGCTTTTTTTGGATTCTGTAATTATTTTTTCTCTAAAATATTAAGAATTGTTTAACAACTCTTTCCAAGTCTAAATAATCGTCTGCAAATGTACAATTATTCTATTTAAAAAAATTCATGTACAATAAATTGAAAATTTAATTTCTGATTCTTCATTATTGTAGCCTATCAGCATATAACTTCGCAATAATTGCCAATTTTATAAAAATTTAAGTAATTTATCTCGATTTTCTTTCAATAGGATAATATATTTACCTATTAATGATTAATATTGAATAAAATTTTGAAGCATTTGCTTTAATAAAAAATATTATTATTTTAATAAAAATTCAAATATATATTGAAAATGTAAAGATAATAGCTTATTAACATATAGAGATCACGAATCAAGGATTTTTGATGGATTTTCATAGATTCAAGCTAAAATTGTCAATTTTTGCTCTTGACTTGAATTATTATGAAAATTGATCGATTAATTTTTAAGTGGCTTATCTATATTTTTTATATCTCTAAACATAATTAATATGATATTTTACTTTAATTTTTTCATTCTCAATATTTTTGATATTTTATTTTCTAATTTAATTTAAATCTTAAGATTTTTCATTGTTTTTTTCTTATATATCAGTTCTTTTTATTTAAGAGAAACTGAACAAATTATTAGTTCTTGTAAAATGGGATTTAATTTGCCATTTATCTTTGTTTTCGATACTATCAGTAGAAGGTTTAAGTAATTCATTGCTCATTAAATGACTTGAAGTAAAATTTTTATTAGGAAGTTTTGGAGTGAAATATTGAAGTTGATAAGGAATATTTTTTAATCTCTTTGCTCTTTTACTTTCTTGCATGGGAGTATAGAGTTATAATTGTTTTGGATTTGCAATAGATGTCAAGGTGTGCTTATGAAATCTATTTCCAAATTATTATGGTCTAGAGTTTATTGAAATGATTCCTTAATATAGAAATGAACAATACTTGATCTTGAAGTAGTTGTTTAGGTATCTGATTCCTATTTGAGATTTCCTTCAACTTTTGGTAGAGTCAAAGTAATCCTTACTAATCTTTCTGAAAACATTTAATATAATTATTTATATAATTATAAAGTACTATACCTGATAATTAGATTGATGAAGTATTGATGTAATGAAAAAGGATTGATAATATTTAAATTAAATATAGATATTTATATGGTTCTATTTTATATTTCTTTGAAAAAAGAAAAATATTAATGGATGAATTATGAGATAATTGGAAGCTAATTCAATAAATATAAAAAATTATTGAATTAGCTTCGTTTGATTATCAAAGTAAAATAACAATAATAATTTATATTATGTAATATTATTGCTAACTGCATTCATTACCATACACATAGGTATGTTTGTAACATGATTGTACAAGAAAAGGTCCACTTTGTGATATGTGTACTGATACTCATGATACACATACAATCAAAAATTTGGATACTTATATAAATGAATAAGTCAAATATTTAAACGCTGAATATTAAACTAATATTATGTAGAAACTTGAATAGTTAAAAACATTCTTTCATAGCAAAATATCTTAATTATTAATTGATGTAAGTTAAATAGATGAAAAAAGAAAGAAAGAATTAGTGAAGTAATTGAAATCAGAAAAAATGAGTATCCAATAATTCCAATCAAAATTGATTGAGTTAGTTTAAAGAGACTAATTAAAAGATAAAGAATATTTAGAATCATTTTATGAACAAATTCTTGATATAGAAAAATAATTGAAATAAGCATTTTCTCAATTACCAATCAAATAAGCTTCACCTCAATAGTATACTCAAACAACATCATAATCATAAAATATACTCAATTATAAATCTAATATATCTGATGGCAGAGAAATATCTCCAGAATTAACTAATCGATCAAATAAATCAAACAAATCAAATAGATCAAAAGAACCTATATTTCAATAAAAATAGGCTAGTATTTCTCCTATTAGAAAATAATTATTATAGAGAGATTTAATGCCTGTTGGTTCATTTAATAATTCAAAATTAAAAAATTATTTTACCGAATAAGATTCTCAATAATCAGCTAGAAGTAAATAGGATACATTAAATTCTTTTAAAATCACAAAACCATTTGATTTAGATAAATCCTCTGATAAAGTATAAAATCAAGAAAGTTACCAATCTAAATAAAAATCATCAAATTCTTCATTTGAAATCTAAAGGCCAGTCGAACCATTTAAAGTCAATAATATGCAAACTTAATCTATAGATTTATTACCAAAGTCTCCAGAATCAAAATTATTTAATAAATCTCCAAATACTCTTAAGTCTCCATAATAAGAAAGTGTTTTTAAATATATTTAGTAGGAATAACCTCATTAAACTGGCTATTTTGCAAGCTAGAAACATTAAACATAAAATGATAATAAAAGCTTCTTAAAAGATAATAATTCTATTCGAGAATATGTTACTTTAAAAGATGAAAAATAATAATAGAATCAAAATTTAATTACTCCTATGACAATTGAGATACTTAATTAATATTAAGATAATTATACAAATGATGAGAACAATTAAAAAATTCAATAATCAGTTTTTTAAGACTATTAATAATCTTATGAATAACATTATTCTATTTCAAATCAACTTTTATTTGAACCTACAGAATTAAATAATATTTAATAATAAAATAGCATTAAATAATCTACCTCCTCATAGTCAAATTTTTAACCCTAATAGTTTAATGAAAATAGATCTTAATTAGATTTATCATACATTAGTTCAAAGTAAATAAAATTAATACTTTAGGTCTAAAGGCCCGCCTTAAGTAAAATTAAATCTTAATTTACTGAATCCTCTATCCATAGAAAATGAATAAACATTAAAAGCTCATGATAAAAGTGTCAAAGATCTTAAATTAATGGATAGTGATAAAATTATCTCCTGTTCAAAAGATGGTTCAATTAAAATATGGGATAAGTAATATATTAAATTTTTAAAATTAGGCGATCAAGATAATTGAAAATGACTCTCAAAGAGCATTAAGATTAAGTATTATGTATCGCATTTTCAAAAAAAAGAATTATTGCTAGTGGTTCTGTTGATAAAACTGTTCGTATTTGGAAACCATGCCCATTTTGGAAATAAGTATATATTTGCGAAGGACATGCAGATAGAATTAGATCTTTAGAATTTGTTGGAAATTACATAGCATCTGGATCAGATGATACTTATGTTAAATTTTGGAACTATGATGGGTAATTATAACATTCATTTAAAACAAATGCCAGAGTAAGTGCTTTCGCAGCTGAAAGACATAATCTAATAATTGCTAGCGGAAAAAATCTCATTTTATATGATACATAAACTAATAATAAGATATTAGAAGTGGGTGCTCATAAAAACTTAATTTTATGTCTGGCTTTGTCTAGCAATAATTCTTAAAACAGTGGAATTTTGATTAGTGGATCAAAGGATAGTTGTATAAAAATATGGTAATATCCAAAACTTTAGGAATTAAGGAGTCTTGATGAAGATTATCCAGTTCATTCTATAAGTTTTGATCCTGATTCTTAACAACTTTTTGCTGGACTTATGGGATTCGAATAAGAAGGGAAAATAACAGTTTGGAAATTAGATACATAACCACAAAAAGTTTAAGAGATTAGTATGAATCCTTATGGTTGCAATAAGGTTCTTTCGGAAGGGAAATATTTATACAGTGCACATGAAAATAGAAGGATTGAATTCTATACTATTGATTGAATCTACAAATTGTAAATAATTAATAAAAAAAGATATTAATTGTTTATGTTTAAGACATAATTAATTTAAAAAGAAAATAAATAGTATTTTATTAATTCATAAATTTTTATGAAGATTGCGCACTATATAAAATAATAATTTAAAATGATATTTCTTAAGAAAAATATAATTTTTAATTGATTTTAATTAAATCAATATCTTAAAATGGATGACAATTTATGATCATAGAGCTAACTTGATCCTATAATTGTATAATTGTATGTCTTTTTAATCTTTTTATTATATTAATATAGTCTCATAGTTAAGATTCTCAGATTATTTATAAAAATAAATAAACTAAATTTATCAGAACAAAATCATCTCAAAGCATGTAAAAATAATTGTAATGTAGATAGATGAATCAGATAAATCAAATTAATTTTCTCCAGCCTTTCAATTATTGTTTGTATCCATATAGATCTCCTTATTATTATAATTTGTATGCAGATAACATGCAAGAATAGAATTCATCCACTGCAACATACAAATCAGAAGTAATATAATGGTATCTATTTTTTGATTAATTTTACAGGCTTTCTACCCTGGAATAATCTGAGTTGTATAAACTATTTCAGATAAAAGGATAAATAAAAACCTTTCCAATAATGAAAATGTTCATATATGACAAATTAAATAACCCTTCAAATTATGCATTACTTTAACAGTTAATATAAAAGTTATTTTTAGTGCAACAATTAATTTGGAGTCTAAAATTGATGATTAGTTCATGGTGAATTTCAAAGCACTTCATCCAAAAGCAGAAGTACATAATTAGAATTATTAGTTAAGGAATTATATTCAAAATTAAATATAGTTGATGATGAAAATTTTATGGATACTATTTTCGTAGCTGAACCACATTTGGAAAATTTAAACTCTTTCTTAGATTTATTGAATGACCTTTCTGATAAATATTTTCTATCAGCATCTCCAAAATCTTCTATAGAAAAAGCAGAAGATCCTTTCTGGTTTCATAAAAATAGTTTTCATAGTTGTGCTGTTTGGATCATTAAAGAATTTGAAAAAAATATTTCATATCATCATAGTCTTCATAGGGAAAAAAAGAAAAGATAAAAACATAGAGAGTCCATCTATCAAAATACTTCTAATGAACTTAAAGAATTTTTTTTATAAAATCTTGCTAACAACAAAGAAAGAGTAATATAAAAATTAATGACTTTTAGTTAACCTTTTATTTTTAAGAAATCTATTCACAAATTAAATAATAACCAGAACGATTAGAGAATCAATTTTATGAAAATATATTCTCAGGAACAGCAATCAAATTATTGAAATCATAAGTGGAATTATTATTAAATTTTTAATAAAAATGTCATACTGATACAAACATAATTAATTCAATGTTAATATCATCAATGAATGATTTAGTAGATTAGAAAACTTATATTTTAAAAAAGTTTTACAAAATAGTTCAAAACTTATTTTAAGAACATTTAGAATAAGAATTATTTAAGATTGAAAATTAAGATAAGAGATTGAAAAAAGATAAAAAAAAGAAGAAAAAGAAATTCTAGAAAATGTAAACATTTAAAGGACTTGATCCAATAGAATTAAATAAAAGATTATCAAGCAAAAATCTTTTGGAATCAAATATATTAAGATTTTAAAGATCTTATTCTTAAAGCAATTTAGCTTATACATATGTTACACCACCTAATACACCATCAACTTGGGAAATTAGTGATGATTAACAGTAATAAATATTCTTATCATTAGTGAATCCATAAAGGCTTTAAATATATAAGCCTCATACAAAACTTAATGTGTTAATAATAATAGGATAAATATTATTTAAAAAGAATAACAATCTATTTCTCAATAATTTCTTATTCATAATGAAAATCCAACAAATGATGATTATGTTGAGGTAGGACAAACTATAACAATAAATATATTAGAAATGGTATATTGTTCATTAAATGATGAAAATTAATTTAAGGAAGATTTTTTGAAAGAATAAAAAAGAATAAAAAAAAAGTAAAAAGGATTTTAAAAATCTATTCCTGAAAGTAGAGATGAATAATTATAATTATAATCACCTTAATCGGAAATTACTAGATTTTCAATAGAAACTTAAGCGTAAACAATAAAGAGTCATTGTTCTAATAGAACATCTTCTTTATCAGAAGAAGAAGAAGAGAAATAGAAATCAGGTTAAATCAGAAATTCAATCAAGATTAAAAAAAATAATAATGAAAAATAAAATAATATTTTCAAATTAATAAATTCATTTAAAATAAATTAATTTGAAGATTAATAACTTTAATAAGACATTAATTCAGTTTCAAATGAAAGTGAATAAGTTTCTTAAAAAACTTTGGAAGATGAAATCATTCCTAAAAAAGAAAAAATAAATCAATAATTTTAAAAGAAAAAGAATTTATGCATATAATAATAAAGTTCAGAAAAAAACTTGAAAGAGTAATTAGAAAATGTTTAATAGAAGGGTAAATAAAAATTGATAGAATAAATGAATTTAGACATTCTTGATTTTACAGATAATATAATGAATGAATATGAAGAGATGCTTCCATTCAGATTTTTATCTTTTGAGAGAGTAAAATAAGTGATTTAGAAAGTGTTTTTAGGAATTCCTGATGAAATGATAATGTAGATATTAATATAATTTTAGGCTTTTTGGTTCTTGTGCTACAGGATTAGCTTTAATTGATTCAGATATTGATATTGGAATAAATGGATTAGAAGTTTATAATAGAAATATGTTGAAAAATCATTTTGATAATTTATTCTTTGAATTTTCAAGAAAAAAATGGGTTATTAAAGCTAAGTAAATATTGAATAATATTATTTAGTCCAATATTTAATTCATCAGTTCCAATAATAAAGTTAGAAATAGATCCATAAATAAATGTATTTGATTATGAAGGAAGAAACTTAGATGAACATTAGATTTAATAATGGAAAAAGCTAAAGTAAAAGTTAAAGAGTGGAATAAAAGTAGACATTTCATTTAATTTTAATGGAAATGGAATTTGTTCTACTCATTTAGGTTCAATAACTACTGATTTAGTTAAAAGATGGATGGAAGAATATCCATCACTTTAGTAGATTGTCCTTATTTTAAAATCTATGATAAAAAAACTGAAGCTATCAGAATCATATACAGGTAATATTATTATTTAATTATATTTTAGGGGGTCTATCCTCCTATTCATTAATAATTATGGTTTACTCTTATCTGAGAGAAAAGAGAATTACATCTAATTTAATTGGTGAATAATTTATTGATTTAATCAACTTCTATGTAAATTACTTTGATTCTTCTTCTACTGGAATAGGTTTATTATCTGATATTAATAATTCAAACTCAAGGTATACTTTTTATTAATAAATTAGTTACTTCTTCAATTTATAAGATTATTGTTTACCTATGTTACCAATTACTATATTTAATCCTTACAATAGAAAATTACTTACTCATCCATCTGTTCAAATTAACAAGATTTTTGATTTTTTTAAAGTAATTATAAAGGAAGTTGATTCTAAAAAAGACTTTTATTGTAACTATGTGGTTTTAGGAAAGAAGAAACAATAAAAATTAAATAAATAACTAGGAAATTTTATTGTTAGCATTTTAGAATAAATAAAATGAGCTGAGTTGTATATAGGTTATGTATTGCTTATACTAAATAAATATATATATATATAATTAATAATGGATAGTGAGGATTTTTAAGTAAGTAAATAATCATTAACATATATCATATACAGAGGATAACCATAATTTTAAATATTTTAGGAATTCAAAAAGCTAATATAAGAGAATCCATAAATATAACCTTAAATTATTCATAGTTCTTAAAATTTAAAAGAGTAACATAATTTAGATCTTGCACAAATAGATAAATTAACCAAATTTGTTTAAAGTAAAGGAGGCTTATATTAATCAGAATCCTATGTTTAATACTTTGGAGATTTTGTTTCTTCTAATGTTCAAAGATTTTTTTAGATTTAATTGTTAAATCTAAGGATCCTAAAAACAATCACACCAAATAAGGAATTCTAAAATTTGCTTGCTTAGGCTAATACATTAAAAATTTCATTATCATTGTTATCAAATGAATAAGATTTAACTAGAACACTATAATTGACAAATATATCTACAATAATATAATTTGAGAATAATTAAGCAAGTTTATATAGTTAAGAAGGAATATACAAAATTGGCAATAATTATTAAGGCAAATTTGGTACTCATGCTTTAGTAACATGTAAAAATTAAGATAAGATTTACTTGGCATTAATATAATTAAAAGATAATAAAATTAAAGAGAAATGGTTAGGCAAGACTATTTCCATCTACTAAAATTATGCTATTCAATTTGAAGGTTCAAAAGTAATGAACTATATTGAGTTAAATTAAGAAGATTTAGAACTTATTGATTAATGGGAATCTTATTAAGGATTTGAAGATTGTTAAATTGCATTAAGAGAAATAATGAAATTAACTGATATTTGTTATAAATATTGTTCAATGAGAAAGTAATTTAGAACTACAGAAGATAAAACTGAAAGACCTATTTTAACTTATTAAGTTACATTAACAAGATTAATTAATGCTATTTCATTTGCTGTAATGTTTTATATCAGTACTTAAGAAGCAAGAAAAGAATTTTACTAGGATGTTTTTATGAAAAAAGCCAGAAGAAAAGTAAGTAAAAGATTTGTTGACTTCTTTTCTTTATATATCACTGAGCATTGTGTTTATATGGCAGAATAGTTAAGAGATGTATTTGGAGGGTTTGGATTTCTCAGAATTTCTGGAGTTCCTCAAATATAAGAAAAACTAATATGGTTATCTTCATTCTATAAGAATAACAGGATATAAAAATAAACAGATTACTTAAATGTTATCTTAGATACTGAGAAAGTATATAATTTATATTTAATTCTTAGAATAAATAAATTGTCCTTTTTTATTTAGGATAATATTTTATGGGAGATCCAGTTTCAATGTTTGCTGAACTTGGACCCTTAACATAAAGTAATGTTGGTAATCCATTTCATGTATTTGGTTATCATGTTGCAAAAATTAAAGAGAAATTATTATAACAAGAGCATTTAAAATATTCATATTCAGCATATTAGTTTTGTTAATTGACTTTTGAACTATTTGCTTCTTAAAAGTTTTTCTCTTTACTTGCTTTTAGAAGATATAGGGCTTCTAATTTTATTTTAGATAGATTATTACTAAATTAGAATTTCATCTCACTTTCCTTAATGGAAATCAATTTAACGAATATCAATTTAATTAAATAACAAATAGGATAAAATGCATAAGAGTTGTTGAAAGTTTTAAATATATTAATTGATTCTTATGAATTTGAGCATTATGGAATCTTATTAGGTTAAAATGATTAAGAAAAATTTTATTAAAAAGTAAATCTAAATATATTAATATTAGTTAATTCATGCTAGTAAGAATGAAAATAATAGAAATATAGAATAAGTTGTCAATGAGATTAGATTACCAGTTTAAGATTTATTCAATAGACCAGGATTATGAAAAGTATTAAATAATAAGTTTATATCATATAATGTACAAAATTCATTTTTTCAAAACACAAAAATATACAAATGCAAAAGCCAAAATTAGCAATATGGAAGTAATTGCTACAAGTCTTTGATCTTTATCTACTTACCAACTATCTGGTTTTGAATTTTTATCAATCTCTCCAATTTTCAAAGATTTCAAAATATCGTGAGCTTTATCTGAATGACCTTGATTTGAATATAATGTAGTAGTACCCATTTCATTAAAGAATCTAGTAACATCTTTACCAGCCTTATTTCTAATAACAGCTGGACCTCCAGGATGAGAATCTAAAAATCCTTATGGTCCATAGACTGAATCTCCAATAACAATCCATCCATTTTTAGCATTTTGACCAACTTCTTACCATGTGAATTTTCGACTCATTTAATTTAATGATATTATTTATTTAGATTTCATATATAATGGAATTCAAAAAAAATACAAAAAAAAGCAAATCGAATAAATTTTATTATAATATAATGGGAAATTTGGCTTTATGTCAAGGTGATAGAACTGCGTCAATGTTATAAGCAGAATAATCAATACGATAAAGAAAAGTTACTCAAGTAACTGAGGCAGTTTAACTTGATTTAGAAAAAGATCGTAAATAATCAATGATTCCTACTTCTTATAATAATTAATAATTATTGACATCATGTCTTGATGATTGGTTAGAGAATTTACATGAATCTGTATTGATAAGTCAAATGAATTTAAATTGTGATGCTTCGACTAAATTTTTATCTGAGATTGATGAAGAAGAAGAGGTTGATTAAACTAAATAATCATTTATTAACTCTCAAGAAATATTAGAATATAAATAGAACTATCCTTACTGTAATACAAATTTAGATATGGTAATAATAAATTTCTACATCATAAAGAAAAATGAATTCAAGTAAACATAACTCATAATAAAGGCTTAAATTAATTTAGGGGCCTCCTAAATAAAGAATAAGATGGTCTTGTTGGTAATTGATGGCCTATACACCAAAATTTCTCATTTGTTCAGATGGATTATCTTTTATAGAAGAAGATTAAAAATATGCGAAAGCTATTAGAATAGATATTCATAGAACTATAACAACTAATAATATTAAATATTTTGAAACAGGAGAAGGTTAATAAGATCTAGAAAAAGTCTTATTAAAATTATCAAAATTATTTCCAAAGTTAGGGTATTGTTAAGGAATGAACTTTGTAGTTGGATTCACCTTAATTATTAACAACAAATCTGTTGATTAAAGTCTATAATTTTTGGCTTAAATGATGGTAAATCCTAAATTTATGCTTTACTACATTTATACAGATAAAATGCCATTGGTAAAACTATTAGAATTTATATGTATAAATGAAATCAAATTAAAATTTCCTGATTTATACAATCACATATTCAATAAGTTAGAAGTTGATAATGCTATCTGGATTACCAAATTAATTATGACACTCTTTCTATATAATTTTCATATAAATAATGTATGTAGATTTTGGGATTTTTTATTGGCTACTAGTATTTTTGATATTTCAGCCATTATTTGCTCTTTGATTGATATTAATAGAAATCAAATATTAAAAATGGATGATTTACATTAATTTGTCTAGTGGTTTGATACTTTCCAACAATTAGAATTAGATTAATTTCAAATTGATTAGCTAATAAAAAATTGTAGTTAATTCAAATTAAATAAAAAAAAGATAAATTAATATGCTCTTCATTTTTGTATGTTGCATCCTATCAAGCATCCTTTATAATAATAAATTGCAGAAAATTATGAAAACTTAAATAAAATGAAAGAATTCCTTAAAAGGGATATTTTTAGTTGTTGATAATATTAATAAAACTAATTCATTGTTATTTTTGTGTTTTAGATTCTTATTCTTTAATTTTTATCAAAATTATAACAAGATTAAAAGTCATAAACACAATAGTACTTAAGATAAAATAATAAAATTATTTGATATTCCCCTTTCCAATACATTTGCCAGTCCAAGGACAATGATGATCGAATTCTTAAATACAAATATCACAATCTAAACAATGTTAGGTTTCTTTGACTTAAATCAATTTGCAAACTTTGCAATACCTTTTCATAATTGAATAGAGTACCATGTTTTTTGGTTATTATTTTAATTTTTTTCAACATCAATTCTTTCTACATTAGCAACACCTGGGTTAATAAGTGAAACAATTAAGTAACTTACACATTGATTGATACCAACAAGAATAGTAGTATAAAATATTAATGGATCATCATTGAATCTAATGAAAATAAAGAGACCTCCAATAGAAATGAATAAGAGAAAAGCACAAATAAATAAAGGCCCTAAAGTAAAAATATCTAATTACAATGAGGTCCAATAACTACAGTAGGATTTCCTTTTCTAAACATCATAGGATGACATCTTCCCCAACAAATAGATTTTGGTTTTGTGTATTAATCATCAAGTTCTAATGGTTCAGCATGTGATGTGTTGAGAGTAAAATCATCATCATCATCTTTTAAATTTGTTTACTTTTAATTCATATTATAATTAATGAGAAATAAAACACCTACTAAAGATAAAGATTATATTACAGATAAAATTTTAAGTAGAATTCAATCTAGCAATATCTAAATATATAATTAAGATCAAGGAAAAATGATTGTTGAAACAAAAAAAAAGAAATTGTGTTGCGATTCATGTTTACAATAAGATGTCAAATTTTTACCTAATAGTGATATTCAAAAAAATAATAAACTTTAAAATGATAGAACAGTTAAGGAACTTTATTAAAATGGAATTAAACACTATAAACTTGGTTATTTTAATTTAGATTCTATTTCTATATAATATGATGGGAAATACGAAAGATTACGTCTAGATCATTTTGAAGTTGTATAAAAATTACTTTTCCATTTAAAATTAAAAGAGAAATTCTAAAGTAATATCAAGAGTGTTTTATTTAAGATTGAATAAAATATTCGAGATAATCACAATTCGTTAAATTCACTTTTGCAATAAGAAATTCCTTTTCGAGATTAATTAGAGAAGATTCAGAAATATAATTAAGCTGTTATTGCATTATGTGTTTCACAAGAATCGGATACATATTTTGATGACGAAAATTAACATTCTTAGATTAATTATTAAATTGCCATTAACGAACAAGAAAGAATGATTTCAAGATTAAAAACCTAAGTTCAACATCAAAATGTTTTGATTCATAGAATTTAATAAAGTGTAAATGAACCAATGCTTGGAGTAGCTGGTTTATTGAATTAGGTTGGATAATTTAAATAAAAAATAGAAGAATTAAATAAGGAGATAGAAAATAAAAATAATGAATTAATTTAAGAGTAATTTTAACTTTAAGCAGTTCATTCAATTTTAGATAAAATAAAGAATCTATTATAAAAATATCCTACATTATTTAGAGATATAACAGCTAACAATATCATTAATATAAAAGAATTCTAATATGATTTAGAATAGTTATATTTATTGTATAGTTAGGGTAAATAATATGAAATGAATATGAATGCACTTTAAAATTAGTATGATAATTTATTTAAAGAACTCTAAGATGAAAAAATAAATTAATCTAAAATAAAATAAGAAGCATATAATAAAGATCCAAAACTAAAGAAAATAATAGAAGATCTTTCTAGATTGATTTTATCTAAAGATCCTAATGGAATGTCTAATGAATTAAGAGAATTAATAAAGGAGTTGTATTTGAAGAATCATTAAGATGTAATTTAAGATCAGGAAAGATAAATATAAGCATTAAAAGATTAAGTCAATTAAATAGTATAAAATTAATAATTATAGAGGGAATTGAATATGAGAATTTTAGAACTTCAGTGAGACATTCAGATAATAAAGCTCCTTATTTTGAAGAAGATTAATATACTTAATCTTTATTTACTTAAGCTTAGGCTATAGAATAATGCTTATTAAAAATAAAATGAATTTCACTAATTTATTTGATTAATATTTCATAATTTAGCTTTTTCATTAAACTCAACAAAGCCGATAATAACTTCAAGTCCTCTTTCTAAAGTTTTAGCTGAGAATTAAACTTTGGTTCCTTCCTTCCATAATGAAATTATAAGTGTTTCACCTGGAAAGACATGTGAAGTAAATCTTGCAGCCATATTTTTAAGAGCATCTCCATTTCCCTAAAATAAGATAATAAAATACTTAAGTAAATGTTTGAATAGCAGCTTTAGCACATATACCATAAGTACATAATCCATGTAAAATAGGTTTATCAAATCCTCCCAAAGCAGCCATATTCTTAAACACTTAATTTAATATAATACAGGATCAATATGTAATGGATTAATATCTCCAGATAATCTATAAATGATTGCTTAATTCGGAGTTGTAACTTATTTTACTTCTTTGCATGCAGGTCTTTTAGG